ATTGTATTAATGATACCTACGAAAAATTATAACCTACTTTGTAATTTTTTTTGATAGTTATCTTGACCTATAAGAATTATAAATAACAAAATAGGACTTCTTACCAATATCGAACATTACATTTTGTTTTTGCATTTCATTTAGCAGCACCCGGAATAAAATTATTATTATTATATATTCCCAATCCTAATATTAAATTAATATTAATAACTAATGCGTTAAACTCGAGTTTTTTTCTTAGATCACTAAGTACAACTTAAAATGTACCTTGTGTTGAATTTCCAAGCATTTCTCTAAAGTTATAAAGTGTTAATAACAGATAGGTATCTACCAAATAAAAATATAAAAATACAAAAACATGAAAATTATAAATAGGTATTTATACAAAATAGCCTAAAAGCAATTGGAAAGTTTTTAAAATTTTACCACGTCTATAAAAAGCCAATATAAGTATTTTATGAAAACTACAGTTCTTTGCAATAATTTTCAACCGAATAACAAAAAATCCAAATGCCATATTTCCTATTTTCCGTTTTTCCCAGTTATTTTTAAAACTTCTTAGAAAATCAAAAAAATGACCTCTGTAACGCACCAACCAGACAAAACTTCCTTCCAGAAAAGGTACTACACACATCAGAGCAATATTATTGGTTGAAGTTATTTGCAAACACAAAAAATAAATACACATCATAGAAAACCAATCGATCTTTCGCTACGCTCCAAATCTAGGAGCACACTTCATAATAGAACCAATAAATTTCTTGCTGTGCTCAGTAACTAAAAATAATTGGAACATCAGACAATTAAACACATTAGTGTCCGGACCTTCACGAATTTCCCGATTGGGGATTGCCCAACCCGATCCTGTAATATGTTTAACTCCGTTAGTTCACGTATATGCTAAAAATATATGTAAGTAGGTTCTTACTTTGTGACCAATTGAAATATTTGTGCAATGGTGGATATGTACCTACCTAACCTATTGTAGTCTTAATTATTTACGATTTACTATTATGCTGCATAATATTTTGTTCACGTATAATAATGTGAATGCTTCATTTTTATTTCTTTAATCAGGGAATAAGGTCTACGATGGAACCTAAACTATTTCATTTTTTTTTCTATTAAATTATCAATTTTACGTGCACAACAATGCACGTAAAACATACGAAATTACAATTATTTTGTTTTCCGGTATTTTATCAGTCTCACGCTTTGTTTTTTATTTTGTATGATACAATCTGATATGATAACAACAAATAATTTAAAACGTAAATTTAGGCCAATCACATTAATGTGAGTACCTAGGTTCAATAATTTTATTCAATATAATAATTATTGAATAACTCAGACTAAATGCAAGTTGAAAAGATGATTTATTTAATATGTCGGTAATATATTAGTTATGTGTTAGGTGTTACTAAATGATTAATAAACGTTAAAACTAATTTCAACCTGTGCTATTTTATTTTACCCACCTACAACACGTATAAGTTATAAATATAGATACCAATAGCAGCAATAGGTCTAGGGATGGATACCTATTGTAATAAAATATTAATAATTGATAAAAATAGATAAACTTATTTTTATTGTAGGAATGAATTAAAATATACCTTAATATCTTAATAGTTAATAACTGACTGAATAGGACTTTAATTTGTCCCCAATTAGACAGGATACGAGATACTGGATTTAAGCACGTTGTAACAATATTTTTCAAACCTCGACCAGGACCATTAGCGTACGCACTGTGCATGGAGTAGGCAGGAAAGGCAGGTGCTTTATTTCGAAATTTTCCGCTAAAATATTATAAAAAAAAAATAAATATATTAAACATGAATTTTTTAAAATATTATACTCTAACGTCTCTTTGATTTTGAGCATTGGCGTAAAAAAACATAAATAGAGGTTTTGGGATGTTTAACCTCCTAACAAAGCTAAGCTCCCTCAAATAAAATCTAAATCTAGTAAATACCTAGTATTCATACTCAGGTCAAAAACTTGGATATTGAATCATGAAACCAACCTATATATATCAAAAAAGACGTCCTAGGATAATGGGGACGGATACAGCCACTGTTATAAATAATTTTATAATTTCATGTAAACCTATAAGCAACGATAAACCATTGCTTACGAAAAAACGATTCAGAGTTCAGTTGATAATAATGCTTTGTCTTAATTGATTAATTAAATAGGCTCTATATATTTTCTTTAATATTTGTTTAATTTCGTACCGATTTTCTCAGTTTTCCTCCGTTTTTCCCGGTTTTTCGCATTTGATGAGAAAACTCTTAAGAAAATCGAAAAATGACTTCCTGAAAGTACCTGTCCACGTCAATTTTCTTTCTAAAAGGTTCTACACGTAAAAATCCGAGCAAGTCTTCTGGTAGAAAAGCTGCGCACAGATAAAAATAAACATTTTTTTAAAACTATAAACTTCTTCACTCCACTCAGAACGTGTGTGAAGTTTCCCCCTCCCAATTTATCCAATTTTCTCCAAACCTCCATTATTTTGAAAATAATTTAAAAAGTTAGAAGTCTAAGTCATTGCTCGCTCGGACTAATTTAATCGAAAAATACCCCTCGATTTGTTGTGCAAACTTTTCTACCAAAAATCTTGCTCCAATATATTAAGTGAAGTAAAAAAAAATTGAATTTTCATGGTAACTTGGGGAGATCTTTTTTCGAATTTCCCAGAAGTTTTCCCAGCAAATGTGAAAAACTGAGAAAAAAAATGAAAAAACCAGGAAAAATGCAGAAAAAATGGGAAAATTGATGCAATATTAAACAAATATTATTAAAAAAAATATTTAATGCCTATTTAATTATTTTCCATAACATGACATATATATTTGTTGACAAAACTTCACTATCAACTGAACTGCGGTCAGAATCGTTCTTTTGTTAGTAATGGTTTATCGTTGCTTACAGATATATATTAAATTACCTATAACAGTGGCCTCACCCGACCCCATTATCCTAGAACGTCTTTTTTTTCTTTTTGTTATTCTTGATGTTATCATTGTTTACTGTATTTAAAGGGCTATTGTCCCGTAAAATATTGATAATAATAATAATAAAAAAAAAATGCGGCTAGCGTCTATGGAATTGTTCACCTATATTATGGGGGTTCGGGAAAAAGCAAATGGAAAAAAAAGCAATATATTTATTTTAAATATTATAGTATAAAAAAATTATATTATTGGTTAGTTTTACATAATACTATATAGTGCCATATAATAGGTAGTAGATACCTACACTATATTTTAATACCACTGACCATATTATATATTCAATGATAATATTTTAAACATTTTCACAAAAATAATTATCAGAACAAGTTACCGAAAGCTGCATTCCATAATCTTAATTAACAAAAATGACTACCTACTATTGTAGTGTAAGTACAAAAAATATAAAAATCAACTTAAAATAACTTTCCATATGCGTTTTCACTTAATTTATTTTCCTAACCCCCTATTATAAGGGGGGACAATTTCATAGACGCTGAAATGAATTGTAAATTTGGAATCCAGAAGTGAAACTATTTTTTAATTTTCTTTTTTTTTAACTATTTACATTTTACAGGACAATAACCCTTTGAAAACAATAAACAATAATAACATTAAAAACAAACAAAAAAATGTGAAATTTTGAAATTAATCGGACAACATAGAGGGGAGGGGGCTGCGTGAATTTAGCCCCCTTTAGTTAAAAAGCTTTTTGAAGTAAAACTACGAGTTTTCAAATTCTGAAGACTGGTTTTCAAATTTTTTCAAATTATTAGCAAAGGTTTGAAATTGATCAGACAACATATGGGAAGCTGCGTGAATTTGATCTCCCTTACTTAAAAAAGCTTCTTGTGGTGAAACTAAAAGTTTTCAAATTTTTTTCAAAATAATGGTGAAGATTTGGAGAAAATTGGACAAAGTGGGAGGCTAACTTCATACACATATACTCAGAATCTAAAATTAAAACTGCTTGATCTTTTGTAAGGTAAAATGTATCTATTCCCTGGACTACAGTACCTTAAACCCAATTTTTAAAATATACATTAAACTAAGACTATAAGTCTCAAACTATTTAATTTCATATATAATACATTCTCTTTTTTTTTTTTTTTTTTTTTTTAATTCCATAAAATATGTGCATAGGTATAATTTGAATTTCATAATAACAAAATATAGGTATCTAATAAACTAATTAATAATAAAAGTGAGCGTAACCAGTACCTATATCATTCTTTTGACACTTCTGACACACACATTAAATATATGTCATGTTAAATGTTTATAGATGTTCATGTAGTTTAATTAAACCATTATAAATTATTATTTAACAACACAACAACACATTATTCAATATTAAATATGACTATATCCTATAATATAGATATGCAAATATGGAATGTATATTAGTCTCACCAATTTGTTCATAGAATATACAATTAAATGGTTAAATATAGGAGATATTTAAATTTAAATATTAATAAACGATAATAATATGTATGATAATACGAAATAAAACACATTTGCATTATCTTTAGGTTTATGCCATACAATAAAATATTAAAAATGTATCAATTTATCAGTAGTAATCTAAAAAAAATGCTATACAAATATAAATAAAGGTAAATTGTAATAATAAACAATACTGGTATGATTTCAAGCGGTAAAATTACATTTAAATACAATAATAGTTATATCATTGCTATATGTATCTACAGTTAAGTATAAATGGATGACATTTAAAATATCGATAATGTTAATTGTATACTCAACACTTAGCATCAGAAAAAAAATAATACATAAATAAATATACGTAACAAGTAAACATTAGTTATAAGGAGATTTAAAGAATATACAGACATAATTGATTAATATTGTATGTAAGTTATTAAATAGTTATTTTAATAACAATAACAAATTTCCAATAATAACCTATAAGTTTTTTTTTTCGATATATGTCTAAAAAATTATTGCACAAATCATATTTTAAGCTGATGGATTTTTTCTCATTAGCTCTAAATCGGCTTCCATCATTTCATGAACAAGTTGCTAGAAAGACAAACAATATATTTAAATAAAATTTTTAAGTATTGTACCATTTGTTTACATAACCCCAATGTTTACCTCAAAATTCACTTTAGGTGCCCATCCTAGAACTGTTTTTGCTTTGGTTGCATCGCCCAACAAAAGTTCCTGAAAGTTTTTTTTTAAATAGCAATAATCCAAAAGTGTTGTCAAAATCAATATAATACATTATTATGTGTTTGTGCAATGATTGCCTTTGTTATTTTATGCCCGCCGGATGTATTTTTTATAATATATAATCTACAATGACAAGCGGGGGCCCACATTGCAGAAATTGTAAACAAAGCTAATGTTCTTTTATATTGCCGGGGAATAATAAACAAGTATACATTATATTTATATTCATTTGTTGTGCTGTTGAAAACCGAACGATTATGTTATTTGAATAAACACATGCCAAATACAAACATTCTATATACTATGCCAGACAGACAATGAACGAGATGAACACCTTTGCAAACAATGTATTTTTTCTTGTTCAATTATATAAATTGAAACATGTAATGTAGAAAAAATCTACCATAGTGTAAAACAAAAAACAATACAGAATAATACCATGGAAAACAATAATATAGTTTCCTGCAATTTTATCTCATATATCCTATGCCCACGTTGTTATAGCCCTTCATATAAAATGCCATTAGTAATTCAAACAAATATTCATTGATAATAATAAAACATAATATAATCATAAAACAATTTAAAATCAAAACGTTTTACTGAGACCTTTATTACTTAAACAAATCCAATGATAACAAATATTTATATAAATAAAAAAAATATAGCTTTTATTATTAAATTTTTAACCATATTTATATATCATATGGTAACTCATAATGTCTTTGAATTTAAAAAAAAAGTGAACTTTGTATACATGTTTTACGCATTTTTACAAATAGAATCTGATAGACCCCTCTATGAACATTAAGCGCCTGCTTAAGTGTTAAAGAATTCAGAAACAAAACTACAAAAATGTAGGATCCTGTTGTGGCTTTTTTCTGTTACAAGATATTTTCATATTTTTTTACCCCTTTTGAAATAGATCCAACATAGGTCAAGATAAAAAAATAATTTCTTTTTACACTCTTTTTTAGAACATTTATAAAACAAAAATGAATATTTGATAGAATTAAAATATGACATATTTCAGTTATTTTAGTTAGTCTTACTCTATATTTTATTTTTTCTCCCAACAAAATTCAGTTAAGTTTAGCTATTTTAAAAGTTTAATAAAAACAACAAAATTTTATTAAAATCATTAAAATTAATTTTTGCATTATGATCAAAGTGAAGAAAGCTTTTAATGATGATTAAAGTGTTTAATTTTTTTCTGTTACAATTTAAAAAAAAAAATTGAAAATTATAACATAAATCAGAACGTCTCTGCAGATAAAAGTATAAAATACTATAGAACGTGAAAATTATATCTCTACATAAAAATATATACATTTTACTGGTTTAAATTTGTCAACATTTTTACATACAATTTATAAAGCATGGGAATGTATTTGAGAGGTAATCAACCATTCAAATTTGTTAAAAATGCAATAAATACATGTATTAAAAAAAACTTTACTAAAGGTTTTTGAAAAAAATAAAGAGGAAAAAAAATGAAAGTTAGTTTTCTACATTAATTTAAATATTTATTAATACTGTAATAATGGTTTAAAAATATATATATATATATATATTTCATTAAACTTAAAATTAATAAATAAAATAAACATACAAAGTTTTCTCCAAATTATGATAAAAATAATTTAGTCTATTAATCCGAAAAGCAGAAAAATAAATTAAATACCTTAACTATCCCTTTAATTAAATACATCACTTGCTTAATATAAAAATAGTACATTTAAATAAACAAATGTACCCAGTGATTCATTTAACATTTTCTTGAAAAGTATTAACTTTTTCAAAAATTGATTTTTGGACAATTAAAAAAATAAGCAGCTCTAAAATGTTACATTACCATTACTTTTTTTATCATTCTTTATGTATCTTTTTAGAGCTTCTTGTTTCTTAAGTTGTCAAAAAAAAAATCTAAAAAAGTTAATACTTTCCAATGAATATAGGTACAAATGAATAATATTTAAGATTTTTGTCAAAATTTTATTTTAAAACTGTTATAAAATAAAAAATAATACATTACTATCATTTTTTTTTTTTTTTTACCACTAAGTACGACTTATAATTGACCTTCTTTCAAATTTTCAAGCATTTCTGTTTAGTCTAACAATTCTATGCATAAATATCAATTGAAAATAGCATAAAAACTCACAAAATTAAAATGTTTATAAATAGCTCAAAAATGGCCTAAATGTTTTGAAATTATTACCATGTCTATAAAAAAACAAATGTAAGTTTTCTGTGAAAATAGGTCTCTACGAATATTCTTAATTAAATTATATTTTATTTTTGGTTTTTCTCAATTATTGTGAAAACTACATTGAATAACAAAAAAATACTATTTCCGTCAATGGCTATATATAACAGAATCGATCTCTTGTCATTTTTCAATATTAGAGCAATATTTCTGATAGAAAACATAAGTTACAAAAATAAAAACAGAAGCCATAAATATATACTGTTTTACCTAGGATTTTCTTTTGGAATTTCCCTATTTATAACAGCCTTTTGGAAAATCTAAAAATGACGTCTCTAATGCACCAATAAGATACAATTTCTTTTTAGAAAAGGTATGCAGGATCCATACAGGATGATTTTTTCATTATAAACCAACAACTATCACTGATGATTTTAAGTGATTTTTTTTTTGTTTTCTTTTAATCATTATAGAATCAGTTAAACTTTATTTTAAAACCATTTTTAATTTTTTACCAATCCCCATATACCTTAAATAAGTATATACTTTTGTTTTCAAATAGAAACCACCCTTTTGAACATATATTCAAACAAAGAATATTTTTCTTTACTTTTTTTCAAATGAAAATGCACTACGTCATGCATCGTTATCAGAGGCGGAACCACACACCCCTACCACAAAAATTAGTAATTATAATAGAATGTGAACTGGTTTTCGTCCGTCACCCGATGTATTCTTATTTGAAAAAGAGTATAGAAATTACTAAAAAAATTGCATATTTATTATAAAATTAAAAATTGATAACTTTTACCAACTCCTTTAACTAACAACATTAAATGGTTATAACTCATAAACGCTAAATCTTATATTTAAATATATTTATCTTATATTAATATTATGCATACCAAAATGTCTAGACAAATATTCTCTATTTAATTTTATGTTCAAAAAAGAAAGGTTTCTACTTGAAAAACTTAAGTTTATTCTTAGTTGGGGTAATAAATTAAAAATAGTTTTAAAATAAAGCTCAAATGATTGCACAACGCTTTTTTTTATAAATTCAAAAAATATAATTTTATTTTTAATTAAGTATAACATTCATTATATAGCATTATCAAAACATCTTCGGCCCTCCACCCAGATGAGTTCAAATAATAAAAATAATAATAATGAAAATTATTTTAAGAGTTTTAAGTATTTAGTGTCAATACCATATACTTTTTTCAGTTTTAACAAAAAAAAAAAATCTTCAGTTATTGAAAAATAAAATTAATTAAAAAATGTTAAAGTTATTCAATTTATAAATGTAAACAACAATAAACCATTGACAAAATACAATTCTATGCAAAGAAATGTGGTTATATTTATAAATACAAAATTTGTATGATTTTCTTCAAAATTTAAACTTAAAATAATGTTTATAAAAAAAATAACTGTATTAGGTATAAGATCCCAAATATTTGTAAATCAATAATCGAAAGACTATTTTCAAAATTTCACCATGTCTAGGCCAACATAAGTATTTAGTGAAAATTGTATATCTCTACGATTATTTTAAACTGAATTCAAACAAAATCGCAAATTATGAATGCAATCAATGCTGTAAACTTTACTGTTATTATAAGTTTTTTTCCCAGTTTACCCAATTATTAGGAAAACTAAATGGAAAATAAAACAAAAAATCTCCCATCTACCAACTAGATCAGAAATACATCAAATAAAAGGTCATTTGCATTAGCAAAAAATGTTTTGTAGAAAAGTTGTTTACATATAGAAAAAATAAAAATACAAAAATTAAAACTAATACATTACTTGTTACGTTCAGAATTTAAAAGCGTATACAATCTCTAATGGTAAATACTAAAAAGTACTATGATATAATGAATAGTTTTGTTAATAATCTTGTTTATGTAAGTACATCTTTAATCTATTTTTATATCTTTAATTTATTAATATATATATATATATATATGTATATACAGGATGATTCACCTTATTTTTTGACTACACTTTGCATTTATTTAAATTATGATTTTTGGATCAAAAGCCAATATTTTCGAATATTTGAATTTTTCACAACATTTAAGGTGTTGATCCCGTAAAAAACTTTGTTTTTTCAAATGAGAACCTAATTAAAAACAACATAAATAAATGGAGTATTACTTTAAATAAATTTTGGTGTCAATATTTTTGATTTCCATCAACCCGTTAACGAGATATTCCACTTTTAAATTTAGGTAGTGGGAGAGTGGTGGAATATCATTTGTGTGGTAGCACGGCGTGCGGCGTTTTATTAGTACACCACCAGTCCACTACTCTCCCCATAAATAATTACTACTACTACTTCCCAAAATGTATTTAAAGTAATACTCCATCTATTTATGGAATTTTTAATAAAGGTTCTCATTTAAAAAGCAAAGTTGGTATCATCACAGAATACTCCTTAAATATTGTGAAAAATCTAAGTATTCGAAAATATCAGCTTTAATTACATTTAAAAATGTTTCAAAAATTTAAATTTAAATATATGCAAAATTTAACAAAAAAAACGGGGTGAGCATTATAAGTGAATCACCCTATTTGTATATATGTATATATATTATATAACATATTTTATTACAGGTATAGACTTAATTGGTGGAAATTAATATTTTAATATTTTGAAAATGGATGTTTAGTCAGATATACATACTGGAATATTATGTAAGTTGACAAATATTGACAAACTATAATAATATTAGAATAGTAACTTATTGAACAATTATTATTATTGTAAACTTGTAATTAAATTTTCAAGCATTTCTGTAAGGTTAAACAATTTTATCTATAAAATATTGACCAAATATTAAATACCTACAAATAATATTGTCAAATACCTATAAAACTCAAAAATCAATGGAATGTTTTGAACATTGTACCATGTCTAGATCAATAGGTCAATAAAAGTATCATGTTAACATTTCAAATTTCTACAATTATTTTTAATCGAATTACAACAAAAAAAAAAATAATAATAATAATAATTAAACCGTAAACTTTCCCTTTTTTTCCTCCAATTATTAAAAAAACAACAAGGAAAATAAAATGACTTTCTAATGAATCAACAACATTTTGTTGTGAACAATTTTCCTTGAGAAAAGATCCGACTTTTGAAATTTTAGAACAAGATTTGTGGTAGAAAAACCAAATTGATTAATAATGAAACATTTATTGATGTAAATTTGCCCATTTTTTCCCAATTATTATAAAAACTAATTGGAAAATCCAAAAATGATCTCTCCAACGTACAAACTAAATCCAGGTTGTTACACAAATGCTATCTTGTCACTTTATAAGAGCAAAATTTCTGGTAAAAAATTTATCAATACATACATAAAAATTAAATGAACAAATAATCATACATTATAATAAAACTAATAAACTGCTTCACTCAAAATCTAATAAAAAACAAATTATCATATGTATTTTAGTTACACTTTACAATAAATATTATTTAAGAGAACAGAAAATAGATATTTGATTGTTATTTAAAAAAAGTATTTGAAATGGAAGGTCACAGCTACTTTTTATTAATATTATTGTCTTTTTAATAAAGTACCGCCTTATTGTATTATTCAGAAACATAAATCATCTTCATTTTTACTTAATATTTTTAATAAATGTTAATAATTTTATATTATAGGTATAATATATAGGTAATATTTAAACAAAAAAAGCATTTGCATGATGCTGCAAAGTTAAAATTACAATATACTTACAACTTCAGTTGGACGGAAATACTTAGCATTCACTCTAACACGTACAATATTGGTAGATTCTTCTTTACCCACTTCATTTAATCCTTTTCCTTCCCAAATAATTGTTTTACCAATGTGTTTGAATGATTTTTCTACAAATTCTCTAATACTGTGCATTTCACCAGTAGCTATTACAAAGTCTTGAGGTACATCTTGTTGTAACATTAACCACATTGCCTTAAAATGAAAAAGTAATCATTTTAACATACGTTTTCAATTTGATAATATTTAAATTTAATTAGTGCTAACTTCAACATAATCTTTGGCATGGCCCCAGTCTCGTTTAGAATCTAAATTTCCCAATTGTATACAATCTAAGGATCCAATGGCTATTTTTGCCACTGATCTGGTAATTTTTCTAGTTACAAAGTTTTCACCTCTTCTTGGACTTTCGTGATTAAACAGAATCCCATTACAGGCATACATATTGTAAGCTTCTCGGTAATTTGTAACAATCCAATAAGCATACAATTTGGCACATGCTAAAAATGAAAAAACATAGTTGATACTATTGCTGTGTGTGCCACTGTTATAGGTTAAGAAGGTAGGATACATAAACTTAATTAAATTATATTAGATTTGTACACAATGATAAATAATTGCTGATAAAATATGATTCTGAGCATTAAATATGTTTAAAACTTTTTTTCAGAATTTAAAACTAAAATAAATATAAATAAAAACTACTAAATTAAACAAAACTTTTTTTATTTAACCATTAAGTACAATTTATAATGAACCTCTTATTAAATTTTCAAGTATTTATATTTAACCAAACAATTATAATCAAATAAAACCATTTAAAAACTAAACAAATCTGAAAATGTCAATACCTATAAATACTTGAAAATTACCAAAAAGATTTGCAAATTTGATTACATCTAGTAAAGGCTAATATAAATATTCTATGAAAAAGGCATGTTATTTTAAAAAAAAAATTGGCATCACAAATAATAAACTTTGTATTGATGTAAATATATCTGTTTTTTCCCATTATTTACAATTATTATAAAAATTATGATTTATTGTAAAAAACAAAACAAAATCAAAAAATGACCACTCTTATGCACCAACGAAATCCAGATACTACAAAAGAGCTAACTTGTCATTTTTGATGAAAGCAAGATTTTTGGTAAAAAAGTTATTCATACACACAAATAAAAAAAAAAAAATCACAAATTATAGGAAAACCAACATAGTCCTCACTACACACTGAATTTAAAATAAATAAATTACTTGTATTTTAGAAAAATATATGTAATTTTTTTTTTTCAATTTTGGATAATATCAAAAACAAATATATATATATTAACAAGTATTAAAATCAATACCATATGGAGATCTAGGGTAAAATGGAGTAGTTTCTTTTTGAGGAATTTCAACAACTTTTCCATATAGTTCAGATGTGGAAGCTTGATAAAAACGTACACTGTTTTCTAGTTGACAAGCTCTAATGGCATCAAGTAACCTAAGAGTTCCAACTCCATCTACTTCAGCAGTATATTCACTTAAGTCAAATGAAATCTAAAATTCAAATATGTATTTTAATGAAAAATCACACAAATTGAAAAACAGATAATTAGTACAATACATTAGTACATTACTTTTACATGACTTTGAGCAGCCAAATTATATATTTCTGTTGGCTTCACAATACCTATAATTTTCACTAGACAACTACTGTCAGTCATATCACCATAATGGAGTTTCATTTTACCTTCCATATGTGAATTTGGATCTAAGTAAAGATGTTCAATACGACCTGTGTTAAATGTGCTTGACCGTCGTATAATTCCATGAACATCATATCCTTTGTTTAATAACAGTTCAGCTAGATATGATCCATCCTAAAATAATAATTATCTATAATAAATATACATTTAATGTAAAGTTAAAATATATTATACCTGGCCAGTAATTCCAGTGATTAGTGCTACTTTTCTAAAATTATTTAAGCCATTGCTACCGTTCTCCATTTCAAAGTTATTTTTATAAAAATTTAAAGTACATTTTCTAAAAATTTACTTGAAAATAGGAGACAGTTTTAGAAAATTATCATATATTTAAGGACGTTTTGACTTGACAGTGTGAGGAATCAGAATGAGTAGACAATTTGTGTTTCAATAAATGTAAAAGCTACCTAGGTAATGAAGAATTCATAGTTAACTGTATAGTGTAGTGTATACGTATATTATTTACTTAATATTTTATAATCGAGAATCATAGTAGCAAAATAAAAAAATAATAAAGATTTATAGATACTAGACTAGATAATTGTAACCACGGCTAAAATTGAACTCTCCGATACCACGGTTATAGATAACCGTGATAGATACTATACCGATAGCGAATGGCACTTATTCAAAAGTGATAAGAACCATTTTCGGGAACTTCACCCGGTCGCATAATAACATACAATATTAACAATCTGTACACAGGGCATACGAAATATAATATTACTCGTGGTGGTTTGAATAACAAATCAGGATTTATTTTCAATTGGCTTCGATTCCATTGGCTTTGGCTCCAGATAAAGCAATATTATAATGAAATGTAATATTTAATATTCAAATTAAAAATATAAAGGTACAGAAATTACGCTTTCGGTCCGTTAATATTTATCCTTATCATTTTCGAACAACTGCCCCTTACCACTATAACGGTACCACAGAATATTCTATTCCAATACCATAGACTAAAGTAACCTCCTATATTATTACTCGATGACCATATTACGTACCGCATTATACGGAACTGTCCCGTTGTCCCGACAAAAGTTATACGAGGGTACGAAACGCATTTTGTCTCGTATTAATCCCGCTTTCCACTTACTGTTAACTATAACTTGAAATTTTGTTGACATCTTTATGACATTGTTCAATAAAATCTACTTTACAATGATATGTGTGGGTTATTGTTTTGACCATTCTAGTGGGTATATTGTATTACACACAAAGTATAAGTAATTGTCACATTTTAAAAACTATTCTTGTAATACATGTTACAATATTTTATAAAAGGTAATAAATTATACTTGACGCAATTATTTCAGCACATAAGTACACAAAGCAGCAGAAGCAGAAATTGATCAACCGCCATCATGAAAAAAAAATTATTTGTAAGTATTAGCAATGATTATAAATACTAGTATTAATACATACTACTATTTACTTCTAGTATGTATAATCAATGGTATTAGGTAAGTATTCAAAAATGTTTATATAGCTCACACTTAGATTAATTTTTTTTTTATAAATTATAACGATTATAGTTAGGTTTAAATTAGTGTTATTTAAGTATAAATTTAAGTTAGTTTGTTGGTTAGATATTATACATTATACTATTTATACTTACATTATGTTTAATTTTTTTTATTTTTAGTGTCCCGTATTTTAATTTTATTTTTATTGTCATGGTAATCGGTCAAAAATTCCGGGGACACTAAGATCCATGGACAAAAAGTCCGGACTTATTTTATCATTGTCGGACAAAAAGTACTCGACCACATTTTTACTGTCAGACAAAAAATCTGACATTCATTAAAATAAAAATTATTTTCTTATCATTATTACTTTTACCCACGATGTAGATAAATCAACATCTAATAAATCAATTATTTTTCAATTATATTTATACCTAATAAAAAATACAACGGAAATTCACTATAGTTGGGTAGGTATAATATATCTATGATGTTTTTCACGGGTGTGTGTCAACAATTTATCTACCATAACCATAGGATAATATAATATAGGTATACATGTATAATATATATTTACCTATATATTATAGCAGTCAATTTCATAACGGACGTGAATTTAAACTGAATTTTTGTGTGGTCCCTTCTCTAGTGTTCATGTGTATGGTTTATAGCCGACACTATATTTAATATATTTCAATTTTGTTGCTATTCCAACCAAATAATCCTCAATTTTTTTTAAGTACGGAAAATGGTTTAAATTATTTATTCTTAAGTCTCTTTGAAAAAGTTTAAGCTTATTTTGGAAACTAAAATTGTCTTGTACTAGGTTATTTATGAATTTATTTTTACCTTGAAGAGAAATATTTAATGTGGCTAAGTGATGCACAACGTCAGTACAAAAAGACATATCTCTTAACCATTGTGGGTCTGAAAGTTGTGGGAAGTTTTTATCTTTTTCTTTTAAAAATGTTTTAATAGGTTCTAATAAATCGAAAATTTTTATTAAAACGTTATTTACCGATAACCATCGAACTAAACAATACCACGGAACATCATTTGGAATATCATCCTCTAAACTTTCAATAAAGTTTTTAAATTGGCGATGTATCTTTGAACCTGAACGTATGTAGTTTACAATTTTAAGAACAACACTCATCACATGTTCATATTTAAAATATTTAGCCATTAGGTGTTCTCTATGAATAATGCAGTGAATTGGAATAAAGTCTGGAAAATCAGTATCACTTTTTAAAATACCTATCAATCCATTTTTACAACCTGGCATACTGGGTGCACCATCAGTGACGCTAACAATTTTTGCAATAGGTACTTCTGCTTTACGAAGAACTACGTCAAGAGCATACTTAATATCACAACCTCTAGTAGTTTCTTTAAGAGCTATAAAATCTAATAATTCTTCTTTCACTTCCATATTCATCGTCACATAACGTATAAAAATAGCTAACTGTGGTTTATCCTGAATGTCAGTAGATTCATCTAACGCTAAACTTAATGCAGAACAATTAGCAATTTCATTTTGTAAATTAGAGAAAATATCTGAACTTATCATTAAAATACGTCTTTCCATAGTATGTCTACTATTCGAAATATTTTCAACCATATTTATTAATTTTTTATCTTCCGGTTTTAAAATGGAAATAACATCTATGTTTTTTGTTAAATATACCCCATCTGTGTACGGGCGCTTTGCTCGAGCAATATTAAACGCCATACAAAAACTCGCTTCAGCAGTTATATTGGTTTCTTTGGAAAATACCGCCATAACATTGGTTTGCTTATTTAATTTTGATTTCATTGTGCTTAATTTATTTTTTCTTAAATCAGAACCAGTAGGAAATTCGTTACTAAACGAACTGTGATTTGTTTCATAATGGCGTTTTAAGTTACTAACCTTAAATTGTGATAGTTGGGATTGACAGATGAGACAAAATGGTTTACTGTTTCGTTCTATAAAAAATAACTCTTCTTCCCATTGTAATTTGAATTCTCTGTGTTCTTCTTCATACTTGCGTTTCTTAGACAATAATTATTTTATTAATGTTGTGTTGTTACACGCACTACGTCAAAAAGCACTATGAAGACTTAATATCCATTATCCATTTGTGTCTATGTCTATATGATATTTTTATATTTATGGTATTTTTGAAGATAAAATTTAATTTGAGATTATTGTACAATTATTGTTATCGTATTCTTCACATTTTATTAAATACGATACCTTATCTTATTTACAATATCACATATATATACAAATTATATAATAATATGACCTTTTTTTTTACATTTTGGCTCTTCCATATTTATTAATATATTTGGTGGCTCGTGAGTCTCTTCTCGCTGGCCACCCCTGCTATATTACTACCACAGATGAGATACTACTAACGTCATAGATTTAGAAGAATATACCTATATTGTTTGCCTACAAAATTTTTGTCCGACGACTTATGTTCCTCATTTCACCATTTCTTCCATAGACCTTTGTTCTGACGAACCCATAAATACATGGATAGGACATCTCTATACCTGTTATACATGTTATATTGTTTCATCTGTGAGCGAAGAGTCATGTATATATTATCTATTTATTTATTTTTTATTCGTCTATGAACGAACCATAATGCTTAGAAGATAAGATGATGCCGCTATCGTATCTTTCATTGATACGATAATGACACAAAAAATTGCGACAGGTCACAGTTCAGTAATTCACAATTTTATTTCCCACCAGGACGAATTGATAAAGTACTAGTTGAAATAAATGTTGGTAATGGAAATTTTGATTTCCGTCAACCCGTTGACGAGATATTCCACTTTTTAGATAGGAAAGTAGTGAAACCATAGACTTATAAACATCAGGTATATAAATAGTGTCCCATTACTCTCCCCCTACCTAAACTAAAAAGTGGAATATCTCGTCAACGGGTTGACGGAAATTAAAAATTCTAACACCAACATTTATTTCAACTAATACTCCGTCAATTTATAACAATTTTAATACATGTTCCAATTTGAATTTCAAAAAGTAACCCCCAAAAAATACAGAAAAATAAAAAAAAAATGTACAAACTATTTTAGATGTTTATAAATAAACCATACATTTTTCTCTATTTTGAATATTTACATGATAAAATGGCTATAACATAAATTTTGAATCACTCTGTATAGATTAATATAATTTATAATGGTTAGGTTATATGGTTAAATCAATAATCTATTAGATTATTGATAAAATTATATTATCTATATATGTGTGGCAGTCAATGTTTACATAATTTCACTATCAATACTGCTTGATAATATAATATCCTAATATGTTCTGCTATTTTGGCAGTAGCGTAAATAATAGGGTTCAGAGGGTACATTTTTCCCCGGAAAAGTTATACTAGTTTTAGATTCTGAGTGAAGCAAAGAAGCTTATGATTTTACAATGGTGTTTTTATTTTTCAGTGAACAAATTTTCTGCCAGAAATATTGCTTAGATTTACAAGTGTAGCACTTTTTCTGAAAGGAAATCGATGTGGAATGATACTTTAATCAAAAGCGCTATCATTATAAATTGGAGCAAAATTACTTATAGAAAAATTGTTTACATCATTGTCAAATTAATACACTTCTTGTTCCATTCAGAATCTAAAATAATTAAACCTTGAGATTGTCTTTATTAAAATGGGGATGTTCAATATTAAACACGAAGGAATTATTCCGAGAATACATAATTATAAAAAAAAACATTTTAAAAATAAGCTAAATATAAAAAGTTAAAATTAACTAAACTATTAATTTTTAAACTCGATAATGCCCAGCCTTGATTATAAATACACATAATACGCCTTATATTAAATTATTATAATAGTGTATTAAAGTATATAATAGTGTTGCGTCAACAATTTATTACTACCATTAATGTTATTGTCGTTAGGTGTACATAATATGATGATGTTATGAGATAGGGAAAAATACCAATTTGGTAAGAGAAATTCAAACTAAATAGTAAGTACTTTCACCGTGAAGCTTATACGAGTAGTAAACGACATATAAGAAGTGATGGTAGGAAATATTTTGTATACTTTTTTACTATATTTCCACGGACATCTGGGTAATACGCTCTTCATCCCACGTCAAGAACCATGCAGATTGCAGGAATATCGGTAAGTGTATCTATATCTTTATATATATTTTATACGTATTATTATAGAATATTCATACAGGTTGCTGTACAATTATACCTATAATATTATTAAAAAAAAAAAAAAGAGTTAATACTAAAGACAGATGTGCTTCAGGTGTAGGTGGGAAGTTAAGAAGGTGAGAAACATTAAATTATTTAATTTATATCTGTAAGCTGGTAAACCGTTGCTAATGAAAAACGATTCTGAGCGAAGTTCGTTTATACTATTTTTTTACTACTATAAGGACAATTTATAATGAACCTCGTGTTAAATTTTGAAGCAGTTTTATTTGGTCAAATAATTATACCCACATAAACACATTATACCTACCAAATAAAAACTAAGTAAAAAACCCGCAAACATAAAATATCTATAAGCTGCTCAAAATCGTCAAAAGATTTTGAAAATTGAAAGCCTAACATCTAAAAAAGACGAATATAAATTTTCTGTCTAAATTTCAAGTCTTCATGAATATTAACAACTAAATTACAAAAAACAAAATTTAAAAAAATAAAACCATTATTTCTGTTAACTTTCACTCCCTTTATATGCTGTTTCCCGGTTTTGCTCAATTATTAAATATACATAAAAAAAATCAAAAAACGACTTTCTTCTTCTTATCAGCTTACCGGTCCATTTAGGACCATTGCTGCCTTCAACAGGCCTCTTTACCTCTCTCTATTGTAAGTCGACGCATATGTCACATTCTGGTCTATAGGTTATATAGACCTTTAGATCTTTGGCAACTATATCGATCCATCGGGTCACAAAACGGGTCTCTTGTTGTTTTTAAATTGACGCAATATTTCTCATAGAAAACATAATGCGTCAATATTTGTTTACAGACAGAAAAAACAATTACAAATAAAACCAACAGATCTCTCTCTGCGCATCGAATCTAAAATGTTTCCTATTTCATTGGGTACTAAAATGTAATATTTGTTGGATAGGCTAATGTTGTAAGTGAGAAGTTGGAAAGGTAAGATATAAAAGGGATATATATATATATATGTATATCTGTATATCGCAAAGATTAACTGTCGCTAACGAAAAAACAATTCTGAGTGAAAGGTTAGATTAAACCTATGTTAAAAATTCCATGAATATATGGTGTATTACTTTAAATAAATGTTGGTGTCAACATTTTTGATTTCCATCAACCCGTTAACGAGATATTCCATTTTTAAATTTAGGTAGTGGGAGAGTGGTGGAATATCATTTGTATGGTGGCACGGCGTGCGGCGTTTTATTAGTACACCACTAGTCCACTACTCTCACACACTATATAATTACTACTCCCCAAAATTTATTTAAAGTTATACTCTATATATTTATGTAACTTTTAATATAAGTTCTCATTTAAAAAACCAAAGTTGGTATCATCACATGATAATCTCTTAATGTTATAGAAAATCTAAGTACTTGAAAATAGGTACATAAAATAAGATATTTAGATAAAAAAAATCAAATTAAAAAAAAAATCTCATTGTGAAACCATGACATTTCTCGCTCCGCTCAGAATCTAAAATATCTTAAATTTGTAATTTAATGCAATATTTTATGAAAACAATAATAATATACTACCTAGGTATATGCATTATGTAGGGCTATAATGAAATCCATCGATACTGCCTTTTTAAAAAAGAATGCCGTAAGTTTTCTTCATGTCATTTTGAGAAAATTAATTTGTATATTTAGTAGTTTTTGGTGGTTTTATTTTCATAAATATAATATTTTTCTAATATTTTTTTTTTTTTGTAATGTACAGTTAAATCATAATAGATTATGGTATATATCATACACTATCAATATTTTAAATATTCACTACCTGTGTAAAAAATAGGCATTATAGTATATTCATGGTAATTCATTTAATATATAACACTCAATATTTCGTAAAGTATAAATTTTTTTTTAAACAAACTTTAAAAACAAGTAGCTCTAAAATGTTACGCATTACCATTATTTTCTGTCAACCTTATTTTCGGGGGATGAAACAACTACCTATGTTTAATTTTTAAAATCTACTATAAACTATACTAAAAATTCCATAAACAGAGTATTAGTTAGAGTAATTAGTTTAAATACACTTTGATGTTGACATTTTTGATTAAAGTAGATTAGTGAAGCATTATCTGTATGGCAGCGTTATGTGTGATCAAATAATTTTAAAAATTCAATAAATAGCGAATTAATGAATGTTTTACATTAAATAAATCAGCCGATATACACAAACATAGTATATCTATACTGCAATTCTAATTTTAAGCACGGAACGTATTGGCTTTATAATGATGTTTATTTATTTTTTTTTTTTTATCTGTGAACAGCTTTTCTCCCAACAATTTTTCTCAGATTTTCAAGTATAGAATTTTTTTTAAATGGGAATCTGACTGAGGTGGTATTTTAAGAAGGCCATTTTTTGATTTTCCCACGAATTTTCATAATAAATGAGAAAAACGAGGTAAAAACTGAAAAATTTACGAAATGTATTGTTTTCAAATCGTAAATAATATCGGCCTTTCAAAACATGTACAACATAACTCCACTCAGAATTATTTTTCGTTGGCAATCATTAATCATTGCGTACAGATATTTATTAAAGTTCTCCTTTACCTTTCTATCTTCTCACCAACAACAGTGGCCCACCCGTCGTGAAAAGTATATCAGTCTTTTTTTAAATTATTATAAGGTTATTACCTCAAATTTGACTTGGGTATTCAGTTTCAAATTCATGATTAAGTTTAAAAATCATAATTTTAATAATCATTATTAAATATATTAATATACTTAAATTTTAAAGTAATATTATAATTAATTATATAATAAGTAATTATATTGTTATTTATTAACAAATTTGCAGGAATGTTTTGTTATGTACTTAATCTAAAATTATTTCGCAGACATTAATGGTGGCGACGGTGGCAGTGATCGTTGGATTACAGATTTTGTCCCGGACGTCGGAAGCGTCTGCGGCTGAGGGACTCACCCCGTTCAGGTTCCTCATGGCTCGGGCGTACGGCGAGTCGGACGATCACACGGTCATGCGTTTTATAAGATTCAAACCCAGCGATGGAGCCAAGTTCCGAGAAACGTTTGAAAAGAAGCACGGACCCCGAGGACGGGACCTGATTGAAAGTCTTGGTCAAGGTTCATACAACAAAAAGGCGGTGACCACAAAGCCCAAAGATCTGCCGGACGTTGGAATCCCAGTGAGTTCATGTATCATCATCAATATGTTTTATCAATTATAATTTAGTGAACAGGTGACAAGATATAAAAAAGTGATTTCAAATAAATGTATTTATGAAATGGTTGTTACTTATATCAGAATAAATTAAAATACTTGTGTATTGTGGTCAGTTCAGTACCGACCACGGTAAGGTCCTCTAACCTAACCGGACAACACATATGTTTGTTCCCTCCGTATCACCATTTTTCTTATTTTCTTTCTTATTCGTGAATTAAATTGTTTGTTTTACTTATTATGGTCAAAATGTATTATGGTTTTAAATATTAACTGTTTTATCTACGAATCTAAATTTAATAATCAGGGTAATCCACTCAAATTCGATAGTTGCTCCAAGCTTATCCATAATAATTGTTGTGGTTTATCGTCTAGGGAAATCAAATTTTTCGCTATGAAAAACCGTAAGTTAAAATATTCTTGTGATTTGTGCGGTAATTAAGTAAGTGATTTACCAGATTTGAAAAAACTAATCAGTTTGTTGGTGAAAGTTGAAAATCTTAAAAATATTTCGAATACGTCACTGAATTCGTAATCACTAAATGAACGAATGTAATATGATATTAAATTTTTATTTTATAATATTCCGGAAAGTACGTCCAACAATTTTGAAGATAGAATATCTCACGATAAGGAAGAAATAAATAATATCATTAATGCTACATCGTCCGATAACAAAATGCTCTTGAAGTAATTCGTCTTGGAAAGTCTTATCAATTTGATAAACACCGTTCAATTAAGGCAATGTTCTCCTCAGCTGGTGACGCCTTTGATATATTGAAAAGCTAAAAACTACTATTATTTCGCTTCCCGACTTTAAAAATTAATATTGGTATCAGTTCTGATAGGACACTGTTTCAACGTGAACAAATGAAGATATTACGCGATCAATTAGCAGTGCGTCAAATGAGTAGTAAAAAATATCTTACAATCAAATTAATTAAAGGCTTACCTTGTGTAGTTATGCTTGATAAAGTTGTTAATAATCGTCAACATTTTTAAGTTTTCATGCTACTTACTAAAATGTTAAAGGTCTTTTGACCATATTGTTTTTTTTTTTCGTAATTATACAAGTGTAATTTATTGTGATATTTTACTCCTGACCGAAACATGGCTGAATAGTAAAATAAATGACTCTTGAGTTAGGCCTAAATATTTTCATATTTTTCGTATGGACAGATTAAATGAGTTAGAAACTTGGGGCAATAGCATTTTAATTGGTGTACAATTTGGAATAAAGTGTGAACAAATTCATGCACCTATTATTGGAATAGAACAAGTATTTATAAAAATATTTTTAAATCTCTAAAAGTTTTCATGGTGTGTATATATACTCCAGCTTCTGTAAGTAGACATTTATTATGAAAATTGTGAACTAATAAATAATATTATTTCGAATAACCCTGACTACAAAATAATTGGAGATTTTAACTAAATTTTTTGTTTTATACTTTGTACAAATAATCTACCAGAAATCTTGTTCAGATATTCGCGTGGCACCATTTCTGAAAGGGAATGTTGTCCAGATGTTACTTTTGGGAAATCATTTTTTAATTTCCAAGCAGTTATCATAATATCTGGGAAAAATCAGGATAAAACCTAAGAAAAACGAGAAATTTATGAAAATACCAGCAATTTCACTCTGATTTAAAATGATAGCACTTTTTCTGAACAGAAATCTGACTGGGAAGGTACTTTAGAGTGGTAATTTTTCAATTTTCCCAAGAGTTTTGGGAAACATTTCCTAGCAAATGTAGAAAACCGGGAAAATCGGTACAATATTAAACAAATATTATTAAAGAAAATAAACAATGCCTATTTAATTATTTTTTCCATAATATGACATATATAGTGTTGACAAAGCATCACTTTTTTCGTAAGCAATGTTTTATCGTTACTTACAGATATACATTAAATTACCCATAACAGTGGCTGCACCCGTCTCCATTATCCTAAGAACTCTTTAACTCTTTTTTTATATTTGAACTAATTTAAAATATTGATTGACTTACTCAGCTTTGTCACTTTTATTAATCCTACTTAAAAATGTGTACATCGAGAATTCCAAAATCGGTGTACTATATTATAATAATATAAATACGTTGTTTCTATTTGTTATAGAATGTTGCAGACGGAACTCCCAGCGATAAATCTGTATCAATCAAAAAACCTATATTATGAAATCAAAATTTAATACTTAATGATGTCAAACGATAGCTTAGTGATTTATAAGTTAATTTGTCTATTAATTATTTATTTAATTGATTAATTATTGTTAACGCAAATTATATATAGTAAGATAATATTTTCTAAATAAGTGTGCGTATCAACAGTACTTATGTATATATTTATATTTTTTACAATATTATTATTAAGTAATAATAGTATTTTTATTCTGATTACTATTTGTAAATATATTTTATCTATACTTATTCCCGGTTGCACCAAACCAATCTATTGGTAAATTATTTTTTATATCGTTAAATATTAATTTAATGATAAACTAACATTTGTTAAATTAACAAGTGTAATGCTGCTCAATTCTTGTTTTATATTCAGGTTATTGCCAGTATACAAGTTATCAAATAAATGGTACTAGTATGGTACTAGTAGTAAAAGTTAATATTACTATCATATCTTATTAGGTGCTTTATCAAGTGGTGAATAATGCTGTTTTCTATTACCAGGAACAGAATTCAAAGGCCCTACATTTTTATTTTTGTTCCTCCTATTTGCCCCTATGCAACTCCTACATACATATTCAAACCTAAAATAATGTCTCCGATCCAATAAGCAAGGGCCCCGTAATTAATTACGGACAGAAGACCACCGGGAAATTCTCAATTTCCAAGTAAGCTTATTTGTTACTAATCTTATCAATGATAAAAGAATGGTAAATCATTTTTCTCAAGGCAGTCTCGAGAAAAAAAGTCTCGGGGAAAAAAAATGTCTGATAAAATGAGATTTTCTAAAAAAAAAATGTGATATAGATGATACAATAATATTACAAATATTTTTATCAGCTGTAATTAAATATTAAAAATTTAAATGTTTATTATGATTGTACAAAATACGAATATCAAAAAATAAACCCTAGAGCAACTGTCAAAAATAATATATTTTTACTTAGTTACATAGTTGATACTATGGGCTGGTACCTATGTCACTGTTGTAGGTGGGAAGTTGGGGAGATACTACTCTAATCAAGTTATCTTCAACCAGTTCTATCCTATGGATATAAAACGTGGTCGGTCACAAAGGGTAACGTAAAAAGTTGATGAATTTTGAAAGGAAATTGAAGAGTATATGACCCTATCTCGGTGAATACAGGATTAGAACCAATAAGGAAATTTACCAAACGTTCCGAACGGTAATCGGTAAAAAAAGACCAAAGAAAAAATACAACAAAAAACAAAAATACGGAAAAAAAGAACTAAAATTTTAAGTATATTAATTAATTAAAAAAACGTTTATTTAATATAATTTTTAAAAACAGGTACTGAAATATAAAAAATATATTTCTTATGAAAAATGATGGTTTTTAATTGTAAAAAATTATATGAAAAAGAGTATTTTTCAAAAAAGTTAAAACTTTTCAAAATACGAGTAATGGTTGCAATATATTTTTCATTCGTTTTATTCATGGAAATTACCTACTGTTCCCTGTTGGTTAAAAGAGAACCAAACCATGAAAGGATATTATCACCAAAACCAAATGCTTGTAGAACTTGCAGTAAAACTTCGTGGTTAACAATGTAAAAAACTTTTACTAGATCAGTATAAACAACATCAACTTGAGAACATTTTTAAAAGATTCAAATACAAAATTGGAAAAAACTAAGTTGCGGGTAGTTTTTGATTTTTATACCTTTTCTGAAATGAGTGATTCATGTAGATATTCTCTTACCAGGTGACAAATTGTGTTTTAACTATGTAGCTTAAATATCGCATATCTAATAAGACTTCATCTTCATGGTTTTAACTTAATCTTGTAAAATTAAGGAAGTTTAAATTATAAGTGATAAGAGAATAAGGGAGTCATAAAATAACAGGTGATGAGTATTCTAGCTTAACAAAAAACAGATTTAAAAAAAAATATTTAAAGGTATAGCTATATTTTTGTTAGGTATACAATTAATGATGTAATAATGATTGGGTTAAAATTTTATACCAGCCATAGGTATAAATGTCTCCTTTAACTATCTAGTGAATACTGAATAGTGATTACCACAGTCTACGATATTTATCTTAGATAAGATCACAGAATAATTACTCTGTGCTAAGATAACTATACAAAAGATACTGATAACACTACCGGAAATGTATATTTTGGGAGTCACTGTTTATTTGTTTAAAGTTAAGTCTTCTTTGATAATTGATAAGCTTTTATTTAGATATGTATATTATTTTTTCTTTCTTTGAGTTTAGAGAAACTATTAGAACAACTATACAAATATTATTTGTTTTAGAGAATATTGATACTAAACAATCTGTTAGTATTTTATTTAACATTAGCTTACAGAAGATTCAAAAATTGTTAAAATGAGTTTTCCTTTACAAAAAGTAAGAGTAACTATTGATTGATTTTGTTCAGAGTAATACATTAGTTTATATTTTTGATTTTCTTAAAATATCTTTTAATTTGAAAGGCAATTGGTGGCACAAACTATTTCCTGTTAAAATTTTAATATGGGATGGATTCACCGACATCTGAAGTGCTATTGCTCAGTGAAGACGACAGTGGTTTATTGGTTAACGGTTCATTTTCAAACAGTTCTGCTAGTAGCAACTTCAATAAACATGCATCACAATACAAAGTAAACCTATATACTTATTACCTTTTAGTAAAAATAAATAAATCTTTTTTTGTTAAAAACAACTAAAACTCAGTTTAAAACTAATTGACTAGTATGGTACAAATAATTTCTTTTTTTTTTCATTACAAAACATTAATTTAGATTTGTTACTAATTTGTGTAATTTGTATAATTAGTATTATTAAAAAAATTATTGATTCATTAATTCAAAATGATAATTATAAAATAATTGGGTATTATTATTAAGAATTAGATCTATTAACTGCTATGTAATAATTAACTAGATAATGTACCACAATAATAGATATGATTTTAATAAGGCAAGTAAAATATAATACAAATTCCTACCTTATTATGAATATTGTGAATATTGAAAAAAATATTTTTAGTATTAAAGAAATACTGATATCTATTGAGGTCTTTAGTTGATGTAGTTGATGTATAAATTAAGTTGACATATCTTTATATTTTTTTATATTCCTTTAACATATTAAATTCTATATTTAAACAAAAAAAATATTTATGATTACCTATAATTTTACGGTACTGGTTTGTTATTGCCCTGTCATCCATATAACAATAAATACATTATATAAATATAAAATAATTTGACAGAAAATACATACGTACATACCATTACTATTAGTTGTTTACCATAGGTGTTTATCACAAATAATCAATAATATAATAATTTGAAAATATATTAATATAACATCACGTGAATCATGGAAAGCATAAATATTTTTATTCATTTTTTAACATTATATCATTATTTTATATTTATTATTATTCCATTTTTTTAATATATCAATATATCGTCAAATTATTAGATTAATAAATATCAATAAATAAACTAAACTCATTATTTTCTATATCGGTTTATTATATTACTATTTTATTGATTATTTGTAATAAACACCTATGATATGCACCTAATTGTAATGATACTTATTTTTCGTCAAATTGTTTTATATTTATACAATTTATTTATTGTTATATGGATAACAGAGCGATAACAAATCTGAGTGGCAGGACTATAAAGTTTTCACTTGCTGCGGTGTGGCTATAACAAACCATTAATAATCATTTATTTCTCGATAAATTTAAATTAATAATAATCATTAAACTTAAACATAATTTACCAAAATTAATATTGGAAATCAATTTTAATGTTATGTAATAGTAATTATATCATAATTATAGACATGTTTACTATATTAATAGTAATTTTTATTCTTACTAAACTTTTAATTTTAATTATTTTTTGTTTATGTAATAAGATAAAAAGACTAAACAAATTTGGAATAAAAGTCTGGAATACAATTGTGTAATTAAAACTACTTTTTTTTTTACTGATATTTTTGTAATTGTAATACATTTGTATATATTAAATTTCAATAAATAACTAAATTATTTATGTATTTGGTTTACTTAACTACATAAGTATATATTTTTTTTATTTATAGTGTAAAGAAAGTGATGACAAATTATCATTTAGTCAAGAAGATTCTCTAATCGATGATACTGATAAATTATATAAACAACAGTTTAATACATTAAAAAAATGTTCAAGTGTTCAGAAATCAGAAAATCCAATTCGGCCTCCTGTAGAATTTCAAGACTCTCCACACATTTCTTTAAATGTGTATTCTCCTCCATTAGAATTTAAAGACAATCAATATAAATATATTCGTTCACCTGTATACACTAATGATTGTATGATTCGTGTTGAGCAATATGCTGATGGTTTTGTTAAATCATTGATCAACGACTCATTAAAACATTTAGAACCACTAAATGATACTAGGTAATAAACAAATATTTAGGTATTTATGATTAGTTTACTATTGTATTAACATATATTTTTTTAGGTATTTTAAACAACACAAATTCTATCATAATTTGGGCATTTATTGGAAAACAAATTTTCGTTTGCCAAATGGATCAAACAATTCCTTGTTGTCAACTATTTCATCATCTCATAATTCCTTATTTAATGTAGTTTCTTCAGATGATTCTAATTTTATCTCATCTTCAGTTTCACATGAATTTCTTAATAGTGACACATATACATTACCGATTGATAATTCCCCTTTTAATATTGCTTTTCGGCGACCATTAAGGAAAAAAAGAAAACTCCGTAATCAGTGCCATTCTATACCTATCAATAAAAAGTAAATATTACAAATATCAGAAAAAAATTTATATTAATTATAATATTATTATTATTTTTTTACAGATCAGGAGAAAAATGTATCAATATCCAAGAACCCATTCATATGACTGTCAAAGATGTTCAAACAATTCTTAGCAATATTTATAGCAATACAGGAGAGTGTAGCAAAACTCAAATCACAAATGTATCAAAATGTAACAATGTACCAAATGATCACAACAAAGAAAATTGTATCAGTAAAGTACTATCTTCTAAATCTAAAATCCAAAAACATTCTTTTATGGTGAATATTAAACATAAAAAATCTAAGGACAATAGCACTTTAGAAGATAATAGTGGTCATGGTTCTAGTCATTCAACAAGAAAAATTTTTTGTTCATCACCATTTATTTCATCAGCAAAATCAAATTTTTCTTTTAGTTTAAAACAAACATTTTGTAATATTTTTCGTTCACGTAAAAGTACATCAACAGATTCAGATCCTGGATCAAACCCAACAGACACTGTTGTACTTTTAGATGTAACTAAAGAAACGACTTTTGAAAAACGAGCACTGCCACCAGTACCTAATGATGGACCCAGAGACACATATGAACGTGAAACTAGTATGGACTTTGCCACTAGCATTGAGAAAGTTAAAGATGTAAGTTTTATTATTATAAACAATTTGATTTATATTTTATATTTTTTGAAAATATTTCAGTATGGATGGTATTGGGGTCCAATATCAGGCGAAGCTGCTGAAAAAATACTCTCAAATGAACCTGATGGATCATTTATCGTACGGGATAGTAGTGATGATCATTATATATTTTCATTAACGTTTAAATTGAATGGTTTTGTTCGGCATGTTAGAATCGAACATGACCAAGGTAAAACTCTAAATAAATGACATAGATAATAATATTGACATTTTTTATTATTATCTTCAGGAAATTTTAGTTTTGGTAGCTGTACAAAATTTAAAAGTCACACAATTGTTGAATTTGTAGAAAATGCTGTAGAGCATTCCCGTAGTGGAAGGTATTTGTTTTTTTTGCACAGGCGTCCAATTCTTGGACCAATGAGGGTACAATTACTTCATCCAGTATCTCGATTTAAACAAGTCCAAAGTTTACAACACATGTGCAGGTATTTGTGCTTTTAAATACTATTTTAATACATAATAATGAAGTGTAATGTACATCCAAAATATGAAAACAAATTTATGTTATTGAATTTATTATTCCATGCTATAACTCCCTAAATAATTAATGATAATGAAAAATTCAGATTACAATATTTCAAACTGATAAAGATTTACTAGTATAATCTAAAATATACTTAAATTTATTTCCTAAAGGTGGTTTTTAAAAGGAATGTGCAATTAAATTTTTAAAATTGATATACAAGTCTTTTGATAATTCAAATTCTAAATGAACTAAAAATTAATTTTAATTTTTTATGTTAAATTACAAAAATTATTTTTCAAATTCGAGTTAGCTATTATTATACTATTTTTCGTAATATTTTTAAGGTTTAAATATTCAAAGTTGGATTTGGTAGAAGAAATTCTACTTTAACAGAATTAAATTGTTTGTTTTTGTTTTACAATCAATGTAATTATCAATTAAGAGTAGTACTTTTTAATTTTTTTTATCAAAATTGGATAACCATTTTTCAAATTCACTTGTTGTCTACGCTTTTTACTTGATTCGTAATCTAATGGATAACCTTTAAAACTCTTAAGTTTTTCAGATTTTCTGAACAATCCTCTCATTTTAAAACAAATGTTTGACTCGGTACACTTAAAAAATAAAACCGTTTCATCAACATTATTACATTATAAAATTGTAATTCAGGGTAATATTGATTAAGAATTAATGACGATTTTATATAACTTAAGAATTTTTAGTTTTCAACACGTAACGAAAAGTGATGTTGTTCCTACTTTTCCAATTGCTTAACGAACCTTGACAAACTTTAAACTTTGACTATGTTTAGTTGTAAGAAACATTATCCTTTAAAATTGGCCCATTTATTAATATGTTAATATCTCTATCAGGTGATCCATTTAAATTCATTCATTATCTCGGAAAGTATTAACTTTTTTTGGACTTTGTTTTCTAGAACATTTAAGAAACAAGTAGCTCTACAATTTTAAGTTTATATTAATTTTTGGAGGTAAAACCTAAAATTTCCAAGAGACAAAAAAAAATTGAGTTATCGAGGCTATATCATTTTAAATAATACCAATGTTCAATATATATTTATAGATGTATCAATATTTTATGAATCTTATATAGGTACATACATTACTGTTAGTGAAAATATTTATACAAATATAAATATAAATAAATAATTATAAATATTCATTAGTCACTACATACATAAATGGCTTGCATCTTGCATAATACACAATATAAATAATACTATTAATTGTTTATTTTTGTAACCAATTAATCAAAATAAGAAAAGAATAACAAAATTAGATTACCTTTGTAATCTAATGAATCTAGGCTACACATTACCTATAAGCATTAGCTTTTAATTTTGATGTTGAGGTGGCACAAAATACAATGTAAATTATATAGAATATTCAAAATAGTTAATAGATACATAATAATTAAATAGTGATATACATTCAAGAGTTATTATATACAAAGTAAGAAAATACATGTGTTTATGTTAATAATAAATTACACAATTTGTACATTTTACTAATATTACACTATAAGTAGAGGCCAGATTTATATGTTCTTAAAATTTACAAAAAATCACTTTAAAATATCAAAAAACCTTAAATAAAATGTTTCAACAAATGTATAAAAATGCAAAAAAATAATAAAGGGGTTCAATAGTCCCCCCTCTAACGAATTTAATTTATAAATACAATTTTCTAACATCAGAAAATGTTTAATAAAAAGTAATTTTTCTTTATAATATTTATGATTTTATTTAAAAAAAATAATTTTGTGTTATTCGTTTTTGTAGTGAGTCATTAAAAGAGGATTTTAAAACTCCTCTATCATTTTTACCTTTTTAAGTGTTTTTTTTTTTTAGAGCTTTTTTTGTAGTTTTAGGCGCCTTTTTGTGAATACTAAAAAAATATAAATCCAGTCTCTAACTACAACAACAGTTTATTTATATATTTTTAAAACTTATGACATTAACACTTAATTGAATACAAATATGAATTTCAACATTTAAAGTATTTCATTTTCCAAAAGTGGTATTGCATTTAGACTTGAAAATAATATACATAGACACTGTATAGTGTATGCAATGGCCATTACTGTCAGTGCCAAGTGGCAAATTCAAACAATCTTTAATATGCTTATTTAATTGCAGAGAATTATTAATTAATAATAATACTAGTATTAGGATTGTATTTAAATCTCATTTATTTTTATATGTATTTGATTAATATTGACTGCTATTATGGTTCTTAAACTTTTAAACATGATTTGTTTATTTGTTTTTATCTTATTAATAGGTTTGTCATTTTGAAAATGGTACGTCGAGATTTGATTCACAAATTGCCATTACCCAGAAGACTTGTTGATTACCTAAATACACCACATTATTATTGTGAACAATTGTGCAGCAGTACTGACAGTAGTAAATCCCCAACTCCCACTCCAGCTGTACATCTAATATCATTTACACCACCTTGAATTTACCAATATGTTACTATCATGATAAATACTTTTTTGTTAAATTTACCAACTTTAATTGATATAAATTAAAATATATCATATATATAATAATATATGTTTATATTCTGATATTAGCGGTTAATAATTAATTTAACAATTACACTATTTAGAATTAAAAATCCGTATTCATTGATAATGAAAAAAAACAACAAACTTAATTGTATTGTACAAAAAATCCTATTATTATAAAATAATAATACAATGTAAAAACATAAGAGCTTAAATTATTGTTTGATATATAAATTATTTACCTTTTAATTTGAAATCTTTATACCTGATTTGTTTTATTCTGTTACAAAACTTTTCAGTTAAATGTATATAATATTGTGGTTATTTTTATATTTAAGGAACTAACATTGTATTGATTTTGTAATTGTTTTACCTTATTAAGTGTTAACTGTATTATTTTGATAACTAGTTAAACACTTAAAATGTTTAACATTTACTAAGCAGCATCTGCTACTTTAAGAATTTATCCATATTTGTCTGTATGCGCTCAGTTGTGAGTTTTGGAATGTGGCTTTTACTAAATGATTAGGTAAGCTCTAAAGGATTTCCAGTCAAATCAGTTAACATGTACATACAACACTATTTGTTTTAATTATTGAGATCATATACTACTTTGATACTTATCTTTGTTCATTGCTAATTGATTAATTATAAACTCCAATTGAAAAATAAAGTATAGATATATTTTATAAAATAAAATAATAAATTAAAACTATTTTTAATATTTTTTGATAAACTTTTTATATTTAATTTATAAATATCATACAATTAAATAAAGAAGTAGACAAATTAATAAAAAATATTTTTATTATTCTTTAACTGAAATTGTATGAACTTCTAGTATTCATTGTTTACAGATTCAGAAATAATTTCAGTTTTGTAAAATAATCAAATAATTATTATGAAAAGTAAATATATAAATATTAAACTCAAGTATATATTACAAAAATCAATGCACTGTAAAATCCCTGATATATTTAAATGTATTTTTAATTATTAAGCAGTAAAAAATAATAATTTTAAAATTAAATTGAAAAAATATACTCATATAAATTATAATCTATTTGGTGAATAATTTATAAACAAGAATTTAAATTGTTCCTTCTATTTATTATAATAAACAATTTACTATCTCATTCAAACATACATAATACTTTAACTACTAGTTTACATTATTTTTATTTAGTTCATAGACAAAAAAAACTTATGCTATTATGCCTTTACCAATAATTGTATTAATGTTTCTAAAATCAGTTTCACATAGTTTTTCAGATAATCACTACTTTGATTAACTACTATAAAGTTTATTTCTGATACTAAATATAAATAGTAAGTGAAACAGTTAATAAAATACTACAAAAAAGAAATTAATAGTCTCTAGTTATGTTTAGTTTATGTTTGTTGGTTGGACACCTTTTTTTTTTTGTTATCTACTTTTAAGTACCTTATTGTGATTTAGAGATAACTCTATTATTATAATGATAAATAAACAATGTATGAACTTATAAATATTTGTTTAGGTAACGCATCGAGTATATTAAGTCATTACTTTTATAAAGATATTGAGTAGATATATTATATTTGAGGAATGTGTCTAGTGGTTTTAATTTAAAAAATAAAATACAAAATCCAAAATATATTAATTTTATTTATATTTGCTTGTTATTATGTATTTTTAAATATATTTTATTTATTTAAAAGATTTATTTTAAGATTTTTGTCTGAAAACGCTTACAATTGTAGTGAAGTGAAGGTGATATTTAAAGTAAATTATTTCCCTAATCACATCTTTTTTCATATTTTTAGGACATATTAAATAATTTACAGTGATTAAAACAACTAAGATATAACCTGTATAATTATAAACCCTTTATTTATAGCAAATCACATTAAAAAATAATACTTTCATAATCTACATGTGGCTTTCATATATTCTACAAGTAATACTATAATTAAACATTCAAATAATTAAATAACATTTAAGTAAAAACTGAGTTTCAAAAATACATTAATACATATAAAATATAACTTATTATTTCATAAAATAACTTAATGGTGTATATACATGAGGTTATTTAAAAACATTTATAATCAACATGCAATTTAAGTCAAACATTTTAATGACTTTACATAATCCTATTATGGATTTATTGGTATTCCTAAAGTTTTCCTGACCAATTTTTCAGCTATTTTATTAAACTCCTCTCGGTTCTCGCGCCACATTTTAGCTGCATCCACGTTTGCACCACTTTCATCATTTGGTTCTTAAAAAGAATTCACAAATAATATTATATTAAACATAAATTAATATTTATTTATTTATAATTACCGGCTAGCATACTAATAACAGATAAAAGGATTTTCTCAACACTTTGTACAGGACTCCATCTTTCAGAACTGGATTCATAACCCATGGGGTCATCTCCAGGGGCATGGAGAATTGAAATACATACACGTCCATCAGCATAAACTAAACATAGTTTTATAAATATATGTATATTATTATAGAATGAAGCAAAATGTTAGCTGTAAATATAATTAAGACACTCAATATGGTAGATCTCATTAATTTAGGAACTATAGTCAGGCTCATGAAAAGTGAGTGCTGGCCAATATCGAAGTTTATCACTGTAGTGGTATCATTTTCTACCATTGTGTGGGTCACTTCATGGATCATGCTCATACTAATTTTATTTCAGAGGAGTAGAGAAGGGTAGGGATGCATTTAAGCACAAGCTTAAGTCTATGGGACCCAAACAAAAATAGCTATTATAAAAAAAAAATAAAATGGATTAAAAATATTTGCCATTCCCAAATTAGAATCTGCACCATAGACTAGCCAATGAGCAAATATTGAGGGGACATAAGGAAACACGACTACTAGCAATCAATTTTTGTGAGCTAAACCTTAATTAACTACACATATAAAAGTTTGTATAAAAAGTTGATTTTGATAATTACCTAATATGAGAACTGCTACATTCATTTGTTTATTTTATAGTTATAAACAGTGGCACACAAAGGAATTTTGTGAACACATGTAGTTAACAAAAGTATCCACTCGTCCACCTTTATTATTTTTAATCTTTTTTGTGGCATCAATACACCCATGATTAATTATGAGTACACCAGTAATCTATACCTATCTTACTCGAGAGCACAATTCGCAGTTATGTAGTTACATTACTTAATAACCTGTCTGTGTGTCACTTAATTAGATTAATATAGTTAAAATATCATTCTAGGTTAGGTTATCAGGTTTAAGTGTTAAAAAATCATATAAGATCAAGTATCTTATACATATTAAGTTTTCTACAATCAGAGCTTCAAAGCACTATTTATAACGTTATAATGAAAAATAAACAAAATACAGGAAAAGAAACATAAAATATCATTAATCATAATTAATGATTAACAATAAACAAACAATAAACTTAACTGTAATGTGAAAAAATAATTACAAATAAAGTTTGTACTTTTTTATTTTTATATAAAACCTTATACTTTATATGTATTAACAATTTAAAGTTGGCTAACACGTGTTAACAATAAATTATATTTTCCAAAATATTTTATTACTGATTTATTTGTAAAATATGAAAATGTAGAGTTCACACAGTTATAAATTGGACAGATTACTGTAGTATTTTGGAATAATTCCGACTGGCAACTCTGTGAGCTCAACTTTAGTAGGTATATTAATTTATTTCTATAATTCTACTAATTTATCTGGTTTTTGTTAAATTTAATTAATGTGGTTTGGTGTCAATTTCATATTATATTATAAATAGTTGACAGATGTCGTTAATTGATTATTTTGTCATTTACCTATCCATCCCATCTTTTGTTTTAACAATATTTTATCTTAGTACTAACCAGTAGTTTATCTTTACTTCATAATACTAAGGTATTTATTCAATATAATTATTTTATTTCATTATTTTTACAATAAAATTATAATAGGTTAGGTAAAGTATTTCAATTTATAGTAATGCAATCAATAAAATAATAGTTGTAATTACAATTATGATGTCTAGTCAAAAACATGTTTTATAAATTTATATTATATTATAACTTAAAACATACGTTCTAAAGTTTAATAAACTAAATACAAATTAAAACACTAATTAATAAGTTATTAATTTTAATTTTTCTATGTTTTTAAAAAAGTATGTTTTTTTTTTTTTTACATTTATGAGTTATGTGAAAAATGATAGTACAATTTATAACCACAATTGCACAATTTCAAATTTATTAACAAATAATGTTTTAACATAAAATAACGTAAAACATTAATATTATATAGAATTCAAATACCCGAAAACGTAAAAATAATAAATTTTTTTATAAATTTAAGTTCTGTTTACAATAGTAATTTCACAAAAATAGCATTTTAACTTATTTTATATTAATTAAAAATTAATTCTGCACATATTTTAGGAAAATTGAAAATTCTGATTGTAGAATATAGATAAGGTGAGGAAATGCAAAAATATAGGTGGTTTTTCAATATATTATAAATAGGGAACGGATTTGAATGCAAATTGCATTTTTTTTCTGAATGTCAGAAAACATTGCTTTCCAAGCACAAAGTTCATTTCATACATCAAGGAATTAAGAAATGTAACTTTTATTTTGCATTTTTTATTATTTTTAGGGCATTTTTATGTTCTTAAGTCATTTTTGTATAGAAATGGATAAAATTTGATAAAAATGTAGATTAACATTCTTTCTAAAAAAATAAAAATAAATATTTATTATATTTTTACCGATCAGATAAACCCTGACTCCAGACGAAATTATTGTTAACATACGTATATACATATATACAATTCTTATTTTTTATGGCATTAAAGTCTGTTCCCTAATTATAAACTTCAATAGATAAGGTTTATGTAAAATATCTATAAATTGCTTAACATATAGTAAAATATGATTAATTTATTAAAAACTTAAAAATAAGACACTAGTTAAACAAATTATTACACTGATTTACTTACTATTTGGATGAAACATTTCACATGTGAAAGTCATTTTTGGAGGACTTAATGGGTAGTCTGATGGAAATACAAGTTTAGCTGGAAAAACACCACCTTCAAAACATGTTCCTTCAGGTCCTCTACACAAAATAAAATAATTATTTTTTAATATGTAAATATAGTTTACTAATATTATAAGTGACCTACGTGATTAAAGCTTCCCATTCAAAGTAATTTTCTTCGGTTATCGGGCCAGCGATGATACCTTCAGGAGGATTTAATGTCAACTCTACAAAAGTTAAAAGCATTTGAAATTTACATCTGTTGTATTTTTGTTATTTATTTACTTACGCTTGTATTCGGCCATAAGTCGTCTGAGGGCAGATCCAGCCATTACGAGAAATTTTGTAGAGCAGATCAGCAGATTGTAAGTTGAAGAAGACACGTCTCTATAGCTCAATCATAATAATATAGATCTAAGACCGTGATATATATTATGGATATTATGATATAATAATTGATAACGAAAGACCTGACCACGGTTACAGATAATAACCATATACTATATATAATAGAAGTAATTACTCTATGATAATAACATTACCCACGAATACACGATTCACAACTCACAAGTAGTCACACTCGATCAGTTTAACTTACATGTGCAGCTTATCACGTATTTTTTTCTATGCGTGTGACGTCATATTTGTGCGATAAACTGAGAAAACTGTGCAGTTCTGGCAGAATTCTACGCAGGATATTACGAAAAATACGTGATACGAAAAACTAGGTACTTTGCAACGATAAACTACACGTTTTTTTTTTTTTTTTTTTTCCGAAACTTTAAAAATTCAATTAGTTACAACAATTACACTTAAAAATACAGAAAGATAAACCAACGTAAAAATAGGAAATATAAAAGTCGTTAATATGAGCTTAAATATGCTTAAATTTTAGAACTTTCCGTACTAATAAATATCATTTTCCTCCTTAAAGCCGCACTGCATAAACAACATATTCCTAAGTCCAAAAATTATCTCCCCCTCATTAATTTAATCACCATTATGTTTCTATTTATTGATTACGATACCTTTTATTCATTATGATTATTTTGTATTAAAATTTAACTATCCATTTAGTTCATTTAATCGAACAGTTTGCACAGTCTGATCTAATTGTTTCTAGCCACGCACGTCAACTCTTCTATAATAATATCCCTAAGTGCTTGAAAAGAAACTAGTATTGACAATTTTAAATCTTCATAGCTCCTCTCTGTGGTCTGTTACCTAAACCCGAAGCGTAGAAATTAGTCTTACATGAGAAGGTATTAGGTCTCTCATGACTATATTTTGTTTTTCAATAAGAGGTACAACTTTACTCAAGTACACTTAAAAATGTTGTCACATCCATTTCTTGGTAATTAATGAAATCGGCAATCTCTCCTTTTTTCAACTCATTCAACAAATGACAATAGCTGGACAAAAACAATTCTTGCTCCATCGTTCACGGTGCCTTTTCTTCCACTTATCTTCTTCAAGCAGAACTGCTGCAATAATTACTCAACACACTGCTACCCTTTTTTTTTTTGCGGTCACTCATTGTCGTAAATATACACGCACAGTAGACTGTGACTACACCGCCGCACGAAAAAATTGAGAGAACTGTGAACATACTGAGAAAAAATCTGAAATAGCTTACACGTTTAAACGTTTATAACTCTAAAACTAAGCCAAATATTTACTCTGACTTTAATAAAAAAAACTTTGTTATCAAAATATCAATGAATACAAATAATAATAATAAAAATGTCAATTTTTACCACAATTTTGATTAATTCTAAAAATGATATTATGTCAACGAGATTTCCTTCTATTTTTATCGATTGCAAAGTCAAAAACCTCGATCGGTTTATTGCGCCATGCATCACTATTACCATTCATCACATTAAATGTATAATAATATATATTAAACTGTTTTGATTTTTAACTTTTTTCAAATTTTCGAATTAAGACTGAAAATAGCTTCCTTGTGGTCTCAAACTTGCCCAAAAAAAAAATTTCAGAACTTGCTCTTTGCATATATATTTTTTCCACCCATTTTAGTATCGTATCAATACTTCACATTTACTCATTAAGTTCGAAAGTTACGAGGTTGTACATAATTTTTTCTTAAAGATCATACAAAATACAAAAGTTTCACTTGGAATCATTGGTAGAAATTTATAAAAATTGTATAACCTAAGGGTTTTTTAACTTTTTTATTTATAGTATTAAAAGGTTGTATAACTCAGCCACTTTTTAATCAAAAATGTTCAAATAAGATTCATTTTTTTAAGTTATGAAAAGGCCTTGTTATTGATAATTGATTATAAATTAGTTTCCTAGACTATATTGAGTTGAAAATTTAAAAAAAATCTGTTAATTTGTATAGATTTTTACAAATGAGCTATTCTTATAACAGTACAATTTCACTTGATTCCAAGTGAATCTTATTTATTTTTTTGCGATTTTTAAGAAAAAGCTATGTACAACCTCGTAACTTAAAGAGTAAAGTAAATGTGATCTAAAAACACTACCTATAATTTATTTTATCGCCCTTCAAACTTCGTGCATTTGACATTTGTGCGTGTTTATTAGTTTTTTTACAGCCTATTGCTTATATTATAGCAATCTGTACGCAATTTGGAAGCCACTGGGCCTTATCAAATATTGCCAACTGTCAACAGAACGTACGAGATGGATAAGCGATTGTTTAAAATATGTATAATATTATTATCTAGACATGAGCTCTGGCGTTGCCCGCCAAAAATAAATAAATCGACCATTCCCTAAGTCTGTTACTTTTACTATTGCCACAATCAGGTAGTTAGTACATAAAATAAATTAAAATATGGTATGTTCTAAAACTTGAATACTGTGAACTATTAAGTATAAAGTGTAATTGTTATAATACCAAAGGTAAAAATAAAGATTTACAAACAAAACATTTAATGTTAAAGTTTATTTTTTTTCATTTATTTTATAGTATATAATGAAATTGTGAATTACCACGTTTTGAAATGGAATTGTCAACTATTGAAAATGATGAAGTCGAAGTAGAGTTCATTAAAGATGAAGAAGTTATTCACATAATAAAAGAAGAGATATCACCTCAAAGTTAGTATTGGCATCCATAATAAACAACGGTATATGCATATTACTTAAAGATATATATATATATATATATATATATATATATATATATTCGCAATATATAATTAGGTATTATAATAAGCAAATGTAATTTCGGGAAAAGGTTGCCAGTATAGAGGCAGCCGCTCATTGACGGCACCCCTATTTACATAGTAGGTATAATATATATTTTATAAATTATATTATATTTTCATTAAGATAAATCATTTATGTACTGTGCTTGTACATCCAGTGATTTTAAACACCTTAATGCTCTAATTGTATATTAATACAAGGTATCCCACAAGGATAAGGACTACAAATATTTGTATTTCAATTATTTTTTTTATATTTTAGTAAATACTTGAAAAAATAACTTTATTTTATTGTTTTTGAAAAATGTTAAAATAGCTATTTTATAGAGTTTATTATAATTCTTCTGAAAATTTTGTGTATTAAATTTTTATTTTCATTAAATTCATGATTTTTAATAATTTTGTAAAGGTCAGAGAAAAAAAAGTATACAGTCAATAAGCTATGATAATAATAACCCATTAGTGAATATGAATAACGTCCTGCTGCATAATAATAAGTACATTTCTCTAAACTTAAAAAATTATTATAAAATCACAAAAATGTAATGAAAATAAAAAGTTGATACGTCATAATTTTCAGAAAAATAAAATGGCTAGGTATATTGACATTTTTCAAAAATAATAAACTAAAGGTAATTTTTTTTAAGATTTACTAAAACATACAAATTTAATTAAATTATAAATATTTGTATTCCTTATCTTTGTGATATATATAAAAAAAACTAGAATTTGATTATCTTTATTACCTCAGTACATATTGTAATAAATATATTTTCGTAGGACACTGTATATCGTAAATACAGATTAAAAACCAGATATACAATAGAGTAGATAGAAAGCTTGAAAAGATATAGGATATAAAGAATTTTAAATTTTATTCTGAAAGCAACAATTATTTATTAACGAGTATTAACCATTTTAATAATTTTGTTTTTATTTTATTATTAATTATTTATTACAAACAAAAATTGATTCTGAGCATAGTAGGTACTATAAGTCATTAGTAAACCAATGTTTGTTGTCAATTTTTAAATTTTATGGGAAAACATGTGAATTTAGACATCTTTTCCAAGTAAATGACCATAGGTCAGACATTTTTTCTTAAAAAAATCCGAGCATTTTACTTAACAAAATATTTTCAAAAAATATATAAAGCGTAAGTTTTAGAAAAAGGATTTGGAATTTTGATGAATCTTTTTAAATAAATTATCATCAAGTAAAAAATCCACATTTTTTAAGGTATAGAATAAGAAAAAAATTATTTTTACTAACTGAAAGTATTTACCGAAGAAAAAACATTGCAAAACTTACAACTTCTTTACTACTCTCAGAATCTAAAATACAAAGCTACTGATATTTATACAAATGTATAATGATAATCAAAAAAAATGTTTTGTAATAAATATAATTGATGTAATTCAAATTTTAATAAAAAAAAACTAATATTAAATAAAACTTAGATTAGTTTTAAAATTTAAACTCATATAGTTTTTTAATTTGCAGAAAACCGTTCAAAGGCCCTAACCAAAACATCCAAAAAACTTAAAGATACCTCGCATAACTATCAAACTTCAATTACAAGTAAGTATAAATTAAAATTACTATTATATAAAACAATTTTTGAAAAATTAACATATTTGTGTGTTTATAAAACTTAATTTCAGTTTGTATTTAAATTCATTAGTAAGATTTTTTTTTAGAACATTATTATTTAAAAATTTATTAATTTATAAACCCAGTGGTGTCCTGTCTAAGTCACCGAGTTTGCGATTTCTGACAGCACTCTTTTCTAATGAGGTCCCTTGAATATTCATTTTTTTTTTTTTCAATAATTTTGATTATAGCAGAGCAAATTAGAACTATTTGGGTTAATATTCTTAGCTGACAGAGGCTAATATTTTTATTTGTTTTATTTACCCCTCCTAAAGATTTAAAATGTATGTATTTTTATTTGTAACTAGGATGACTTTTAGTGGGTTTGTTTTTAATTGAACCTATATGGAAGTGACCTTTTATTAATTTAGCTGACCAAGTAATATGAAGCCATGTTACCACTGTATAAATTAATTTGTTTTAGGTGTATGTAATATAAAAATTATTGCATATACCTAAATAATATTATTTCTTTTCAAGGTTTAATTTTAAATTTATTGTTTTAATTTTAGACAAAAAAACCAAGAAAAAGTCATATTGCACTGATGAAGATTCTAGTGAAAGTGAATCAGATTTCATACTAAAACCAAAGGGTGAATACTTCACTATAGTACATAGTATATTTCTATATACTTTACTATAGTTTTACTACGCTATTTAATTAACCTTTTTGACCATCGGTATTCATTTTTTTTTACAGTTTTATTTAATGATGGGGATATTCCAGGTGAATATATGTTTAATTTTAATTTAAAAGAAAGAAAGATTTCTAAAAATGAATCGATTACATTATCTTCACAAACAACTCCAAAAAGTAAAACAAAAATAACCAAAAATGATTTAGCAAAATGCAGCAAAAGTGATCAAGATAATTATAAAGATGAACAAGACACTAAAAGTATGTTACCCATATATTATAATACTATGTCCAAAAAATAAAATATTTAATTATTTGCTTTCTTTCTTTTCCCCTTTAGCATGTTAATAGTCATGTCTACTGTAGCATTACAACAAACTTATTACTACTAACAATACTGAATAATTCTCATATAAAATAACCCTAAGTTTAAGCACCTTGTAAAGAACCCACCAATAAAAAAAACCACATAAAATATGTTTACAATCATACAAAATATTGTATTGTTTAAAATTAATGACTTTTGTCTAAAAATGTTATTTATTGTTGTATATAAAATATATGAATACACAGATTCATCAATGATTTATAATGGTTTCTTAATTTATAAAAAAAAAATTAAGTGTCACATTTAATCCACGTATGTTGAAAATATAAATGTTTAAATAGGTTTAATGTATATTCAATACCTGTAATTTGATATTTTACATATTTATATTTTTTTTTATGGTTATTTATTCGAAGGGATATTTTCTTTTTTTTCTTCAGTATTGTATTGTACTGCAACGTCAAAACATTGAGTGATCGTAATAAGATACTCACTATCTCGGAAAGTATAACATTTTTCAGAATTTCTTTTTAAAACATTTAAGAAACAAGCAGTTCTAAAATTTTACTGTATCTTTATTTTTTGAAGTGAAACAAATACTTACTTTTATTTTCAAATAACAACTTATATTAAAATTTCTACTATTAGATAAAGGTTAAGTTTAAATAAATTTTGGTATTAGGTTAATTTATATATTAAATTTTTATGTTTACGTAGGAGAGTAGTTGGGTATTATTTACTCTGGCACTGTTCAGCCTTTGAACTACACTACATTTCCCCTACTTACGAAATGCCAAAAATACAAGTGGAATCTTGTATATTTATTGAGTTTTTAATATAGGTTGCTATTTGAAAATCAAATGTAGGTAGTGGTTTCACCCTTAAAAATAATGAAACATTTTGTTTCCTAAATTTTTAAAAAATTTATTACGAATAAAGTTAATACTTTTCGGGATAATAAATATCTCACATTCAGTCATCCTGTATAATGTTAACAAAAAAAAAAAAATCGATGACTTATAGTGTGATATTGTTACAGTGTCTTAATTTTTACCATTATACAGGGATGAGTGCAATGTTTAGTGTGTACCTTACTGGCCCAGTAGTCTATGGCTGACTACTTAACTGCCAAACTATGAATTCCATGTCTTGTATTACTTTGTTTTCTGTATTATTGTATTTAAGTTATAGGATTTTAATATTTAATTTGAAATTAAATAATATTTTAATTGATTCCTAATAATGTTATGTTTTTGATTTCAGTTGATAATGAAAAAGAAATTAAATTTAACATTTCTCATAAAAGGTTAATCAGAGCTACATTGGAAGACAAGGATGGTATCTAATCAATTAATAAATAAATAAATTCAAATACATACTTATGTTTAATTTACTAGTTATCAAATATTTTTTTTTTTTTTTTATAGAATCTAAAAGTCTAAATGATGACAAATTTAACTATGAAACACCAAAAAAATCTAAAAATATGCATACTTCAAATAATACCAAAACTCAAAGTAGTACAGACCTCATACCAAACTCAGTGTCTAAAACCATGTCTGTAGGAGAAGAAGAATTACTCACAAAAACACCTAAAGTCGTCAGGAAGAAGATTGCTAAAGGTTATTTAGTTGTATCTACATTTGCAATTAATATCCAACTTCTACATTTTTAAATACATTTTTTTAGGAATAGCCCATCAGAAAATTGAACAGCTCAATGAGGCAAATGATTCAGACTATAGTATTAGTGACAAAAATGATGAAAGTGATAGTGATAATAGTACTCCTTCTAATGTTCAAAAACCACAGTCAGAAGTATCCAGCAATACAAATATTACATTAAGAAGATCTACTAGAAAAAAAGAAATTTCTTTTGTAAATATTTTGTATTCTACTTAACAATTGTACTTTACTTTTTCTTCTAGGTGTTTTACAGGCCATTTAGGCCCATTGCCATAAAAACCACTTGTCTCTAATAAGTTTTTTTTTTGCAGGTTTTCCCCATTCTCTATTACAAGTTCTTTCAAGTCTTGATTGCTCTATTTTTCCATTTTTGTCTGAGATGTCTTCTTGGCCTTTTTGAGTTTGAATTCCAATTTGAAACCTGTCTAATTGTCCTAGTTGATTTCACGGGTCCAGCCCACGTCAATCTAATATTTTTTAGGACGCCATTGATTTTCGTTTCTCTGTACAGATTTTGAATCTCCTGGTTTGTTCTTATCTCAAATTCCCCTATATTGTTATTTTAATGATTTTTTTTAATAACTTCCATTTAAAAGTCGTTAGTTTTTATTTTTCTGACTTTGTTGTGGTCTATGCACCACATGCATGCAAGGCAACTGGCAACTGGTCTTAATAGAAGTTTGTAAAGAATTATTTTTATTTTCCATGATAAAATCTTTGATTTAAATAAAGGTATCAACCCAAAATAACATCTGTTTGCCGCTACCACAAACTAAGATTATTTCGTGGCCGCTGCTAATCTTAATTTTATCTTTTCATGGCTGTTTGTATCCTTGTTAATATCCACTCCCCAGGTATTTGAAATAAATTATCAATTCTTTCTAATTTATAGTGGCAATTATCCTGGTTTCTTGCTTTATAATTCTTCCTAGTTATGACCATGTTTGTAGTCTTTTCTTTGTTTATTCTCTTCCCATTTCCCATCTATTTTTTCGTAGTATCCTTTAGACTCGTTTCATTTTCTGTCATTACAACTATTTTGTCTGCATATCAGTATAATTTAACTCCACTCGCTGTGACTAAAGTTTCTCCTATGACTGTTCTCTGTTGATTTTGTAATTTTGTTTTTCCTATCATCCTATTGAAATCTTTGTTTTGAACTTTGCTTTTATTAGGAAGTGATTAGAAATTGCACTACAACCCCTCATGTTTCTTACATCTTCCACAATTGATCTTTACCACCAGTCAACAACTATAACGTCTATTTGGTTTATTACCTTCCCACAACGTGATATCCAGGTCTGTTTATAGATGTTTTTGTGTGGAAAACTATTACTTAAGACTATGTTCCTTGCTGCTACAAACATAATTTATTTATTAAAATATTTTCATTGGACTCATCATGAAAATTGTTTTTTCCAATAGTTGATCTTTATACCATTTCTCTTCCAATTTGAAGTGACCCCATCCTGATGTGTTTAAAAATAAACCAAATTGTTCCATTTTACTTCAATTGACGGTATTATAATATTAAATCATTTCCATTTAAACTCTACTTAATAAATTCTGTCAGTCATTGGTTCAAAATTAATAACATTTGATAGACTATTTTCAATTATAAAGCCTATTCCTATGGTGCTCTCATGGTTGTTACATTTTACAATTTATATATTGTACTTACATATCTTATGTTTTCAGATGTATAGATCAGAAGAATATTTTTTATCCAAATCAATCAAGTCTTTGAAAAAATCTAAGACATCAGACAATACGTTAAAACTATTAAAAAATCCTATCTTGGACAAAAAACAAGTTGATCGATTATCCAAAAATTCTAATGCTGTACATGATAACAAATTTAAGGCTCTACATAAAGATTATGTATCTAAATTTCCATACTGGTTGCGTTTACTTAAGTAAATATAATCTACTTAATCTAAATCATAGTGCTCATTAAAATTTTTTTTTATAGAGAAGGGTTTAATTTACTACTCTATGGTTTTGGATCCAAAAGACAAATCATTAATGATTTTAGGGAGTCAATGTTAAAAAATGAACCTTCATTAATAATTAATGGATTTTTTCCAGGACTAACATTAAAAGAAGTATGTATTATATAGATAATCATGGTATATTGATACATTGTTTAATAACATTTAGATAATATTATTGCTTGCTAATAATTTATAGATTTTAGAATCCATAAATATTGATATATTGGATTTAGAGAGCTGTCCAGGAAGTGCCGAACTAGCAATTCAACAAATTGAAGAAACAGTGAAAGTAAAAAATGTTGATTTTATTTACATTCTTATAAACAACATAGATGGCATTGAATTACAAAACTGTAAAACTCAACATGTACTTTCAAGGATTTGTTCATTAAAAAATGTGTGCCTTGTAGCATCAATTGATAAAGTAAATGCTGCTTTAAGTAAGTGTGATGTGTTTAAATTTTGTTAATGATTTATTTATTTTAGATTATGAGTGCGGTTTTGAATTAATGAATTGGTTTTACTGTTTTTTTTTTTTTTTTGTGTATCTCAGTGAACAACTTTTTTTTACCATAAATCTTACTTCTATTTTGAAGTGTAGTATCATGTCTATATGAAAATTTTGTTTAATTGTTACATTGTGTTTTTTGTATTTTCCTTTTAGTTTTTATTAATTGAGAAAAAATAGGAATATGTATGATATTAGGATTTCATTATTTTCGGTTTTATTGTAATTCTTCTCCTTCTTTTTCATCCCAACTATTTGGGGTTGGCCACCCTCCTTTTAAACTTCCACTTGATATGTTTGCCCACCTGGCATACATTGCTGTACTCATTTCATTCTCATAATCATCAAACTACCTATTTTTGAAATTACTCTCATACTCTTTTTTACTTGGTTTATTCCCATTACAATTTTTACTGCTTATGATTCCTTTCTCCTTGTCTCTTGCCCAAATGATCTTGGTCTATTTTCTCAAATTTTGTCCACAATGGAAAGCACCTCTTGTATACTAATACTTAATCTTTCCTCATCATTCCACTCATTCACCTAAACATTCTTATCTCTGCTACATTCAGTTTCTGTTCTATTTTTCTGTTTACCACCAAACACTAAATCATACAACAGTTGGTCTCATCATACATTTGTAGAACTTTAAAAGTTTCATTAGAATTCTCTTATTACATAAAACATTTGACTTTTTTTCCCATTTTATCCAACTACACTTATTTTTTATTCCACGTTCTTGTCAAGCCACCATTCTTATGTTCAAAAGATCCTAAATACTTAAAACTCTCAACCTTGACTATTAAGTCACCACTTATTTTCATTACCCGTCTTTTGCTGTTCCTCCAAATTCATACTCTATGTACTCTGTTTTACTTCTATTTATTCATAGTCCCTTTCTTTCATCCCATTCTCTAGTCCTGATTGCTAACTTCTTCTATATTTTCTCCTATCAAAGGTACAACATTTGTAAACATGCATCATGTTACCTTCTCTGACCTCTTCTGAGATGGAATCCCTCATACTATTTTACAAAACTTTACACTGGCTGTCCACCATTTATTAAATCTTACGGTTTTTTTTTCGTTGTAATTTAGTTCAAAATAACTAAAAATCTAAAATTCTCACAATATATTAGTATTTTCTTGGTGTCATTACAATTCTCAAAAAATTCTGGTGGTTTTTTAATGCTATTTAATAGTAATTTTACATTTTGGTGTTTTAGTTTTTTTGTTTTTATTTCAATTTAATTAGTTTAGCTTATATATTTTTTACTGGGTCTGTCAATTCACAGTTGTACTTGGTGTTGTAAAAACAAGTCTTGGTTGTTTTTTTAGTATACACTTTTAAAGTTCAAATTTTAATAGTATCAGTAAAATGTTGAGAATTATTTTTCAATTTATGTGAATATAAGTATAAAATCTTGTCTTAATCAAAATTTTTGAAAGGTTTATTAATTTATCATACTTAGTTTTTTAATTACATATATTAATAAAAATCACAGTATTTCAAAATATGTTTCACCAACATTCATCATATTATAATGTCAGCATTAATTTATTGTTGCATACAGATATTAACAGATACTAATTAAATAATATAGTAACCTACCTTTCCAATATTTTAAATATCTATAATTATTATAATTTTTTTAGTGTGGGATAACACAAAATTAGGCGATTATAATTTTATATGGATGGACTGTACTAATTATTTACCATATACAGTTGAAACTAGTTATATTGAGTCTTTAATGGTAAAAAATACTGGGTCTATACATGCCTTTTCAGCATTAAATAATGTTTACAAATCATTAAATTCCAATTCTAAACGTATATTACTATTGCTAATCAAAGATCGTATTGAAAATAAAAATGATAAAAAATATGGTGGTAAGTAATGATTTTAAATTTCTTTAAACTTATTTCAAGTATCTTAAATTGATCTATTTTTACAGGAGTTCCATTTTCAATACTTTATGGTTGGTGTCGTCAACAATTTTTAGTTAGTACAGATCTAGCTCTAAGAAGTCAATTAACTGAATTTGTTGATCATCAATTAGTAAAATGGAAACGTGATGCTGATGTTCTTTATATTCCAGTTGATATTGATGTACTTTTACAGTTTTATAAACAAAACGAAGAAGATTATGAATAAAAGTTCATTTTTAGTATATTTAGTTTTAATATGGGAAGTACAATTGTTTTTAAATTAATTTTCATAATAATAATTCAATATACAACATATTAAAAAAAAAAAAAAAATTGTTTAATATGTTTCTATTCTAAAATTATATAACTTTTCAATATTAACTTATATAATATTACGGTTCATATATCTGACTAGATATCTACTTTTAAAATATTAGTTTTCATCAATTAAGCCCATACCTGTAACAAATAATTGGTATGTAATACATATATATTGTGTTAATAAATTAAATTTAAAAAAAATAATTAACCATTTAAATAAAAAATGGTTTTCTTTTTAAACAAATTCATTCATTCATTATTTCATAGTAATTATTAGTATTTATAGGTACAGATTTTAAATTCTGAGCCGCTGTGTTAACAATTTTGTTTTCTACCAGAAATATTGATCCAAATTACAAGAGTATCATTTTCTGAGAAAAAATATTGGTCAGTGTGTAAGAAAGTTTAATAACATATAAATGATTTCATTATTTTTAATTTTGTATTTAGATTTAATTCTGTTTAAATAATCTTAAGAGATCTAATATTTTCACAGAATACTAAAAATTGGCCTTCTGTAGACAAAGTGAAATATTCAAAACAATTTTTAATTTATAGTAATTTGATATATTATATAATAAAATGGTTCTTTTTTTAATTAGCGATTTAAGATCAAATATTGACAAAAACTATAACAATTTAAAAAAACGAAAATACTTCCCCAGTCAGATTATTTTTCAGAAAAATTGCTACACTTGTAAATCAGAGCAAGATTTCTGGTAGTAAGTTACCAATTCAAAAAATACATTGTAAAACTAATACATTCCTCGTTCTGTTAAGAATCTAAGTCATAAAAATTCAATTCTTGGCAATTTCTACTTGATAATTTAAATTTAAATTAAAGTATACCAAGAATAAAATATTTTAAAACTGAAATAATTATGAAGCGTAGTAAAATAAATTATGTTATAGTTACATACACGTAAAGAAGCATCCCAACTTGCAGAAGCTAATGCAGTTCCATCAGGTGAAAGTTTTATACTTGTAACTCTATTTTCATGTCCATACAACAAACTGACTCTTTCACATTTTAAACTATCCCAAGCATTTATAGTATAATCTGTGTAACCACCAAATAAAATTCTACCTAATGATGGGAAAAATTGAAGTTATTTTTTTAAAATTATTTTATTAATTCAAATTAATAAGGAACTTACCACTGACAGAAAAATCTATAGAATTAACTCCAAACAAAATGCTCTCTTTTGAGTACACTGCAACTTCTTTGTCTGCTCTTAAATCATACAAGCGACACTAATAAAATAAATATATGCCATATTAACACGTGTTCTATGTAACCAAATTATTTCTAATTACCGTAGAGTCATCTGATCCAGATGCTACAGCGTCTCCACTTGGATGAAACTTGACACTATTTATGTCAGATAAATGTCCTTCAAATGATTGAACACTTTGACCAGTCCTCATATCCCATAAAAGTAACATTTTATCACAACTCTAAGGGGGAAAAAAATTTCTAATGCAGAAAAAACATTAAAATAATAAAACTTATTACAAAAACATATTGATATTGAAATTAATTTATAAATGTAATTATTTCTCTTGTAAAAAAAAAAAAAAAAAAAAAAAAAAACAAAAACATACACCTGACACAAAAGTATTTCCAATTTCTGATGGTGATAAATCAATGGACATTATATCACCTGTATGGCCATGAAACGACTGTAGCATTTGACCAGACTCAACATCCCAAAGTGCAGCAGTAGCATCACCACTCCCAGTCAATATCTTAAAAATTAAATTGAATATGATAAATATTTTTATGTATTTATATTATTTATCTATATATCTATACAAATCTATAAATACCTGTTGATCTGAACTAGGAAATAAACAACAAGACATAAAATTTGTGTGTGTACCAACAGTTTTTTTTTTGGCCGATGAATCTTCATCAGGAATTGATACATTGAACACTGTTACTTTGTTATCCAAACCACTTAAAATATAAAAAAGAAATCAATATTTATTTTTAATTTATATGAAGTATTACTACTTTTATTGTACAGAATTTTGTATGTATTTTAAAATTATAACAAGTGTTGATGTACCCTAAAAATCTTACCCGCATGCAACCAAGTGACCCGATGGTGAATAAGCACAAGCCATCACCCAAGTTGTTGGCATTGTAACAGTTTGTTCTTTTGCAGATGTAAATGCATCCCAAATTAGTAATTTACCATCCTAGCATTTGTATGCACCGACACCAAGCAAGCATATTTTATTAAAAACATTAGCATATTTTTAAATTTCTAATATATAAAATTCTACTCTACCTGTGAAGACGAAACAATATGTCGTTTATCTGGTGACCAATCACAACATAGCATTTTAGCTTGATTTCCTTTTAATAATCGTCTAGGTTTTATATTAAGGAATGTTATTTCTTCTAGACGTTCGGCAACATTTGCCACTAAAATGTTTACATTGTAAATTAAAAATTTAATACAGTAAATATAAAAACTTCTATTAAAAGCTATATACATGTTACATCGTTGAGTTTTTTTCTTTCTTCTTCAAGCTTGTGTTTTAAACAGTCAGCTTCACGGCTTAGTAATTCAACAGTTTCACTTCGGGTATTCACGTCTAATGCCATATCTAAATTCCAGATGTTCCTCAATGCAATATCTGCCAGTGGTGGTGCTACTGAATATGACTTACAGTCTTTCATTAAGCAAACTTGTTGAGTTATTTATGTTCTGAAAGATGAATAATTATTTTATTATGATTATCATTTACATTATTAAGATGCTGAAATTATGTAAACCAACATAACTGACTGCAAAAGAGCTCTATGGTCATTATTTTTAATTAGTAATGGCTTATGTCATAATTAATAAGTATAACCCTGATAGCTATCATACAATGCATACAATAAATGAGTGATAAATCATTCAAAGTACAGTGCGCGAGAACAAGTTCTTTATGTGACTTATCTATTAGAATTATTGGGCGCAACTCCAGACATCAACTGTCATATAATACTGAACCACCAGTCACTGTAAATTTAAAAAAAACCTCCTTACATTAAATAATCCATTTTAAATGGATTTAGAATGGGACATGGATGTTATATTTATAAGCTTTATAATTGAGGAGTCACTATATAACTATCATGTGATTGTGGTGTATAAGCCCAGACTATCAAATAAATAACCTCTAAATACCCTAAACACATATTTGATGGTTCCATTGAAGATGTCTTTAAACCTAATCTTGAGAATATCCAGTTGACTCATAGTTTATACTTAAGTATTCAAATATCATTAAATATCACTATATATTACACGATATATTGATAATATAATATTGGATATATATTATCTACCTACTACTTTATAAGCTAAAATATTTACAATTGTTAATTTTTAATTCTATATAGATTCTATGACTTTATAAAATACTATATAAAAAAAAAATAAATATAAAATAACAATTAAATTAGCAATATACTGTTATTCAAAGGAATATATAACAATCGGTAAATATATCCTAAAATAATTTTTTTTAATTTAACTTTTTGTATTAGATAACAAAATATACTTTTGTATTGAATATGTATTTAATTTTGTAAATTGTTATCTGTACTTTGGGTTACAGTCTAATTGCAATAAAAAAAAATTATGACCATTATTTTAGCTAGGTTAATAAAAAAGAAATGGTATAACAAATAAGGTGTATAAAGTAAATATAAAATATAATAAAGTTATATATTATATAATAACTTTGAGAATTAAATATTTTAATCAAAACTAATTAATAAATAATTACCTAATAACCATAATAGTTAATAGTTGATGAAGAACTATTTTACAATATACCTATAGTATACAAAGAACAATGGTTTGGACAAACTACTTTTTTTTTCTATTATCATGTTCATATTTGATAGAAAATTATAATCATAATATGAAATTTTAAATTGATATTTAATACTATAAAAATATGTTCTAATATATTAGATTTTAATTTATTTATATTTAATTAACAATGAAAACATAAACTTTCAACGAATCAATACAACTTTCATTACATATCTATCTGATTTCTAATTACATAAAACATTACTTAAATAAAACAAATTCTAGATGGTGATTTAAGCAGTAAAGAAAAAAATGGATAATGTATTTATGTTAATCAGTAATAATTTATAATTATTATCATACCGTCATAGTGTCATACTGTCATCCAAGTAGAGAAAGATAGAGAAAGTGAGTGCAATAGGCAGGAAACTTTAAACGCTTACCTCGTTCAATTTAACTCCTATGCAGGAAAACCTCTGAAAATAATAACCATTATAAACTAAAAAAATCACGAGACCTTCATTGTAGCACCACACATTAATTCCCGGCATAAATTACTAGTTACTAGTTTACAGTAGTCAGTAGAAGTAATTTATTATTCGTAGTAGTTAATAGGAATTCGTGACTCAGTGGCTCATAGTCTCGACCAAGGAACAGTTGCTATTATCTCTTTTCACTGCGCTATGTATAATTATGATAATAATATGCGTATGCTTGCTTGTCGTCGCCATGAACTAAGAAGTAAGGAGCGCTGTACTGCGTTCTACCAAAAATACATCATCATTATCGCTGCGCGGCGCAACCTGCACCACAGTCACGGAATGAAATTAATGGACAGATATCGATAATAAACATATGTATAGATGAATAAACTTAACAGAATTTGCTGGTATCGACATGGTGGGCGGATGTAGAAAGGACGAGGACGTCACGACCAGCGAGTTTCCTCTGTTATCATCAACATTACCACTCAACTGGTTTTAGCGCTACTGGTGGTCATATTTGGAGTCATAATTTAAACTGTGATCATATTTTAATTATTACATATAATTTGGTAATTTACTCTGGCTTCTCTGCGTTTCATACTCCACACCTACATTCTTCAGTCATGTGTAACTAAACTATAATTTGCACTACCGAAAAATGTTTATTTCACTTTTGATGATGTCTTAAACGAATTATATCAAAGCTTCACAGTGTCACGTCTACGGGTGCGGATGACCTATCAAGCATCTTCTTATATAACTTACGCCATATAGGTTGCTGGACCATTATTGTTGCATTTTAGATAATTCCTAGACTAACGTCTTTATCCATCATTTTTTAAACTCTGTTCCATTACCCTGGAAAAAAATTCCCAAAGCAACTATACAAACAAAATTATATGTATGTAAAAAAAAAACTAAACATAGTTTAATCATCAACGGTTTGAGTTCATATTATGGTAAAATAATTAAATAGGCAATATATATTTTCTTTAATAATATTTGTTTAATATTGTACCTATTTTCCCGGTTTTCCACATTTCCTAGGAAAACTCTTGGGAAAATTAAAAAATGACCTCTTTAAAGTACCTTCCCAGTCAGATTTCCTTTCAGAAAAAATGCTATCATTTTAAATCGAAGCGAAATTGCTGGTAGAAAAGTTGTACACAGAAAGAAAAGGCCATAATATTATTTTACTAATACCTAAATTTCGTACATTTTCCGTTTTTCCGACATTTTATTCCGGTTTTTCCAGAATAAAATTATGAAAACCAATTAAAAAATCATGTAATGACCTCCCTAAATTACCATGAAAATAAAATTTCCTTTCAGAAATTAAGCTGATAATTTAAATAAGCCGGTAGAAAAATTTCCACAACAAATCAAGGGATATTATGCGATTAAAATAGTCCGAGGGAGCGATTGGCTGGGTCTCTCCCTGGATACATCTAAAATGCATTTGTTTTTCCATGTTTGGGTAAAGAAAAAAAAATGCAAATAATTATTTTTGGACATAGGATTATAACAGGCATAAATAACCATTACATCACGACAAATGCTTCAGGAAAGATAATAAAGTTATTTAACATGACATATAATATCCGCATAATATCAAAACTTCACCATCGTTCCTTAATCGGCAATATATATATGTTCATATAAAAAAAAGAAAATTGAATAATTCGATTTGTCCCACATAATTTTTTACTCAAATAATTTTTGTTAAAACTTGATATTAAAATTCCCTTAAAAAAAAGAAAAAAAATACTTTATTAAAATCAATATTTTTACTACAAAGTAAGATTCTTAATGAAATTCCTGTTAAATTTTGAAGTATTTCTGTTCAAGTCTTACAATTTTACAACAACCAGAGAACCTACCGAATAAATATTATATATAAAACTCGCAAAATTAAATCGTCTATATGATGGTTTTTTGCTAAATTAATACACATTTGTAGATACATTCTTATATGATACATACCTCATATTAATAATAATAATATGGTGTTACAAGGAAAAATAAAATTGTGAAGTATCTAATTAAATAATCGGGATTTTACTGTTCACAAGTAGAATTATATGTGCCTGAGTATTAAAAAAATTTAAATATTTGGAAAGCCTGGGGGGGGGGCATAGCCACAATGACCCCTTTCCTGGAATCACACTTGTCACTGCACTTGTCTCTGGTAGTCTGGTATCTTAATTTGGGGTAACCTTAGATCATATACTATGGATAAAACTACTGCATGATAAACGCGTATTACGATTTGAAGACATCATTATTAAAGAGTGCTAAGGTGATTGATGTCTACTGCGCATGCGTATCAGTATTCGTCACATATTTATCATATAATCATTGTAATACAACCAGGCAGTGATGGTATGTACGTAACACATTCACACGTGATTACGTGAATTCCACCAATAGTGTGTGATATAAATTTTGTGCATGTGCACTTGTCCTAATTCCCCTTAGTTATGTTTGAAATATTTAGTCAATAGTTTTATCCATAATTTAATTTCTAATTCGTGGTAAAAACACATCTCATAGATGACAGGAAAATTGATCATAGATCTACTATCTTTACATATTATCATTAATTATCAAAATTCAGTGACCAATCAGAGCGCTGTTTTTTATTAATCTATAGGAACCTGAGAAACCAATTTGTTACATTCGAAGCATCTGAGCTCTGTGCATACTTACATTCCAACTCCAACTTTTTTCTATGATTCGCAGTTTCAACAAAGAGAATAAATTAGATAAATAATATTAAAATTTCTTTATTATCTATGAATTTCGCATGGGCTTACAGATACTTTATCTTGGGTTTATTTCTTACTATTTGATAGCCGTGTTACTCTAAGTTCGTAGTATCTATAATCCGTTATCGACATATTTTGTACACCAATCCTATAGTAATATTCTTGTCTATGGTAGTTACGTCAGCTCCAGGTAAGAATTAATTCGTAATTTGTAGTGTTGTATGTACCTACACCTCACTTACCGTGTGTATAGTGTATGCATCAATTTTACATCATTTTTATTGAATTTTATTGTTAAATATTATAATAATTGTTTTAGTATTTTGTACGTGATAACAGATTGTTACTTATAGTGGTAACGCACGCCCCCTGAGTACCCGTAAAATTAAAGTGAGTTATTGATCCATTTTTATCTTGAGCTTTATTAGAGAGCTTTTGCGTTTATTTGTTGTGTGTCATAATATTTGATTTTATTACTATATATTGTAATCGTTAGGGGAAAAAAAATCAGTATGACTGACAGCAAATATTTTACTACCACCAAAAAAGGTGAAATATTTGAACTGAAGTCTGAACTAAACAGTGATAAAAAGGAAAAAAAGAGAGAAGCTGTTAAAAAGGTAATTATAATCTTTGTTTATATAATATATTGTATCTACTCGTTGTAAAAGTAAATATACTATTATAATGGTTTTAATGTTTAATTACGTAGACATTATAATTTCACTTTTATCTTTAAGTATTCTTAAATGTAATACAATTGTATTTTAACATTATTATAAATTTGTGTAAAATAATATTCAGGCATGTGTTAAAGTAATAAAACATACATTTAAATAAATCCAAATTTATTTAGATGATAATTAAATTTATTTGAATTATAAATAAATTGTTGCATAGTTAAATTTATATCTTGTTTTAAATAGGTTATAGCATCTATGACAGTCGGTAAAGATGTGTCTGCTTTATTTCCTGATGTCGTTAATTGTATGCAAACTGATAACTTGGAACTAAAGAAGCTGGTTTATTTATATTTGATGAACTATGCTAAAAGCAACCCTGATATGGCTATTATGGCTGTCAATACATTCGTTAAGGTATATTTAATTAATTCTGAAAACTTTATATTCTTTATTTTATTATTATATTTATAATTTTAAAGGATTGTGAAGATCCAAATCCATTAATACGTGCTCTTGCCGTGCGCACAATGGGTTGTATAAGGGTTGAAAAAATTACAGAATATCTGTGTGAACCATTACGAAAATGTTTGCGTGATGAAGATCCCTACGTACGAAAAACAGCTGCAGTTTGCGTTGCTAAACTATATGATATCAATGCTCAACTAGTTGATGATCAAGGTTTTTTGGAGCAACTAAAAGAACTTTTATCAGATTCCAACCCCATGGTAATCTAATAATAGTTTGTTTTTTTTATGAAATAGTTAAAATGTGTTTTTTGAAATATCCTATAGGTTGTTGCTAATGCTGTTGCTGCATTATCTGAAATGAATGAAGCTAGTATAACAGGATCTCCATTGATTGAAATGAATTCACAAACCATTAATAAATTATTAACTGCATTAAACGAATGTACAGAATGGGGTCAAGTGTTTATACTTGATTCATTGGCAAATTATAGTCCAAAAGATGATCGTGAGGCACAAAGGTAACAATTTTTTTGGAGTATTCTTCATTATTCAAAAAATGTATTTTTGATATTTTTATTCATTAGTATTAAATAAACACCTATTGTTTTGTTTTGTTTTTTTTATTTTAAATGAGTACATTAGAAAATTTGATGATTGAGTATTTTATATATTTTAGTATATGTGAAAGAATAACACCTCGATTAGCTCATGCTAATGCAGCAGTTGTTTTGTCCGCCATCAAAGTATTAATGAAACTAATGGAAATGTTACCTACTGATTCTGACTTTGTTACTACATTGACTAAAAAACTTGCTCCACCATTAGTTACTCTGTTATCTACAGAACCAGAAGTAATAATATATTATATTGATTAAACTTTTAATTATAAACCTTTTTAGACACATAGTATTCTTTATATGACAAGAATTTAAAACTTTGTATTTTTTAGGTACAATATGTCGCCCTTAGAAATATTAATTTAATAGTTCAAAAGAGACCAGACATACTTAAACATGAAATGAAAGTGTTCTTTGTTAAATATAATGATCCTATTTATGTTAAACTTGAAAAATTGGACATTATGATACGTTTAGCATCACAATCAAACATAGCACAAGTTCTTTCAGAACTTAAAGAGTAATTTTTCTATATATACAATCTATTAAATTTTTATTATTTTACTTATTAAAATGTCATTAGGTATGCGACTGAAGTGGATGTGGATTTTGTACGTAAAGCAGTACGTGCAATTGGTCGATGTGCAATAAAAGTAGAGCAATCAGCTGAACGCTGTGTATCTACACTTTTAGATCTTATTCAGACCAAAGTGAATTATGTAGTTCAAGAAGCAATTGTAGTCATTAAAGATATATTCCGAAAATATCCTAACAAGTACGAAAGTATTATATCATTACTGTGTGAAAATTTGGATACGTTAGATGAACCTGAAGCAAGAGCATCTATGATTTGGATAATTGGAGAATATGCAGAACGTATAGATAACGCCGATGAATTATTGGAGAGTTTCTTGGAGGGTTTCCATGATGAAAACACTCAAGTTCAGTTACAATTATTAACTGCTATTGTTAAACTCTTTTTAAAACGGCCTACTGACACTCAAGAACTAGTGCAACAAGTTCTAAGTTTGGCTACACAAGATTCGGATAACCCCGATTTACGTGATCGTGGTTTTATATATTGGAGATTACTATCCACTGATCCAGGAGCAGCCAAAGACGTTGTACTTGCAGAAAAACCATTAATTTCTGAGGAAACTGATCTTTTGGAACCAACTTTACTTGATGAACTTGTGTGTCATATTTCTAGCCTAGCTAGTGTTTATCATAAACCGCCAAATGCTTTTGTTGAAGGAAGGCCGGGATTACGAAAGTCTTTACCAGCCAGGTTTTTAAACTATTATTCAAAATTTAATTTAATATATAGAATAGACAACCTTGTTTTCCATTTTTCCTCTGCATCCATTATGTTTGCGCCATACTAATTTTTTTTTTACAGAAATGAAAATGTATCTATTGGTAATGTTCCACAAGCTGCAGTCATTCCTGCACCACAAGAATCTTTAATTGGAGATCTTCTTAGTATGGATTTAACAACACCAGCTACTGTTCCTACATCTGTTCAACCACCTTCTGTTGATTTACTTGCTTCCGGATTAGATTCATTGATGACAACATCTGACTTGCCAGTAGCTTCAACATCAAACACTGGCTTACTTGGTGATATATTTGGATTTACACCCACACCAGTATCTTATTCGCCACCCAAAATACTTTGGTTACCCAGTGAAAACGGCAAGGGATTAGAAATTATGGGGACGTTTTCAAGAAAGTATGCTTTCATAGATAAATATATTTTTAAAATTGTATTACATAAATTCTTATACATCTTTACATTTAGAAATGGTCAGATTAATATGGACATGACTCTAAAGAACAAAGCTATGCAACCAATGACTGGATTTGCAATTCAGTTAAACAAAAATTCGTAAGTATTTATATTTTATTTTATTATAATTATTTATTAAAATGTATTAAACATAAAATAAAAACCTAAACAAATATTTTGTTAATGTTTTTTAGTTTTGGTCTGACACCAGCTCGCCCTTTACAAGTATTAAACCCATTATTACCCACTGCATCTTACGAAACCAGCTTAACTCTTGCAACTACTGGACTTGTTCAAAGAATGGAACCTATTACTAACCTTCAAGTATAAATTTAATTATTTTAGATTGAATTCTTTAAATTTGTTTTTATCTTACTTACAATTTTATAGGTTGCCATAAAAAATAATATTGATGTTTTATATTATGCTTGTATTATTCCAATGAATGTATTCTTTGTCGAAGATGGTCAAATGGATAAAAGAGTGTTTTTAACTACATGGAAAGATATACCAGCTGAAAATGAAGTACAATTCACTTTAAAAAATGTCCTTTGTAACACAGGTAAAAAATATATAATTTTATATAACCTTAATAATGTTTTGTAATTAGTTGGTTTAAAAAATTAAACTGTACCAGTACTATTCATTTTTTTAAGATTGAGAATAATACAGACAATCTAATTATATTTATATCCTTTATAGAGGCAATTGTCATGAAGATGTCACAAAATAATGTATTTACAATTGCTAAAAGAAATGTTGAAGGTCAGGATATGTTATATCAATCATTAAAATTGACAAATGGCAATTGGGTGTTGAATGAGCTTAAAATTCAACCAGGAAATCCAAATATAACTGTAAGGAAATTTTAAATATTTTATTAATAGATATTGAGTTAAAAATTATTTAATACGTGGAAATATATTTTTGGTGTAGCAGTAGCCAAAATTGTTAGCTGATATCAAAGTTTTAAAAAGTAGAGCCAATGAGCTATGGTCATTATTCTAAATTAGTGAATAGATTATTTATTTGTATTCTAATTGGACAATTATGTTGTTTATAGCTTTCATTAAAATCACAAGCATTAGAAGTTGCACAAGGAGTTTTCCAAGCATATGATGCTATCCTGCATTCATAAACAATTAATATTTAAATATTATGTAAGTTCATAAAAGTATTCTGAAATAATTTTTAAATTTTAAAACAGTAGTCAAATAATATTTCTTTATATTATACTCATTTTAATAAATATTTTCAATTTAGCTACCCTTTTTATTATTGATTATAAAACAATATGTAACTATTATAAATGAATTTCATTTTTTTCTGAAAAAGATCTATTTAAAATTCATAGTTATTTATTTTTATTTTCACAGACATTTTATTATTTAATACAATATACTATAAATATTTTTTGTTGTGTTCTTAACATTCCTATAATTAACTTTGGTTCAACTAAAACCATATACTTATTTATTATATTTAACAGTAGTTACTTATTTCTATATAAAATAAAATAAATTATGTAGCGATTTATAAAATATATAATATATTAAACTATCAACAAGACAATTTTTAATTTGTATGACCGCTCATAAATTCTTTTTTGATCTCGATCCGTTCTTTTAACGATGGCATATATGGCTTTATGTTGTTTCTTTTACGCTCTCTGAACAAATCATACTAGAAAAAAGTGTAATATAATTAAAACATATAATTTCTATAAGTTTTACAAATTAATATTTTATAAATGCAATAATATATTATTATTATTTAGCAAGTAATATTATAAATACTTTTTTTTTTTTTATCAGTGATTCAAAAAAAATTTAAACAAATTAAATTATATGTTTTTATTTTTTAGACATATATTCTACATAATATTAGACAAATAGTCAAACCCAAAATGTTTTGCAGTCTTTATAATTTTCTATTTCAGGTTCACATTTTGTTTTATCTCCAAAATTATCTTGTAAGCATTTTAGTGATAATTTTTGTTCCTGCACAATAAAATATTAAGTAAATACTAAGCATCTCGTTTAAAAAATAATGTACATTGAAATTTAAATACAAAAATAAGTAAGTATTTTATGATAATAACAGTGGTTAATATAAATAAATAAATATTATATTATATTAAGCGTTGACTTTAATAACCAAGAAAAAGATAATGCAAATTTGTATAGTAATATTATAATATCTAAAAATACCTGTAAGCAAGGATTGCTGTCACTGTTTTGTATTTCATTTGACATTTTAAGATAAATATGTACTTTTTTCTTGAATATTAAAAAGTAAACTTGTATATTCGTATATTCAAAAATTATAAAATATTTAATGTTTGTGTTAATCACAGTGTTTTGCATATCTGTGGTGTTAACTGTTAATACATATTAACTACATTAAAAAATCTAATTTGATAACTCATAAACTAATAAAATGATAAGGCATGTTCTTAAATTATATTAAAAACCCTGATTTTTGTTTGAAAATCAAATAATTCGTAACATCTTTACTAAATACATACAATGAATACAGTAAATCACATAAGCAACAGTTTATTTTAAAAGAAAAAAAAATTTACTTTTAATTTTAAAATCGTAAATCGAATTGTAAAAATGTAGCGATGAACACAATAGTGGTGATAAGCTGTAAGTGATAATGACAATGGTTATATGATAATGTAGTAGTTGGCCATCTTGCAGCCGTTCGGATTTTCTGTCTTTAGACCACGGCTATAGATACTATGGTTGCGTGACGGTCTACAGTGTGTTGCAGGAAAAAATGGCACGAAATGTTATAAGATTTTACCAAAACCTGCCTACTGCAAAAGCCCCCAGTGGATTTATTAGTTTATCATTATTCATTATTATTACTATCATACTTTTTCGAGAATTGTCGCGTAACCATAGTATCTATAGCCATGCTCTAGACCATAGATAATATTATCTATACTGTAGACGCATATGTTGCTCTAAGGTTTATATATAACACAGGTCGCCTCATTCCGAAATTTTGAATAAGTGAGAGTGGGTCTTATGATTCAGTGACGTCATTATCGATTGTCGTACAGTTGCTGACTTGCCGTATGGCGTCTGTTAACGAAGTACGTAACATACGTATTTTTCTCGTTTGCATTGACTGTTTTAGATTACCAAAGAAAATCTGACTGAAAAGGTAGGTACTTTAAAGGGGTAATTTTTCGGTTTTCCCAGGAGTTTTCTTAACCATTGGGAAAAAACGGGAAAATGTAAGAAATGTAGGTAGGTATTAATTAAAAAATATTACTGCTTTCTTTTTTCACGTGAACAACTTTTCTACCAGCTACATTGCGCAGATTTACAATGATATTTTACGTTAATATTTTTTAGTACATAAAATAACTCATGAACAATAGTATATTTTTATAATGTGTTATATTTTCTATTATGTAAATATTATTTGTATATGTTTGGTAACAAAGAAGTTATTAACTTATTTATTAATAATTAGATATTTTAAAAAACTCAAGTACCCTCAATATTGGAGGGTTTTTGTCATTTTTAAAAAATTATAATTTAAACTTTTGTTAATAACTATAAAACGAACAATTAGAAAAAAGAAGAAAAAAAGGTAAGATACTGAGACGGGTGCGGCCAGTGTTGTAAGTGGGAAGGTAGGATACATAAGGTTATTTAATTTATATCTGTAACTAAAGGTAAACAATTAATGAATGACGATTCTGAGCGGAGTTCGGTTACCTAATACTTAATACTGTGGCGATCTTGCCGTAGTAATACCTATATAGTTTTAATTATTGTATAGTAAAACATGTTCGTGTTTCTCGGTTTTGTTTTATTAAATAAGTACAATTAAAATAATAAATAAATCGTTTATAGTGAAGTAAAACTATACATACAGCTGCTTTGCTGTATTCCTGTAATATACGACATCGGAATCTGTACGACATTTAGAAATTTAGTTTTAGGAAGTGATCAATTTTGATAATTTTGATACCTTTCTTCTTTGATATCAATTTGGCAGTTTTTATCCTCATACTGATGGAATTGCTTCATCTAAAATTTTAGGTACTTTAAGACATCTAAATACCGATTTATCATTTATTGAAAAATGATAATAATATAGGTGCACTGAAATTAATATACTTTGTATTTATTTTCATCCTTACCAGATTCCCAAGTAGAAATTATATCACTCTCCTTAAAATGTGAAGCACACATTATAACTTTTTTTAAGAACTGTTTTTAACGCATTTTCCCATTTATATTTTTCATATTCGTTTTTATGGACTCCGAAAGTGGTTTTTGAAACTTTATGTTGTATATGTTTTGATGTTAAATAAATAAATATTATACACAACAATTTTCAAGAATTAAATCAAATACTACTACTGCTGTTTTAATTCGTATTTAACATGTACATTTGAGCGGTAAAGCTAGTCATAACGACGTTAATAATTTTTTATAAAGACGTTTATTTTTAATTTTTTTTTTTTTATCTGTGCGCAACTTTTCTAACAGAAATATTACTCTAATTTACAATTCTAAAAAGAAATTTAACTCGGGAGGTACTTTAGGGAGGTAATTTTTCAACAAATTCAAGAATTTTCTCATCGAATGTGAAAAACCGAAAAAAAACGGGAAAATGTACGAAATTTTTACTAACATATTACAATTTTTTTTTATGCACAACTTTTCTACCAAAAATTTTCCTCCGATTTACAATGATAGCATTTTTTCCAAAAATAAACTGTTAAAATAAACTATTTATGGTCTATGCACCTATGTCTATTATATGTCTATGGGTGTCGGGCACTTTTCTCGAAGATAAGAATCCGAAGATAATAAAATCTGAATTGGGTTCACCAACTTAGAAAACTAAATTCTCAACAAATTATTATCACTTTTCCTTATTACCTACCCGACTACCGACGTGGTTATGCACTACAAATCGAGGGTTATTTTCGATTACATTAATCCGAGCGAGCGAATGGCCCCGTTAGGTCTCTAGGTGCCATATTTACGACTGTATTGACATTAAATAGGATAAAGTAAAAATACATAATGTATTTCATGTTTGTGCATTTAATAATTCTAGATATCCGTTTGTAAATGTTCGATTTATTTAAGGTTGACATAACTTGACATCATCTAAGTGTTTAATTTTTTCTTCCATGATTTCGGGAAAAGTGGCCCCCATCCCGCGCGCGGCAGCCAATTCACTGATGATGAGACGTCGATGAAAACCAAATGAAATCATTGAAATACCGTGTTTTTTTTTTTGTTATTGAAGACAATTAAACAGGTAATATATTTATCAATTAGTTATAATTATATATTATATTTTTTGCTATTCAATTTTATTAATACATACATATTTTTATATTATATTCATATACATCATATTTTTCATATTTGTTTGCTCCCACCTTTCAAACCTCTTTGTTCTGTCATGTACATTTTTCAACAAAATTCTTAAAGTGAAAAGAGGTATTCTTAGTTCATTAGCAGTATCCTTTTGTTTTTTTTCTCAGTCATAATATTTTTCCAAAATCTATAGCGCTTTATATTTTATATCATTAGCTATAACAAAATTACAACTCGAAACAATCGAATGTACACTTGCCTATGAACTGCACTACACTAAAACCTCATAATACAATAAAATAAACCTATTTTAAACAAAACAACTAATATATAGTTTATAATAGTTTTACTAGTTTATAATTTTATTTGTATTACCTATTTGTGAATTGTGGTATCTAGACGTGTAGGTCACTATTCACTAGTACATAGCCAGGTTACGTTAGTCTGGTTTATAGTTAGCTCAATACACATTAGGTACCTATATAGATGGATATATATATATATATTTATATAAATATCAAAAACAATCAATGTAATATCAGGTAAAAAGTTATTGTATTAAGCTCACTTTAAACAATTAAATATTTGATTAAATTATCCATAATTAAAACTTTTTAGTGATTGGTCAAATATAAATATTGAATTTGTACAATTATTATCATAGGTAGTAGCATTGATAATTGATTTATAATTAATGGTAGTAGGTATTAATCACAATACAAATAAAATGTCATTAATATTATGGTACTAATTCATTAGGATATTCTTACATTAGAGCTGTAACATGAGTTAGGACCATAAAAAATTAAAAATTAAAAAAGTATGGAAACTAAGGAAATTGTTCAAAAATAAACGTTCAAGGTTAGGAAATAAGTAAATAAGTAGTCAAATATATAAGTATCTTAGTAGGTATCAACTTTAACTTTCTATTTAGTATGCATTAGTATTTCATAATTATTAGATTCAGAGCGTAGCGACATAATACTATAATTTTTTCTCCCAAGAACCCAAAATTCATAAATGTAAATAATTCCTGGTCCCGCCACTAATTCGTGACCATCACTTTTTAGTGGTATCTGCTTCAATCTGTTTAGTGTTCAGTCTAGCAATACATACTTTTATTCTTTTTGGTGTCTTTAAAAACTAATTTGATTTCATCCAAAATGTTGTATAGGTAATAAAATGTAATAAATAATAATTACAATTAAACTACAAATGACAACTATCAAATATTTTAGAAATTTTTCTAAAATATTTGAAGTTTGGCGTACACCAAATGTGTAGTATTAGTTTTTATAATATAAATAGCATTTCAATATTTATCCTTGGTTTCTTCTTGGCTTCAATTTTTTCGGGCTTTTCAACTTTATTTTAAATTTTGCAATAACCAGAAAGTGGTCTGTGTCACAGTCAACACCCCTATAACTTCTGACATCTACTCTACTACTTATATATCTGCAATCGTTTAATACATGGTCAATTTGGTTTCTCGTTCAATCATCCGGTGATTTCCAAAGAAGAATATTACATCAAAGTAAAAAAGTAATTATAATTTTTATGTACTTACCTATAATTATAAATGTATCTTTTATTCCATTACTTTTAAGGAAATGGCTGCATAAGATTTTTTTAAGGGAAAAGCTTCATATTTAACAAAACAGTGCAGAAAATTTCCCTTATTTCCCCATCTGGTAATGGTTTAGGTTTAGATATATTCTAAACTTCTCTGAAATACTTTACCGTAACTATTTCGGCCATAATTACCCACATTGATTGTTTTAAATTTGAATATTCCATCTACATCCATTCTGGCCATGAACACTATACTAAAGTAATGCTTATAATTATAATTAGCTAAGCCTGTATTTGATGGGCATCTAATTTTAAAGTGTTTACCATCAATAGTATCAATACAATTGGGAATATTCCATAACTTATAGAATTGATCTGCAACATTTTCCCAATTATTATTTGTAGGTATTGGCATGTATATATCTTGAAAACTTTAAATAATTTGAGACGTTACAGTTATAATACTTCTGGTAGTTGACTCTCCTCTCAAGAAGTACATTGAATGGGCCTTCATATGTCCACCTATTGTAAGAAATCGAATACACGTATTACTTCAAATTCCTACTTTGGATCATTATACACCTTTCCTTTCCCTCTATACAAACAATATAGAATTTGTAATGCATATGTTATGAATATTCATTATATTATATGATAAAAAAATTAGGTTGGGTATATTTTTAATTTTTATTAATAACTTGGTAAATTGTTACCTTTTAGTAATTAATTGCAAAGAAAAAAAAATATCTATTAATAATTATAATTGGTTTTTTAGATAAACCACATAGTGGACGTGAAAATATATATATATATATTTTTTTTTTATTAACACTTGTCTTTGTATTTCATATGAAACCTAGTTTGAAATTATAGAAGTATTCGAATAATGATTACTACTAATACCTACTAATAAATATCAGTATAAGTCTTGTATTTTTATACAGGTGTGTATGGTATGATATGTAATGTAAGGTTTATTATCAATATAATATTGTAAATTCTAATAATTGATATTACAATAAACAATGCAAAAAAAAAATTATAATACAAATATGAAAGAATTGCTGGTTTGAAATGTCACATTATGATAATAATAACAAAACATTATGTGCACCTATTAAAATTAGGTAAGTAGGTACCTATACTACCAAACCTAAACATTGTAGATCGTAGTTGAAATAGATAGACATGTAATTGTTATCATTATGTATAAAATGTTATGAACATAAATATATATATTACCTATATTAGGTAACTGTACTTAACTGACAACAGTATTAAATAATATAAGATTGGATACTGTTTTAATCTGTTAAGCTCACTGAAAAAACTAAACAAGTCTATAATATAGTAGCTGTCTATGATATAATATAATTAATAAAATATTAATAGTGTATTTAAGTACAGATATGATGTAAAATTATAAAATGAAATAAAATTTTTTCTTTTAATGCATTAAACAGCCATAACATCAACAACTAAGCAGTAAGCACCAGTCTACAATTTAATAAGTACAAAGAATTTCCCAAGCTGGTTAACATCAGTGGATACATTTTTGAATTTTATATTAGTGCACCAATCATATTAGTACACTAAAACATCACTTTTTAGTTAAACTATTAGTACAAGATCAATAAACTGCATTTTTGAATAATTGTACACTAAAAATTATTATTGCGCTAAAATTTTAAATCAACTTATTAGAGTGGGTAGCTAATGAATAAATCACACTAATGATGTTTAGTTTATAAAGTACCTATCATACTTTTGTTAAACTTAAATTACCTCAAAGTTATAAATAATTAAGACATTTTAAAGGAAAAACGAGATTTAGTTGAAAATCTCATTGCAGGTATATTTAATTCAAAATTGCAATATTAAACCTATTACAATTTCATTATTAGTAAATAAGTAACTATATTAGTCAATGCGATACAGATAGAATATGTAGATTTGACTGATAAAGTATTATCAAAACATCAATAACTGCAATTAATAAGAATTAAAAAAAAAGTCTATTTTTGACCACATTTTAGATAATTCCAAAAAACACTATTTTTCAAGATTAATGTACAAAAACTATAAAAGCAAGTATGACAGATAAGTTTTGATTATACCGATGGATTAAGCAATAAAAATACACATTTTTAATGAAAAGTAATCATGCGGGAGCTAAACTAGAATATGCCAAAAATAAATCCATATACAATTATATAACGTTTATAAAAAAAAAAAAAATAGTTCAAAGTATGAAAAATGATAACACTGCAATACACCGTTAGATTGATAAAAATTCGCCGCGTCAATTTTCCTTTAGCGCGCGACACAGTACAGAGACCGCCATTTTTTGGGATGGCGCGTCGCGCATATAAATCTTACCGCGCAATCACCTTAACACCCACCAATCAGACAGCGCATCAACTGTACCGCGCTGTATGATCCCAGCTATTTTCTATGATATGCATAGATACTAGATAGTAGTATTACGGTTATTGTATCCGTATAAAATTTATAGACATTCTGTATGTATGCTCGTGTGTCCACAATTTTAAATGAATTGGTAGTTAATACCATGTAGGGGGTCAAGCCTGGACCATTTTAATTGTTTTTTGACATATGATATCAATTTTTAATTTGTTCGTGAATTTTATCTATAGATAACCGTGATAGGTAGTAGCCGGCGCGACTTGATTCAATTTTCACTTCAAATCATGATCAAGGTAGTTCTCAATTCAAATCATGACCTGAGTTACTTTACGATTCAAATACTTTGGTAATAAGCATTGAAAAGTATATAAACTTGATCACCGTGAGTATAAAAATAATTGTTCTCCTGTAAAATGTTTATTCATTTTTTTAAATACCTAGGTATAGATTTTAGGTATTTGAGTAGAATTATTCTATTTATTTTTAAATTGCTAGTGTGGCTAAGATATTAGCATTGATTATAAATACTTTATCATTGGTATTATGTAGTAAATATTTTAGATTTTAGGTTCTCTTACTGAATGGTCTCTTTATGTTCTTTTTAATCATATGTTGTCTTCTGGTTTTTTATTGCTTCCCCTGGCCGTTCAAAAAATGTATCACTCTGTCACTCAGGTTTTTTCTGACACCTAATTCGGGTTTGCAAAATGATACTGAAATAATTTCATGAGCCCAAAAGTTAATTTATTTACTGGATAGTATCAATTATTAATTATTGCAAACATTATTACAAATAGATAGCATAGGATGACCATAGAAGGTGAAAATGAAATTTTAAATAAGTCAAATTTATATCTTATACAATATTTCTCATAAGACTATAAAATATTAACAAAGTGTTGGGTTTCTTGTAAAGTATACATGTTTAAATTATTGATTTTGCTGACTGTAGACAAAATAACAAAGATAAGCGTGTACAAATATTCTTAAGGTAGTCATAGATACTGATTCCATCTTAAATAGATTGTAATATTTATTTTAATAAAGAAAAAGAAGAGAGATAGACATTATGATAATAAACTATTTATAGATTTACTGGTTTTTAAGTGTTTAGTTTATAGATTTATTATGAATACAACTAAATAAATTACTACTTATATTTAATTGTATAATTTGAATTAGTGTCAAACGATTGGAAAAACAAAAATACACATAGTACATAGTTTTAGTTAATATAAAAGAAAATGGAGTCAATGGATATATCTGTTTCTGAAGAAGAGCATATGATGGCCAAAGCTAGAAGTTTTCTTGAAACTGATTGTTTTAGAAGTAGAGCCTGGTTACTTACGGCCAAATCAATGTTCCCTGATAACTTTGGAATACACGTATGTTAATATTATTCAGTATTAACAACAGTTAAAAATGCTTACTGCTATATTTGTTCATTGATTTATTTTTTTTTTTTTTAGTTTGAAAGTTATGAAATTGAGAAAAACTTACGTTGTGTTCAAAGAGCTGCCAGGTGCTTCAGTGGTTTGTAAGATAGTCAATTGTTAATATTTACTATTTTATTCTTTTAATCTCAATATATTGTTTAGACTTGAAGATTTTCCTAATGAAGCAATTCTTTGGAAAGAAATTGAAAATTTTACTCCAATTTTGTGTATGGACACGTTTTGTCTATCAGAAGAACAAACATTTTATCGAGAAATGTTTTCCGCACTGCCATTGTGTAAGTTAACCGATATTTGTGGTATCTAATTAATTTTAGTACACTTCATTATGTTATTTCTTTACTTCATGTAGTTAAAAATTATAATGTATCATAGTAATAAATTTGTCATGTACAACAAAATTAATATTTTAATAATTTTTTGTTACAGCCATTCAACAGAAGTTATTGTCAGTGTGTGCTGAAAGGAGTGAAGACACAATGGAACATTGCCGTCTAGTACTTTTACTTCTGAATCGTTTCCCGCAATCATCAACTGAATTAGCAGTAAGAATATTTTTAGAAATAAGTACAAAATAGCTATATTCACGGGCAAAATATTTCAACTGTTTCAGCTAAAGCTTATGGACACAATGATTACAGCAGAAAAACATAATCAATGCCCTAATGTTATAAATTGTTATAGAAAGATTTTAGGTAAAATATAACAATATTATAAAATAAAATAAAATATACAATTTATTTTTAATTTGTTGTGCTGAAATTAAAACTTAGAATAGCAGTTATATTTTTCAAATATTAATACTGTTAGAAATCAAAAATAAATTAGGTGACTGTACTAGAGAATATAACCAGAGTTTGACAATTTCTCTAGCACTCAGATACTCCGGTTTTATGTATAAATCTACGAGCTATGGGTTCAGTAAATTATTCTTGAGGTCGTTGTAAAATTAAATTAGTACTATTTATATAATTATATAAAGTTTATCAATAAGCAGCAAGAATAATTATTTTCATACGCCTAAATATTAGATAAAATACAATTTATTGACTCTAGTTGTTATACATTAAATTTATACATAAGCATATAGGTTCACGGTATCTTTTGCTAATGATTTATTTTTTTTTTGCTTATTGGGCCTGTGTCTCTGAAGTCTGGTATATTCAAAGGTGGCAACCCTACTGGTACCTGACCTTCAATGTTTTTTCAATTTTCTTAGCTTTATACTAACAATACTATAAATAAATAATTTGAATTATAAATTATTAATACAAAATGTTTTTTTATGGATTGTATTCATTTTTAAACAAAGATATTTTTTTTTTTTACAGTTTGCGACCTTGGTCCATTATTAGTGTCAACAAATACCTTAAATCAAAAAAATTTGTATAAAATGTTAACAAAAACAACCGAATTTTATATCACTTATGCTATGGGAGGACATTCTATTATCATTGAGGTAAAATATTTGTCTAATAAAAAATATCAAGATGAATGTATTTAATAAGAGTTTATTTAGAATTTGCCTGAGACTGAAAATTATATTAAGACACCTTGGGAAGATTTGTTTGCATCGTGTGAACGTATTGGTAAAAAACTATCTTGGGAATTGAGATATGTTTTAAGTCAAAGGTATTTTGTTTAATATTTATTTAATTTAGTTTTAATTAATAAGTCACAAATAATGATGAAAATAAATAATTTATTTTAACAATTTAGTGATAAACGTAAAGCGTGGAAAAAAGTATCGAGTTTTGCAAAGAAGTTTGTAATTGCTTCAAATAACAGTGAGCTTAGCAAACAGTTAGTATTTTGTGGCATGATTCTATTTGTGAAACATGTTTTTGAATACAATCAATCTTTACAGCCTGGTAATTAATTTTATTAATGTTTGTTATTAATAAAAACTAAAACTTAAAAACTATTTTTATTTTTATTTGTATTATTTATCTTTGGTTTTCTAGAAAATGATTCAGAATATTTATTAGTTAAAGCAATTAAAGGGCCGAAAGTACAAATTAATAAACCCCCATTGAAACAAGCTGTATTGTCTATAGCCACAAAATTGAATGAATCAGTGATCGGTATAACTGATGAATCGTCTGAAGTCCTTGATCATTTTAAAATGGCATTCAACTATTGGGAGCTACTGACTAATAAAGAACCAATGTGCACTGGTAATGAACTTATATTTGTATTTTGTTTTGTTAAATAAGTAATACTTGAAATATTTACAGATTATTGGAAATTAAGTGCTCAAATTAAAGTAGATACGTTCATAGGTCAATTTCTTAATGACATTGAATTTTATCAAGGAAAATACAAGAATCTTTTTAAAGTTGTCCCAAGTCAAGAAAGCATTAGAAGATCATTATCATTAGTTAACTTGTATTATTGTGTACAAGAATTTAAGGTAGATAAATAATATTTTGTTATTTTATTATTTTTAGCATCTAGGTGTAGGAGCTTTAAAAATATACTTTTTAAAATTTGTGTAGAAATGTGCAGAGAACATATTTGAAGTAGTACATCAAACAAAGAGTTTCATCTTAAATGGGAAACTTTCTATGGAAATAGCTAATCCTCCTGAAGAAAGAGAAATGTATTATATTCAAATAGCAAAATTACCTGTTTTACAATATTGTGTCAAAATAATGATTCAAATTCTCTATGTAAGTTTGTAATAGATTTAATATAATATTAATATTATGTTAAATACAAATATAAATAAATTGTTATATACTTTATTTAGAGCCAGCTTTCAAATTTCCCTACAGACAATGATCTTATTGGTCACCTTTTAGTACTTTCACAGATGGTCTGGCCAGAAGGGAGTGAAATTGCTGAAGATATGTATGAACGCATAGTTAAAATGCCTTTATTTACATATCCTCAATTTTCAGCTTATATTACAAACATAGACATTATTGAAGCGTTCATGGAAATATTCGAATCAAATGATAAATGTGTCTTGAATATATATCCCTGTGTAGGGCCTTCATTAAAGTAAATAAATAATTTATTTTAAAACAGAAGTGAATATATTGTATTATTTAATTAAGTATATTATAAACAAATAATGTTTAATATTTGTAGTTCTCGAATATCAACTAGAGGTACTGGAAAAGGAATAAAAGAAGACTTTAGATCGGCAGTGAAAACACAAGTACAACAATACTCTGAACCTATAGAAGAAACAATGTTATTATTTTTTATGAATGAAAAAAAAAGTTTAATGAAATCTGCTACTCTTATGGAAAAATCTTTAACTTATTAAGTTATTATTGATTTTAAATATTATATAGGGTAATCAATTTTCCATATGACACTGTATTATAGAAATGTATTAATTTTTTAATTTTTTTTCTCAAAATATACAGTTCTAAATTGCTACATTGTCCTTATTTTAAATCATTTTTAAGTTTAATTTTATTAGTAAAAGGTAAGTAAGGAGTTTGTGAAATTGAAATCAAAGCAGTGTAATTGTTACTTTTATTTCTCAAATTTTAACTATTATCACTAAAATATAATTAAATATAAAAAAAAAAAAACTAATTATTATTGTATTATACCTACATCTAATAAAATAAAAGATTATTTACCAGATTTAAATGCAATTGTTACAATGAATCATTGTAATGAACGATAATAATATACATTTTGCATCAAAAAAATTAATTGGTTTTCATATTATATGTCATACATTTAAATCATATTTGTTTAAATAATTATACTCTTAAGTTCTAATGTCTAATGAACTCAGCACTCCCATCACAAACTGGGCTTATATGGAATGTTGCATATTGTATATTGTATTGTTTATAGTATGTGTACTAATTTTTCAAATAAATTATTATTAAATTGTAATATTTAATTGAAGTATATCATTAGGTGAAATATTTATAACAACATACACAATGTTTGAAAATGTTAAAAAGTTGGTTATATTTCTTAATTCACAATATCTGTTCAAATATTAAAAACATTGTAATTATTAATTAGGTATTAAATTATGTATTTATAATAATTTAACTCACTCTCCAAATGGTACTAATGAAGCATTACTATGAAAATCATAAAACTTTAACCAATTTGTACAATTTTCATTATGGTTTTCATTTAATATTGAGATGGTAGCATTTAATCGCATTTGTGTACCTGGTGGACTTTCTATTAAAAAAGTACAGTCATCTAAAAATAAAAACCTTTAGATTTACAATGTTTTTAAAAAATAAAACAATTTTATCTAACTTACTATAATTTCCTGTTACTTTTGAATTATAATCCAACACATAATTGCCTGAAGTTATTGTGTATGTTGAATGACAAGGAGTTAATTGTATATGACTTTCTGGCCATTTGAAATTTAATTGCATACTATTACCATATAGATTCAAAAATACAATAGAAAGTAAAGTAAAATATATATTTTTGAACCAAAATGGCATCTTTATATGTTCAATATAAAATAAAATATTGACTAAACATTAAATGACCAAGTTTTGTGTAATACTAAATAAAAGTTAAACAATTGCATCAGCTCCTAGAGAAAAAAAATACATATGGGTACCTAATTATTCAAATTTTATTTAGAAAACATGAGGGTCAATTAACATAATCAAATAACTTGTAAATTATATTTAAGTTTTCCATTAAATATTTTCACTATTTTAAATATCTATGACCTACTTCATGCAATGGTATTGTGTAACTTATAGATTTAATTGATAAAATATATACTTTTTTTAAATCAACTTTAATTAATCTATTTCATAATATTTGTAAATATGAAAATTAGAAATACATTTCATCATAATTTGTGTTTAGTTACAAATAAATCTTAGACATATTTAAGTATAATTTACTAAAGCTTAATATATTAATATTTAAAAAAAAAAAAAAAATATAACTTTTAAAATCTTTATTAGGTAATAATAGTAAAATTATACATAATATGATATATATATATATTTTTTTGTTTACATTTTAGCTTAGTTCACTTAACAAACTTATAATTGTTAACTTCAAAATACTAATTTACAGATTTATTACTTTTCTTACTACTATTTAAATTTAAACATTTTTCTTATGTTTTACATTTTAATGTTTTTAATATATTTGTTAAATCAATAATATCATTTCTATTTAAATTTAAAATACATGTCTATGTTTTAGTATTTAATGATTGATAACTATATATACTTAATGAAAAATTAATATTTTGATCTGCTTTTATTAAAATTATTGCAGTATTTGATTCTGTCAATGTCATACCAAAAACATCATTTAATCCACAGATACTGAAAAATAATAATTATTTTTGTTATTATTCATAATAAAAAAAAAAGATTAATTTTTTTTTAACTTTGAACATTGCCTTCAGTTTTCAATCCTCATTAAATTTGTGAAAAATTAAAGAAACAAAGTTTAACATTAAATTGTTTAAAAACGATCCACCACAGCAAATTAAACCTCTTATATAAATAATATGTAAACCTTAAGAATATTTTCAAGTTAAAAATAAAATCTTACTCTTTAATAAGTTTTACATTTCCATTATTGACTTTAAATAATCTGATGTTTTGATTAGCCAAGTTTTCATTTGCATCTGTTAATCCTTGTTCTATTGCTACAGCTAGACTTAAGTTCTCCATACTATTTAACAATATTGCACAAAATCCAGCCGGTGTTGATCCATTGACTAAAGGTATTTCTACATTAAAATGTTTACTTCTAAAAGTGTTTATAGAAACAACACATGATCCATAATACATTCTTAGTGTTTGAAATTTTTCAGGATAAGTACCCAAATAATAACTGGGCATCCAATTATTATTATATGCTAAACATTTACTAATTAAAATAAGCAAAAATGAAAAAGTGGAGGCCAACATTGTGATGTGACAGTGTTATGATAACTGATTTAATGTAGTAACTGGTTCAGTCTAATAGCATATTGTGACAGTTTCTAAATAGAACTATGGAGGGAAGGAAACAATAAAACTGAAAACACCAGTTGATATGTATTTTGAATATTTAATTGTAGATAGAACTCTGGGGGAAAGTAAATAATATAACTAATGTACTTTAAATACTTAAACACATTATTTATATTCAGTGTAATTATTTTAATATTTAATGTAATAATAAGAATAACATCAAATAGGTTATAATATTAAACTAGTTTATGGAAATATATAATAGAATAATGCAATAAAATTGTGTTAGATAAAATTATGCTAATCTCTTTTGAAGTAAACAAAGTTATTTAGTAGAATTTACAATTGTGTCCAGTGATTTCGCATATAAATCCAATCTTTGAGTCATCTGAAAAAATACAAATAAAATTGGATATTCAAAAGGCATATTTCAAATCAAATAAATTACTTGGAAACCCCAATGGTCCTTTATTTGTCTACAAAGATTTAAATCCATTTCTGAAATTAGTAATCCACTTTGAGTTCTAGAGAGACCCTATAATTCACATAAAATATATTTCTTAAACCATTATTTAAACGTTAAATTCTAAATTAATATTTTAAATAAATTGATGTATGTTATAAAAAAATTGTTAATTAGGTACTTACAGGAGTTCTTGAACCATCAGGCGCAGTAATATAACTGGAACCATAAAAATGGCCAAATTCTTTGTGTGCTGGTTTCCCATCACCACTGGTAAATTCTGCTGGGAAAATTTCTGTACCTACTCTATTAATTGCACATGAAAAATAACTATTAGCAACTGCAGCTGTTCTGGATTCTATTCCCCATAATGTTTCACTGCTCACATAAAATAAACAAATTGGTAATTTAATTCTAAATCTGGTTTATTTATTATATTTACCTTAAACCATCTATTGTAGCTGAAGGGTTGAAAACAATTTCAGCTCCATTTAATCCGAACATCAACCAATTCAGAGGATGATGTCTTCCATAACAAATATTAATTGCGATTCGACCAAATGCTGTCTAATTTAATCAACTATTATAATAGATATACCAGGTAAACAATTTAAGTGGGTTCACTCATTATTTCAGAAAGTATCAACTTTTTCCAGAATTTGTTTTCTAGAACATTAAGGAAACAAGCTGCTCTACAATTTTAGGTTTATGTTATTTTTGCAGATAAACCGCTACCTACTTTTGATTTTCAAATGACAACCTATATTAAAAAATTCCATAATTAGATGGAATATTAGTTAAAATACATTTTTATTATAGGTTGGCATTTGAAAATCAAAAGTAAGTAGAGGTTTCATTCTCAAATAAAAGGGCGACGAAAAATAACATAAATATACAATTGTAGATACTTGTTTCTTCATTGTTCTAGAAAAAAAATTCTGAAAAAAGTTAATACTTTCAAAGATAATGAGTGTACCCACTTAAATGGAACACCTAGTATGGGAGTATACAAAATATTTTATTTATCACCTCAAAAACAGGATGTCCGGTATTTCCTTCCATGTAGTAAGTAGACTCATTAAAATCACCAACTCTAGGTATATGATTTTTTCTATGTTTACCGATTACATTGCCCAAATTATCAATGACTACGGCTGTATTCCATATGATGTCGCGTTCATCGCGTTCTAAAATTGGCGATATAATGACCATGTTATGTTGTTTGCAAAACTGTTGAAAATCAGATTTAATAATTATTATTAAAAAAAAAATAATAATATCTCATGATTTGTACTAAAGCTGAGTACCAAATCAGGATTGAAAAAAAATTACAATCTGTTTAATCCTGATTGATAGTACCAATCCGGATTAAACGGACTAAATCCAGATTTTAGATTGATCAAAGTATTGCTCAACACTAATTTGTACCAACTTCTTTTAAAAATGTAGTCGATGGTCCGTTTTCAACCGATTCAGCAAACTGACACCAGGGAAATTTTTCTCTTGTACAAAATGCAAATGGCATAGCTAGAATAATTTATTTAAGATTAAGGTAAATGCATTTTAAATATTTGTTCCAATCAGATCTTACACCAGGCTTCTTGAAGACAAATAATGTTAACATTAGCCTTGGCTGCAAGTGAAATTATCTGTCCAACTTTTTTATAAATTGCATTCCTTTGTTCAACTAATGGAGCAGTTGTTGGAAGAACAATTTGGTTTTGAATTAATCCAACTCTCACTATTCTAATATGATAAATAATTATTATCATTTACTTCACTAATATTTATAAAAAGTAAGCAGGATCTTTAAGTATAAAATGTTATTATTTTGTTTTTTTCGTTTTATAACAACCTATTAAGTAAGCTCATTTTATGACGTGAGAAAAGTAAAATAATACCGTTTTTCTCGTAGCTCTTCAACTAAGGAATCAAATTTATAACCTTTGACTTCAACATTTTCTTTGTTATTTGTACACAACTCTGGTAATTGAAGTTCCCTGGTAAGAATAATAATACAATATATTATCTACTATTAAAATCATTTAAATTGTATCGTTTTATAAAATAATAATTCATATCTATAAATTGACAATAGAGATTGATGAGAAATATAAATTTAGACTTAGATTTGTGTAAATATTTAATTCTATATGTTAGTTTTAACTAATCAAATCAAACCAGGTTCAATTCAAAAAGTATCCACTCCTTTCCCTACCACCTCTTCTCTAATTTCGTCACTTCTCCTCTTTCCTTTTCTTTCTCATTTTTACTGTCAATTTCCTTCACTTTTCATTATTTCAAAATTTATGAGAGATGACTGAGACAAATTTGATGAGAAATATGTGTTCTGAAAAAGTGTGATAAGTTAATGAGATCAAGTGAATAGAAAGAAATCTAAGAGATTTTACTAAAAATCATATAGAGTTAAAAAGAAAATTTAAGTTTTTTTTCTATAGCCGTTTTTAAGATTAAATTTTGATTAAAATTTAGTCTATATCTATTGATTATTATAGTTTGTGTATTATTGTATTAAATTGGTCGTTTTTTGTTTAACTTTGGTTTTTTTAATAATTGGGGAAAAACGGTAAAGTTTACGAAAATAACAGATTCATTATTTTCGATTTTGTTACAAATCGGTTAAAAATAATCGATGAAAACATTTTCAATTTTCGTTATGTAGTGGCATTTTGATAAAAATCGTAAAAATCGTGGTATTTTAAAAACATAATAAACCGTACCCACGACTTCGCTCAGAATTATAGTTCGTTACTTAGCAGTGATTTATGTGTAAATTAAATAACAATCTTTATCCTACATTCTCATATTTCCACCTACAACAACGTCACACCTATTAGCGGTATTAGGCTCTTTTTAAATGTGTTTTTACATTCGTGAGCAAACCGTTTTCAAGCGGCTACATAGGTAACCAACCTAAAGTCATCGCAATAGGTCTGAGCCGAGAAGATATACCGGTACACCACTGCCGCACCGCTCAATTGTGATTACCCAACAACCTCATCAATATTAGTTGTCCGTCATATCGATATGAAATCACATTTAAAATTTCAGTCATAAAATTTAGGACCTTCTTTACTCGGAACGAGAAATGCATTAGACGCAATAATGACGCGAACGATTCTGAAAAAGATTTTTTTTCTTGCGACGGTTATTCGTCAACGTCAGTATTTTCTAATAAAAATATTGATGTGCTTAATTTACAACTTGTAGTTGAAAATTTCCAAAACTCGTATAATAAGTTGTACGTAGGTACCAATAAAGTGCCTACTCTTTTTAATTATAGGTTTGGTTTTGTTGGAACTAAAAAAAAAAAAATGACCAAGTAGAGTTGGTAGGTACTTGAGTATTCTCATAGAAAAAGACGAATATACATACCTATATATATATGTATTCGGAAAATTCTAACAGACGCCGTTAACATTTTCTAGACATGGTAATAAATATTAAAAAATAAAACTCCTTTTGGAGTTATTTATTTATACGATATAATTTTCAACGTGTTTCGTCTAATGTACTTACTTACTATTTACTGATAGGCAATGGACATTTTCAAATTTTTTTTTCTTATGGGAGTATAAAAATATCGAAAATTACCTAATTGGCACGATTGTTTTTTTATTACCGTTGGGTATTAAAATTTAAAATTCAGTAACCGAAGTGATACCACTCAGTCATTAAAATATTGTACCTATGTACTTGTGTTTCAGTAGTCAATAGTAGATGGATTCTAGTTGTTCAAATGTAAATAATCGAACAATCTATAAACACAACAATTTATAACTCAAGTATCAATTGAGTACTTATGGTATCTTATGGTTAAATATAATATAATGTTTATAAATCGCATGGTCGTGATAAACATCGGGGATGTATTAATTTAGGATTCTGCAAGACGAGATAGCCATTATATATATATATATAGTATAAAATGTTATCATCGCCCATTGTTTTATAATATTTTTGTTAGTATGTTTTAAAATCAATGATTGGGTAATATTATACAATATTGTTTACATAAATAAGTACTTACCGAAGAATATACTATTTTTTTTTTTTATATACGTTTTACAGCGTTTAATTTAAACTTACTCCAATTGTTTTCCGTACAGAATCCTTTTGACATGGCCGAGTTCTTCCGGTGGTACATATTTCTCCAGGCAAGTCTCAAGACTTTGAAACATTTTTAATTGTACGCGAAACAAAATATACTGAATGTTTGTCGGTAACAGCTATCACGGCCTAAATATTTAGATCTCGTTAAAATTAAATATAGTAGATAAGCATTTATAATTACAACATGATATTATACCACAGGCAGGTAGGTAGATACCTACTCGACTTCTCGACTTACGTTCGGGGACAGGCGCAAAGTACAATTGTGTGCAGGCAGATATCTAATGCCCATTAAAACGGAATGCAAACATATTTGTAATAATATTTGTAACAGTTACATAATAACGTGTTCGTAATCTGTAATGAGTAGATGCCCCCCATAGGCAACAGCACCGAGTAGACACAATAATACAGTGCGCCTAAGCAGTGGCGCCCAAACTACGGTTAGAGTGTTGCACATCGTTGTCATTGCACTCGTAATGCTGTTGTTTCATTTGATAGGCATTCTATTAAATTTTTTCTCTTCCCAACGGTCAATTCGCGGTCCAATTACTGTTGTGTAGGGCGTTATTGTGGTGTAAACATGCATGGCCCGTCCGTTCTTAAATTAAAATAATAGCGGCGGTAGAATATTATTCAATTAATTTGTACGCTCATAGTTTATCAAAATACCTACGCAATATTGTGCACGCGTATCGTGGACGCACACATAATACAGGTACTCAAACGGGCCTCAGACGCCTAGATATTTGGTTTACACCGTTTTCCAGAATAATGATTTATTATGCCGTAGGTGTTGTGCATATAATTTAATTCTGTTTGTATATACATATATGTTCATTCATTGTACACATTCATTTATCCAACGGTTAGAATTATTCTCACCTATCGGCAATCGCGCGCATATTGCTATGTATATATTAATGATTGATAAGAAAAAAAGACTGACGTATTTCGCACGGTGGGTGGACCACTGTTATAGATGAGAAGTTGGGAAGGTAGAACGTTGAAGAAAATTTAATGCACATCTGTACCTAAGTAAATTTAAGCATTGCCAACAAAAAACGATTCTGAACGGAGCTCGGTTAATAGTATTGCTCTCAGAGGCGTCTTCGGGTCAGTTCCATGGATGCGGGGCAGTGAACAATTTTCTAGGCCAGCGAAATTTCGCTAGGGAGGTACTTTAGATAGGTCATTTTTCGATTTTTTCAGTTTTCTTATCAAAGATAAAAACCGGAAAATATAAGAAATCTAGGTAATCGTTAAAATATAAATTACGGCTTTCTTTTTTTCTGTGCACAACTTTTCTACCAGCAATTTAACTCCAACTTTTGATAGTAATGATAGCAATGTTTCTAAAATGAAATTTCACTAGTAAGATACCTTAGAGAGGTCATTATTTGATTTTCCAAATAGTTTTCTCAGTAAATGTGGAAAATCGGGATAAAACATGGGAAAAACGCAGGGAAACTGGGAAAATCGGTACATCATTAAACAAATTTTATTATAGAAAATATCCAAGGCCAATTTAATTATTTTACTATATATTGTTGACAAACCATCATTATCGACTGAACACCGCTCAGAATCGTTTTTTTTTCTTAAGCAACGGTTTATCGTTGCTTACAGATATACATTATATTCTCGTCTATATTCTAACTTTCTAACTTTCCAATTACACCAGTGGCTGCACCCGTCCCCTTTATCCTTACTTTTTTTAACTTTAATTTTGTAATAGTTAGGTATTAGCACAGAAATAGATCTGTGGGTAATGATGTATAACAAATCTTGTTATTATGAAAGTTAAACTATTAAATAAGTGGTGGGTGGTACTGTTTGTAAAGTTAGTGTGCTATATTTATAGTAAAATATAGTTTGGGTGCCATTGACTTTATATTATATATACCTACCAAATAATTTCATAATTCCCACACCAAGAAAGACTGTCTAACCCCACCCAATCAATAAAATACGTTTAAAATGAATTGATAAAGGGTTTATGTGAATTTAGATAAAAAATTACAATTTTTTCACGAAAGTGAGCACGTGATTTTGAAGTATGATATCAACGTTTTTCTTAATTTTTAATTTATATTATTTTACTATCTATGTTTACATGTTATATTTGTTGAACATCTATTTAAAATACCTACCCAAAACAATTTACGTAGTAGGTACCTACTTATGCAGAAAAAAAAGAAACTTACTAAGCTTAATATAAAATAATACGTAGGTAGATACACCGTGTACGGCAAAAAATGATTAAGTATTATAAAATCAATATTATAATATACTATAATATTGATTTTTGTAGTCAACTTACAATGGTATACCAAAAAAGTTTACAAATTTTGAGATGGAAAAGCACAAATAAGTAATGCTAATTTATTTTGTAGTAGGTAGGTATCAAATAATGTTTAACTAACAATTAATAAACAATATGGAATTATAGAACCATGAAGACTAAAAGACTTTTCTAGTCATTTGTAAATGGTCAATCAGTCTATGGTAAATCTAATATATTTATTTAAATTATTATCTTGAAGATTCGTGAGGAAAGGTCCGTTATGGGTCTATAAAAGTCGAAATTAACATAAGTTTTTTTATTATTTCAATTGAACATATCTAGGCAGAAAAATATGTCAGTCCAAAATAAAACAGCCGACAGTATTTTATTTGTAAATTTTTCATCATTGGTTAGGTTTTGGTAGACTGCTGATCATAAATTAAGATATATATATATATACATTATAATTTTACGGTAAATGTTGTGAAATCGGTTAATGTTATTATATTCATACTTTTTTTAAAATCGATTATATGTTGTTAGTTTTAGGCCTTAGACTATGTTTTAAAATTAAGAGTGTATTTGTCTATTATTAAACCTAAAGATAAGAACATTGTTTATATTTATACGTTAGTTTTTTTTCGAAATTTAAATTTCCAAGCGAGTTACGAATGTATAAACTATTACAGTTTAAAAATCATCTCGCTTAAAAACTATAGTACGTACATATTTAAAAAATAGTTCATAATTATATAGCATAAAATCATTAAAAGCATTAATATAGGTAAATAATTTCTTCTATGCGGTCTATGCATATAAATAGGATCACTGATTATAAACGTAAATAATCATAAGTTAGGTTAACTCAATGTAATGTAAATAAAAAATCAAATCGATTGTGATACCAATAATTGATACCAGTATCACATTGAATACCAGTATTTGATAACTTTTGATATCAAATATTTAAATTACGATTTACAAAATATGTGCCCCGACTAATATAATACCGGCTTAAATTTTGAAACTAATATTTTTAAAGAGCGCTCAATATGACTAGTGATTTACCTTTTGTTTCAAATCAGCCGTTTGAAAATATTGAGTCAACTAAAAAAAGAAACTTTAAAGGCTTATTTCTCGTGGGATTAACAGGTAAATATGCATATTTAATATTTATATTATTATATTATATTATACATGTGTTTGATTTATATGTTTTTCATAAGATTTGAATGTATTTTTTACCATTTTCAGTATATTTTGTTACACAAATAACAATTATAATTTTAATTTAATCATTTGATGTGTTTAGGTGGAGCTTCTATTGCATTAAGCATAGTATGTTATCCATTTGTATCGCCAGCTTTACGAAAAGTATGTTTACCATATGTCCCAGCAACTAATATGCAAATTCAAAATGTTTTAAGTGTAATTAAAGGACGCAAAGGAAAATTAGTAGACCTGGGTAGTGGTGATGGAAGAATAGTATGTTATTTATTTAATTTATATTAGTCTATGTATGTAACACATAGAACTATTTTTGTGTAGGTCATGAACACTGCAAAAGCTGGTTTTGAATCAGTTGGTGTAGAACTTAATTTTTGGTTAGTTTTATATTCACGTTTAGTCGCAATAAAGTCTTCAGTTCAACCATCTCCAAAATTTGTTAGAACTGATTTATGGAAATACCATTTGAAACCATTTTCAAATGTTGTTATATTTGGTGTTGAAGAAATGGTTAGTATAATAATTAAATTATGCTTTTTATGACCCGTTTCGTAAAACCGCTTATATTTTATAGAGTTTATGTAATCATCAACTCATTATAAATACAATATCTTATGTTTTAAATGTGGGGATGTGAAAAGATCAGTCCTATATTGAGCCTTAATAGACCAAAAAGCATAAGCGACACTTAACTAAAATTACCTTTTGATGTCAAAACATTTAAAAAAAATCAATTTTATCAACAATAGAATGGTGTGAGTAATTATTTTACATACTTCATTAGAAATTAATGACTTTTTCTTTCAGTTATTGAATTTTTTGTTAAAGTGTAAAGTTGTAGGTAAAATGGTTGAGTTGCGAAAGCATAAATTCTATCGCTTTCGTCAATAGTTATAGTCGTACATGATATAGATGAGTGGTATACACGCTAATATTGATGTTAAAACAATCTCTAATAGTGGCATCTATATGTTAGACAAAGTTCAATGAGAATATTTGTATTTATTATATTACCTAACCTGGGCAATATTTAATTTTATTGGATTTTCAAAATCCTTTCAAGAAGGATTTGGACTTGAATATTCATTATCCATTTAAATTTTATGTTGAGATTATGATTGGTAAATATTACCATCAAGCACAATATAATTATTTTTTTATCTTTGGTGATACTGTCTAGCTATAAATTGATTTATAATCATGCCAGATAAATATTACTGTTTAATAAATGATATAAGATATTTTTTATTAAATATCCTGACCATGTAAATAAGTTGGTAAAAATAAAACCAACTGGTAACTACTACATTATTGATTTTTAGGCCTTAATTAAACAATAGACCATCTTATATTTATATATAATTATAGTTCAGTTAATGGAGCACCAAAAAAGACTTGCTTTACATTGAATATGGAAATGTTGAAACTTGGCTTTATTTTTGTATGATATATTTTTATCGTAAAGGTAATAATTTGTATGATATTACTAAAAAACCATACAATTTTTCTTAGATAGCGAAAATTTATGAATCTCTAAGTGATGGACAATTTTTTCAACTAGCCAGGATAAAACTTTTTGCCGAGTTTCAAAACTTAATTATTTAACACAAAGCAAAATCCTCCATTATCTGGACTACTTTTTTTGAAAATTTGTTTAGATGTTGGATTTGGAAAACAAGTTTCTAACAGAATTGTCCGATGGAACAGTAATAGTAGCCTGTCGCTTTCCACTTCCAAATTTAGAACCTTATTTAATCATTGGCACAGGAATAGACAAAGTTTGGGCCTATAAAATATGCAAGGTCAAGTCATAATTCATTGAAGATTGTTTTTATAGGTAATCATTGAATTTATATAATTTATTTTTAAAATACACAAATATATTTTTCCTTTTGTTAAATAAAATTGTTCAATTGTGTTTGAAAATCACAATTTGGTTATTAAAAATTCATAATTTGTTAAAATAAAAATGTAATAAAACAAATTATTAATTATTAATGCTAAATAATTGATTAGTATTACAATTTCTTAAAGAAATACATGTAAACATATTATTATGTAAACAACACTATAGTGTGTAAAATACTCGATGGATGGACAGGAAGCTATTAATATTTACTATTTAGAATGTTTGGTAAGGGTTTATTGTCAGTGTCAATAGTTAAGGAGAAAAAAAACTATCAATAATAGTATATAAATGTACACTGTTATAAAAAAAAATTCAGTGAAAAAAAACACTAACTATATTAAAATACAAAAGAAAAAAATAAATGTGACCATGTTTCAGAATATGCTAACAGGAATCAGACCTAGAACCCAATCACTTGAACTAATACATCTAATGCTTTTTGTAGATTACTTTATTATTATGAACAAAGGTCTTTTCATGGGTACATAAGTTTACAAGTCAATTTTAAAATATTATATTATGTACAGTGATGAATGACATTCTAAAATTTCAGATTTTTTTGGGCTTGTGAAATTTAAATTTCAAGCTGTACTTTTGTTTATTTACATTTTCTCGTCTTTGAGTCAGCAAAGAAAGAAGTAAATGGTGAGAGGAGGGAGAATGGTTTATTTGAAGTAAAGGTTCTAGGACTGTTGGAGGGGGACTGATTTAAGAGAATTCTACATATAGATTGTTGTCTCTGTCCGTCTCATTGTAATGTAGCAACATTCTTCAACGATTCTGAATCTCTGGTTGATTTTAAGGCCCACAGAAAAAAAAACATGTATGTGGAGACCTCTTAAGGACTAAAATGGAAAGTTCCTGGGGATGTAAAAATACTTCTTAACTAGAGGTTTCGGACAATCATTAGTTGGTCTCAAATATTCAGTTCCTGAGAAGATTAAAATACTACCCAACGGGAAGCTCTGGATAGGTATCAAATGCGACTTAAATATTTGGTTCTGTCACTGTTTGTGCTGTTGGATAGGTAATTAGTTTCAGTTAAAATATAACATATTTGCATAAAGAATGTATAATTTAATGAGCTATAATAAGCAACTCATAATAAGTAATGTCAATTAGTACTTATACATTAGAACGACTACAATACAAATTATATGATTGTATGTTTAGTCACAACCCCTAAATGTTTTTGGATAAAACAATATAATAATTATAATATTCATCATCATAATCTTGCCTGTCATTTATGGTGCATTGTTCAGTTCTGGACGGGCCAAGACAATCAACTAAAATATATTGTAATTTAATCAAACATATATTTTATTTGTTCAATGTTGAGACCAGATGGTTGATAGGATGTCGATAGTGGCCACATAAAGAGGACCATCCATAATTTCTAACACCACGCAAAATGAACTGTTTTGAGATGATATCATTACAACTAAGAACGTGTACTTCCAAAACATTGTTTTATAATTTCAATTTCTTTTTTTTTTTACTTCTAATTATTAGCATTTGAGTTAAGTCTTATTAGCATTCCACACCAGTAATAGTACTTGTCTATATAGTGACACACAAGAGTATTAATAAAGTATATTAATATTTTTACTAACTAATAATTTTGTACATGTCTTTACTAGGTAGGAACTGAAATTGTGTAAGGATTGGCTTGTTAATAATATTTTTGAATTTGAAAAATTGGAAATTAGCTATGGCAATATAATAAAAAAAATTAAATTAATTAAAAGTTGACCATAAACGGGAGCAAAATAGATCATTTTTTTTTAGGTAAGTATCTTGATATTAAGAATATTATATAAGTAGGTAATAATATTAGTTTAAATAATTTTATATGGGATTATGATATATAGAATGATAAATCTATCGTAAGATACTCATTTTTTTGGGAAAGTATTAACTTTTATTAATGTACAACTATTCTCCCCTGATCAAAACTTAAAAGTGGAATACCTCGTCAATGGATTGACAGAAATAAAAATTTTAATTCCTAAATGTATTTTTACTAATACTTAATCTATTTATGGAATTTTTAATATAAACTGTCCTCTGCCATTTGAAAATTAAAAGTAAGTAGTGGTTTTACTCACAAAAATAAAAATGATATAAATTATAGAGGTGCTGGTTTCTTAAATGTTTTATAAAATTAATTATGAAAAAGTTAATACTTTCCAAGATAATGAGTGTTTTTGGTAAAAACTGTAGATTGATCACTCTATATAAAGAAATTATTTATTTGGTTTATAATTTTACATTTTGAATAAATTGTATGTTTATTTTACAGAATATTTTTATATTCCATCGACAACTATTTGTGGTACCTGTGATTTTTTTATAAATGCAGATGTAACCACTAATTTATTCCTGTTTTATGGCAGCAACATTTTTAATTTATTGATATTTGTGTTTGTATTATAAGTAGAAATATGTTGATAAAAAAAATATCAAACAAAAACTGGTGTAAATTTTTATTGTTGTATTAATTATACTTCTTTTCTGGTTATCTCATGGCTGGTTGATAGTTTTTAGATGCCTTTGCAGCCTTTTTTTGTTCTTTGCTTAGTGTGCCTGAACCATTGTAATTATTGTCTCTTTTACTATTTAATTAATTGGTAAGCTTTATAATTTAGGAAATGTATTATTTAAAAATTGTAATTATTACAGCCTTTTTCCGTGAATTATTTTTCTTCAGTTCACAATAATATCACTTTTTCTGAAAGGAAATCAAACAGTACTTTAGGGGAGTTATTTTTTTGATTTTCTCCAGAGTTTTAACAACAAATGGGATAAAACGGGAAACTAGATATAATATTAAAGAAAGTATATAATGCATTTGTAATTATTTTACTTTAATGTGACATACTCATATATTGTTGGTAAAGTAACCCTATTAACTGAGCTTCGCTCCATTTTTCGTTAGCAATGGTTAATCATTGCGTGTATATATATATACATTCAATTTTTCCTCTACCTTCCCAATTTCTTACCAACAATAGTGGCCCATCCATGTGCAAAGTATGTCGTATTTTTCTTTAACTGGTTTTACTGTTACTTTGTCAATCTGTTCTTAACTGTTTTTAAATGTTTTGCTTTTTTAATAATCTTCCAAACATTTACCATTAAAGTGTCCATCTTTGATAATCTGGTCAGTGTGTCTCATAGATTTAACCAGTGTTAACATTTTTACATAAATAAAGTACTTCATCAATTACACAACTGATCCATCCTTTCTTATTTGGTTTGGATTAATCCCTTGCATTAACTTTGTCATTTACCTTAAATATTTTGTTTCTTAGGTTGCCTTTAAAATTATTATTTTGACTCAAATTTTCATTTAATAGGGACCAGGATTTTTTAAAAAAATTTTAAGGTATGTTTTTTACCAAAATATGCTTTAATCAAAAAAATGCTAAGAGTCTAATACCAGCTCTTTTTTTTTTAGCTGCCCCTTTTGGTTTTAGGGTTGTAGTAATGCACAGTATTGAATGATTAAATGTTAATATTTTATTTAAAATTGTTATGTTTCCTTAGTGGGACACAGCGTTTAGCCAAATTTTCATTATATAAAAATAAAAGTTACAATCGTTAACACGTTAATATTTTTTTAAAACGATATTAGATGCCAGTGGCGGTGTCTACTTTTTTATTTCATGAGCAAGCAGGTTGACTGCCACTACCTAAGTGTTATTAGACAAAGCCGTGGGAGCCCTGCTTCTTTCTTCACCAATTTACCATTCCACAAATATATGCTTTAAGTCATGATAATTTTATATTTTGAGTATCGAATAAAATCAGACACTTAATATATTTTAATAATACATTATATAGATTTTTTTATTTTCCTATACATCAATAAAAATTACACAGAACTAATAAACAAAATACTGAGCCATGTGAAACATGACATTTAATCAACAGCAGAGTAAAGAAATCTATGGCACTTTTTTTTTCAAAAATTAAAAAATAATCAATAGTATTTTATCTCCTTCATAAAAATAAGGTTTATTGAAATATTTGTTGTTTACCTTAACTTAATTCATGAAAGTTATTATGATTTAATGAAAAATTATGTATTAACTTAATACATATATTATATATATACAATATATTTTTCATTAATAATGATAAACCTTTATTTAAACAATAAACTTTTTCTCAATAAAGTATTAAGTGTAAAGTATCAATAAGTAAGTAAGTCCGTAATAAGTTATATTTTTAGCCGGGGAGCACCACCATTCAAATGGTCATGAGGCCATCACCTCAAGAAATACATCACACCGCGACTGTTTCAAGCTCTAAACTACTAACAAATAATTATTATATTATTATAATAAAACACTATTAATGTTGTAAACTTTTTCGTCATTCCTACGTTTTTCTAAATTATTTTAAATATCGCGTGGAAAATCAAAAAAAGGACTTCCCTAATGCACTGAATAAAGATCAATTCAACAAGTTTTTTGATTGAAACAAAATTTCGGGTAGAGAAAAAAAAAGCTGTCCTAGAATAATGGGGACGGGTGCAGCCATTGTTATAGATAGGTAATTTAATGTATGTCAACGACAAACCATTGCTAACAGTAAAACAATTGTGAGCGGAGTTCGGTTGATAGTGTTACTTTGTCAACAATATATAGGTACGTCATATTATGGTAAAATATGCATATGCATTGTAATATATTTTCTTTAATAGGTAATTTTTTTTAATATTGTACCTACTTATTTTCCTGTTTTCCCATTAATTGGGAACTCTTCGGAAAATTAAAAAAATTACCTCCCTAAAAAAGAATAAAATAAACATTATTATAAATCCAATACATTCCTCGCTCCGCTCAGAATTTAAAAAAAATGTGTCCACATCATTTGAAAACCAGTGTAAGTAGGTAACTACTACTGTTCCATTCAGAACTTAAAATATATTAAGAATTATTTACTATATAAAAGACAAAGTAACCAGTAGATTCGCTTATTACGAATTTTGATTGTCTATCCGGGAGAATACGGTCCGAGACTAGGTATACGATTAGTTACTTTCTGCATTCTATTACCAACATTTTACAGAGGACCATAAAAAAAAATAATGATTATTGGCGTGCCAAGAATTTAAAATGATTGTTATAAATGAGAAAAAAATGTTTTTTTTTTTTTAATGTGAGTGTTAATTTTTGAAATTCGAAGTTATTTTCTTTTTTTAAATTTTGATTTAATAAAATGGTGGATCGATTAATAAATGATTGCGGGCAGGATTTGGCCCGCGGGCCGTAGTTGGTCACCACTGGTATAATTGTTATTATTATATTATGCAATATTAGTTATTTCTATAGCTCTATTAAAACGCCACGCACTTTAACGCCACACAAATAATACTTCTTCTAAACTTAAAATTCGAGTATTTCGTACGAAAATCGCAAATGTTTGCACCAAAATGTATTTTAATTGATACTCCATCTATCTATGGAATTTTTAATATAGGTTCTCATTAGAAAAACCAATGTTGGTATCGCCACAGAATACTCATTAAATGTCTTGAAAAATTTAAATATTCGAAAATATCGTCTTTAAATGCACTTAAAAATTCCAAAAATCAAAATTTGAATGTATGCAAAATTTAACCAAAAAAATGGGATGAACACCTTTAGAGAATCACCTTGTAGATGTATATTTTCCTACAAGATGGATTGTATAATTAATCTATCTTTCTTTCTTACTTAGATATTTATGTAACACATTTGGATACAAAATAGCGGTTCATGAATGTATAAATAACACCGATAACGAGGTCAATCAATCAGCGTGCATTATGTGGTTGGCCACTTTCTTACTATATAGGCTCTATAGGGGACGGAGTGATGTAGATTGAGCTGAAAAAAAATATATTTGTCCGGGGCCTCGCAAATCGTAACATCAGTCCTACGACCAGCCTATCCTCTCTACAATTTTATTATTTATTCATTATTAATTTAATGTGAGCCTTCTCCGGAAAGGAGAAAACAAGATGTATTAATTAACTGTAAATAAAATAATAAATGATGGTAACAGTGGATGTGGTATTGTGAAAACAGATCACAATGTGCAGTTGGTGCATAGAGCTTGTATCTTGTAAGTATTGTAAAAATCTTCTGTCATCTGCGTTGATAAATCAGTTACATCTTTATCATGCTACCTATCTATAATGGTTAACAATTATGCGAGGCGTGTTGGTTGCTGTCTAATGCCGTATCCCCTATTAAACATTTTAAATAAAAAAATAAACGTTTATAGAATTATATCAGTTTATTTGTATGTTGTTATTAAATATTATTATATAATAATAAATTATAGTTTTAATTAAAATGTATAAAAATAATTAAAATTAAAAAAAATAATAACAAAAAATACGTAATGAAATGTCAATGAATACCTATCACACTCTTATCGCTAAGAGATCACATTACAAAAACTGCCTTAATATGAATTAATGTAAGTTATAGACAAATAATTATCATTAGGTATGTAACGAATATGAAAAAAATAAAAATTAAATGTACAGTAGGTACCTAGCATAAATATAGTGGTACATAACAGTTTTTAAGTTATAATATAATATAAATATTTTTCAGACAAAAAATTGGGCGACTAGATTGGCCAGTCCCACCAACGATATCGAAATGTGAAACATAATCGATCCCGTTGTCAAGAGATTTCGTCTTCTCTGCGATGCCAAGTGTAACATGGTTGGTAACGTATATATGTATACAAACCCACAAATCGCTCCGCTAAATCTAAATATGGAAAAAAAAATGTAAGTAAAAAATGTTTGTGTTGATAAATTTTAATTTTTTTAAAAAAATCATTAAAATGACTTATATGCGACGCCTCAAATTTTGGGCATGTAATGGAAATCCCGCTCACCTTATAACGGTTCCAATGTGTGGCATAAATATTGCAAACAATATGCACACGACAATGACAAAACAGTTGAGCGCTATAACGTGTAAGACACTCGGGTATATCGATAGCTCAAGGGCTGCGAACACTTGTACCCTAAGCATGTATGATATCAATGGGTAGACGGTCAGTAACTGGAAGAAAAGAAAAACTCTGGCGATAATACTAAAGACGTCTGTACTGGGAAAATTGTTTAAGAAATTCTGAAAAAAATAAACACAAAGTTAACGATATTTATTTTTTGATGGTATTTCAATATGCTACCATTGTTCAAGTATACTTAATCAATGACAGCTGATTTGGAAGTTTATCATGCTATATTAATAAAACTAATAAGTATTGGATTATGTGTTATAGCCATATAGGTAATGTTAAGTTGGTTAACTTCATTCAATTTTAAATATTTTTTTAAACTACTAAAATTATGGCGGCATGTGAAAAATTATATATATTATCAAAAATTATGAAGTTGGACCAAAACCTATGGCAAATCAGTAGTTAAAAGACGAATACAACGAATGATTTTTTTTTTTTTTAAATAAGTTCTCAATGGTTATATTAAGAGAAATTAAGTTAAATTAAAACATGCATATATCTTGATAAAAAACGAAAATATTAAAAACATATTCTTAGGATTCATAGAAAATATTATTTTTCATAAAATGTATAACTCCCTTTACCTTAAACTGAATTATAGAAATTCGAAATTGTAAAAATGCGGAATGCGTTTGTTGCTACATTACGCGCAATACAGAGAAAATAAATGTTAGTGACGAGACGACACACCTGTTTGTTATGCTGTTACCGTCGTACAACTACGTGACAAAGCAAAGGTTCGTTTAGCAGGGACAACTCTATGCTGTTAGATTTAATGTTAGAGTAAATCATTGAGCTTATAATATAAAGTCTGCGGAGTGAATTGACCTATTATCAAACCTAAGAAAAAAGATATTGTCTGTGTCATCTCGTTGTATTTTTCTTTGTTTTTATTTTTAAGCGAGACATAAGCACTTTTAAGTCGTAATATTTCACACACTCATATCTAGCCTAAAAATTAAAATTATAGGGAAATAAACGAGGACATAACACAGTTAATGTTCTTGTCTTTAAGTCTGGCAATAAATCAATTTACTCTAAGCTTATATTATATTAAAATTAACAGCACAGAGTTGAACGAAAATTGTCTCTGTCGTATGGTTGTATGAACGAAGCATGCTGAATCTAAAATCTATATTGCTTGCTGAATAAAAAAAGGTAAAAATTACTATAGTTTATAAAACGTATAAATAGGCTTATTTAAAATTAATATGTATGTAAGTTATATATAAAAAAATTGCTTGACGTCAGCAATATTGCGCTGGTGGCTGGTGTGTAGTATATTCGCTAATTTGCTTAATGTTTAAAAAACCATAATTTACATAAATTGTTATACAATCGATTACAAAACAACATTACAATTTATTTTTTTTGCCGAGTGTGAATGGAAACTAATTATAGACTGCACACATAGGAAGGTGCTAAGGGGTGCTTAGCACTTCCAGACTTCAAATTAGCACCCCCAGTTTTCCAGAATAATTTAGTTCAGTATTTTACCAATCATTTGTAAATTATTGTGGTTTTCTGGTTTGGATAAAATATTAATTTTTTTACAATACAAATAATTCACGAATTCAATTATTCTACGAAATAGTAATATTGTGTGAATGTACGTTTCAGTTTTCGTCTACATACAGGAAAACATATTATTAATAGAAATAAAAAAAAAAAATAATAAAAAATGGGTATATGTGTGGGTACTGTTATGTGGGTGGTGATACTTAATGGGTTTGAAAACTGTGAATCTATTATAAATAATTATGAATATTTTATATACATTTTATACATATTTAATATAAATATATATTTTCTTTAAAAATGCTTTTAAAAATCAAAATATATGTTTTTTTTATGATTAAAAAATCAAATTCAATGTCATTTAAATTAAGATACCTAAGTTCTTGAATATAATCCTTTATTGTATAATACTCATACAATATTATGTTAAAATAATTTGATTCATTTTCATATTTAATTGAACGGAGGACCTTTATAATTTTATTGCTGACAATAGATTTTTTTTTTGTGAACTTCATACTTTTTCTCGTAGTTTTGTGTGACCAGTGTCAACATTATAAAATATAGTTCTTATCTTATTTAGGTATCCGCATATATGTATAAAATATATTAAATACTTACATCCTCGATACACGACTTAGCCAAAGGAAAACACACGTAGAATGTAATTCCGATCAATATATACGTAAGGAGCACCAAAATAAATGCTATTGTTAAATCGCGACCCTGAAAGCGTATCCGTATGAAAAAAATTCGTGATTAGATTGTATTTCAAAAATTGTAAAATATATATATATATATTATTATATTAAGGTTTAATATTAAATAGCTATCAAACTATACTGTATAATTTATAGGGGGTGTACTTACGTTGTGTTTTTGATTTTCGTTATTTCTCATTATCGTGATTATAATATTGTGTATAAACAACGATAACGTGAGCATGCCCGAAGTTGCGGGGAACGTGTTTTTATAAAATTCTGAAAAATCGGTAGACCCTCCAATTGTGGGTGCTGACAAATTTATTCCCCAGCTATATGATTTGATTACCACGAACAAAAACAAATATAACACCGACAAAGTTCCTAAAAAGTAATATTATTACCTATTTAATATTAACTGCACCTTTACCGTGCATATTATGTACAAGTATAACTATGGGTCTATTTTATTATTTAACTTACCTAAGGAATTAAACTTCGTGAAAAACGTGGCTGATCTGAAGTTCAATAGCGGGGCTACAATGATAACGAGGAATATGGGTACTGTCGTGTTGAGATCCCAAATTTTCTGATACAAAGTTAACGACTCGCTCTTGATTAACGTATCGTTTGAAAAACTCGCATTGTTTGGGCATATCACTATAATAATATAAAAATTTTTTAGAAATTGAATTAAAGAATAATTACATTTTATACTTACATCAATATTAACGTAAAATTTACCGAAAACTTTTAACGTTTTACCATAGTTAAAAAAGTTAGTTAATTAGACATTTTTTTTTGTTGTAATAATTATGTTTTCATATTTAAACACGTCCGTAATTTCGGTGTTAAATATCATTTTTTTTTTTAGATTTTGAGAGGAGCAAAGAAACTTATAGTTTTACAAAGATGTTTAATTTTTTCTGTGTACTACTTTTCTACCAGCAATTGTGCTCCGACTTAAAATAATAACAATGTTTCTAACTCGATTTTCGAGTTTTCCCAGCAAGTTAGAAAAACCAGGGGAAAAAATAAGAAAACCGGAAAAAACGTAGGAAAAATGGGAAAATTGATACAGTGACCAAATATTATTAAAGATAATATATAATGGATATTTAATTATTTTACCATAATATGACTTATATATTGTTGAAAAAGCATCACTATCACTGAACTCGGCTCAGAATCGTTTTTTCGTTAGAAATGGTTATAATCGTTGTTAACAGGTATACATTAAATTACCTATAACAGTGGCTACACCTATTCCCATTATCCTAGGACGTCTTTTTTAACTTAAAAATAATGTTTTGGTTAAATAATACCAGTTTTTTTTAATAAAAATAGAAAATTAAGTTCAAGATGTACAGAAATTTACTCAGAAGAAAAGAACATGTCGATGAAGTTTTTACATGAAATTATAGTACCGTTAGTATAAATACTATTTTTAATAAAAAGAAATATATGTATAAATTAATTACTAAATTAATAAATAATTAATAATAAATTATTAACTTACAATTGGTAGTATTAAACTCGAACGCGCCGGTATTTTCGTCCGCAAAGAGCAAATCTGTTTATACGAAACAAAGTTTATAATAAGAATGATAATTAGTATCCGGTTTGGACATTATTCTTTATAAATAAGAGTTTTATTCACCGTGAATGTATCCAACTGAGTAGTATAGAAAATTTGACATTAATATCCAGTAGACAATGTTGGCACCCAATAAAATAATGAACGAGAACAGTTTTGCTATGATTTCGGCCCAGGGACCGAGCAGCTTTTTGCTCAATTGAGCCACTTCGCCGGTTTCGTTCCCTTGAAAACCGTATACACGACCAAGTTATAGGAAATATTGTCCGAATAATATTATATAGCCGAATATTCATGACGTGCAATTTATAAGTTATTTTATCGGTGTTTTTTGCATAGGAAATTTACCGTGTAGTACTTGAACTTTTAAAATACGATTGGACGTGTACAGGCAAAGTCCCGCTATGATGAACATTAGCAACAATCCCATCAGCAGTCCTGCTCGTTCTACGCTCCAAGGCATTGCCAATAACGACGTTCCCATTATCGTGTTCCATATTGCGAAACTATAGAAAATAAAATAATTATTATATAGATATAATTGTGTAAAACATTAAATCGTATGCGGAATTATGTGTATTTGTGTATATCGTCGTTGATATTACAACACGTCAACATCAACATATGAAATGGGCCACTATTGTAGGTGGGATGTTAAGATGATAGAGTGGTAAAATTTATCTATATTTCTACACATGAATCATTGCTAATTGAAAACGATACTAAGCAAAATCCAGTTAATAATGATGTTTAATGTTTAACAAACATTAGTTGACAATTGCGTATTAATTTATAGTTAAATAATCAATTTAAATTTTCCCTGTTTACCGTTTTTATAGAACCAAAATCGATTTACCTATACATAGATCAAAAATAGTACGTAAAATGTATGCCGTGATCTTTCCGATTTTTGTAGACATTTAAACTGAACCACTTCTGAAAAAACTAGTGCATTCCATATAATTTATTTTTTGACAACTAAGTATTACATTGTATAATTTATTAATTTAAAATGTACTTTGTATTAAATTGCCGAATATGTTTGCTGGGCCAAAATATAAAACCAAATAAAAATTGAAAAAAATTTCGAACATTTTATATTTATATATAAATAGCTAAAAACTCAATAGATTCTTTTAACAATTTTAAAATTACGTCTAGAAATGGCTTGCTTTCGATAAAAGTTATAGATATTTACGAATCACAATCAAAAACAAAAAAAAAAAATGCAGAAACCGTTATAATGCGTATTCAGTTTTTTTCTATTTTTTTAATTATTATGAAAAAAACAAAAAAAAATAAAAAATTGACCTCTAGAAAATTCACCAATTAGACAAAATTTGCTTTTAAAAAGATATTTCACTTATATCGGAGCAATAATTCTGGTAAAATAGTTGTTAATAGATACAATTTTAAATTTTAAAAAAGCACATATCATATTAAAACCAATATTATGACATATTACAAAAAAGGCAGTGTCATTTTTTTTTTAAATTGCAAATTAAAAAAAAAACTAATTGATAGTTGGAAATTGAAAAAAATTAATTTATTTCTCAACAATTTTAAAAATCTAACGTAAAATCGATAATATTGTATTCAATTTTTTGGAATTCCTAGCTGTGCTCAGAATCTAATACATATTAAATTGTTGTATTTTATTCTCTAATAGGCAATCAATTATAAGTGTAATATATATTCTACTGTAGAGTTGAATCATTACAAGTACGTTATTTTAGGTTTTCTTTACTTGTCAAGGGTCGCACCCACATATTTCGAAACCATAAAGATGAAAGTCACATTAATATAAACGTTAAATAGTTAAAAAAGACCATTCAATTTATATTATGTTTTATGGGACAGTTTTAATTTTTTTTCAATACCAATATTTGAACTTAAATAAAAAATTAGAGTTGAATGCAACTTGTAATTTTTTTTATCAATTAAAAAATTAATAGTATAAAAAAATGAAACGCGTGTAAAAACGGCGTACCTCTCCCCTTAAATGAGTGTCGTGCAGTAGATGTTAGTAGAAAAGTCCTATTGTTTAGATAACATTCGAGCAATTTGGTAAATCGGCCCCGAGCTCCTTAAGAAAGTCCATGAATCAACTATATAGTTCAGAATATTACCATAATATTATCAATCGAATTATCACTCTTGTTGTTTGTTTGTTTTAACAATCTGGAACTGTCCAGGATTAACGATTCGCGGAAGCGATCCTTGACCCCTCAGGACTAGTCTCGAGCACAAAAAATAGCGTAATAATAACGGTTATAAAAAAATATGTTTCCTTCGAAAACGACGTAATAACGTTGATAATTTCGTTTTTTTTTTTGCAATAATTAGACGATATGTTATTTACAATGGGGAAAAATATTGCGTGTAACGGTGTAGATAACCATCATAATATCATAATATTATATTTTATTATGACGGAAATGTCCGTATCACGTTTTCACCGGGCGGCGGGACGTTGAATCGTTGAACTCGAGCGGTGGTCCGATCGAGTTCTGCAGGGTACAGGGTGCATCGACCCCGTACAAATATACTATAAACTCGGTGCGAAACGACCAATATTTGTATTGGAATCGATGTTCCGCTAACAATATTTTCCGTCCAACCGACACGGGGTTTTTTTTTTCTGGCGAATGGACCCCGACCTACACACCCTCTTTTACGGCAGCGAAAAATATACAGAGCGATTATTTTACTACGGATCTGTAACGAAATTTTCAACGGAGATTTTGAGTAAATTTGATTATCGATGATTTTCAGTCATTATACATCGATTCTATTAACTAATTTATGTATTATAATAATATTTTCAAAATGTCACTCTTATTCCGTAAACCATAAACAACCGTATACGAATTTTGATTTTCAAAATAACAACACGCACATTTATAAAACTTGTATTCGAATTTTTTTTTCTTAAAAGATGTCAATGCATATAACAGTAATGTAACAGCTGTGCAATACACTTATAATATATCGGATTTATAGTTTATGAATTATTGTTCGAATCGAAATTAAGGGTTGCTATTTGAACATCAATATATTATATATTATACAGATGATTTTATATTAGATTTATGCAGCATTTCGAATGGAATTTTGTCAGAAATCAAATTTACACACAAAACCTTCCTATTTATTGAGGTAGACGCTGACGATTGACGATAAAAGAATCACCCTGTACAGAGATATAGGTAGGGCATTGCACGTCCGGGAAACCCTAACCGCAGGCTATGTGCAGGGGGGTCGCGTTTACTCGGGCCATTGAACTTGGGGTTCGATGACCCCAGACTCTCCGGGGTTTGTAAAGTTCGGTAGATCAATAAATCCCTTTACACTGCCGCCGCCGCCGCCGCCACCCCTGTCGCCACATTAGTATCGAGGAACCACGCGCGTTTCGTCGTTGCCGCTGCTCTCATTAATAGCCGGCCGGCCGGCCCGTCGGTCGGCTGTCTGTTTCGCGGCACACGTTAACGACCTCCGTCGATTCCCAGCGTACCACATAAAATATAATAATTTAAAACAAATAACCTATCTCGATATAATCGTTTTCGGAAAAAACTGAAAAAAAAATCGAACGATTTAAGCTATTTATTACTACTTATACAATCACATTCATCGTATTACCCTTGTATCAATTTAAATCTCGTCGAGCTCCCCGCGGTGGTTTTTTTGACGTGCAAGATATTATGTCGACATTAACACCGATATCGAGGCTTTCGATTGAATAAGGTAAAAACTATGCACAGTAGAGTTAGTAGACGTAGTGTATAATACAATCTAACTTGGTTAACTCGAACTTTATTAACTCGAAATCGCCGACACCTCAAACTTTTACGTAAAATTAATTGAAGAAAAAAAAAATTCGCGTATAACTCAATGTATTTTTTCATTAAATAACTTGTAATTTTACTTCTAAATCTTGTTGTTTTCGTGAAATGTGTGACGTTTTATTTAAAAAATCAACAAAAGAATTCAGTGATGAATTTTTTTTATCATTTAATAAAATCAAACTGTATAATGTTCAGAAAACATATATTATAGCTATATATATATATGTGTTAATATAGCAAATTTATTTCAATATAAATAATGGATTTGGAATAATTCGAATTTATTTTTGAAAGGGGACCTTTCAAATTTGACTGTGAATAAATATATTCCTATTCGAAAACGTGTTAATCATGATGTGGTATGGTATGCTTTAGAATAACACGAATAGACGCAAATAGTGTTTGACATTTGGGGAGGTGAAACCCTAGCTACTTAATGAAAAAATTGTGAAAGTAAACACCTAAAAAAAAAATTGGGGGGAACCAGGGGAGGCATTAGGCCATATACGTAATTTCACTAAAATTCGGAGGGTAAAAAACTCTGACATTTACGTAGGTACCTAAGTAATAAAGTAGCTAACCTATAAAACAAAAATCCAGATGAACCATATTTAATAATAAATATTAATATGAAAACTCGTAAGTAAAACAACCCACAAAGACTATGTTTGATCAATGATCATTGATCATTGATAGCATAATAACAATTTTCGGGATCTACTATCACGTACGTAAAATCAAAGAACTGTAAATAGATGAGTATCATGAGGACGTGATATTTATCATCTATAATCGTCGTTATTATTACTTTATAAATATTTAATAGTTTAGAATTATTTGTAGACTTGAAATACAGAAAATTGATAGGGTGCAAAATGATAGTACGTATTGAACACCCACAAAAATGCAAGCGGGTGCAAGTGTACCCTCTTGCACCCCCAAGATTACGCCCATGCGTTAAGCAATTACGAAACCGCCTACCAGGCCGGGTATGGGCTGGTGTCTGGCTAGTTTTGGCCCATAAGTTTACAAACATGAATTATATCATTATATTTTATGATTTTATGATACATTTATATTCCATACATATTGGTAAAATAGGATATAAATTTAGTTAAATTTCCTCTTAAACTAAGTCTTTTCATATAGAAGTTATTAGGTAATATATTTAGGTGTCCCTTTATACATACATATATTTATTATTTAGTCATTGTGATATTGAACCCCCAAAAATGGGTTATTTATGCATATTATAGTAAATATGAAATTTTGTATGAAGGGTATTTGTATTGAGATAAAATTGTAATTGTAATGAATAAGTTAGCGGAGCAGTCGGTTTTTTTTTTAGTTTTATTATGGGCTGGTAAAAACTTTTACCACCCCTCTCAAAAATTGAAATGAAGTCACCGACTGAAGTTTAATTTGAATTCCACGAATATTGTATTTGTATTTAATTGTCTTTAATTTTCAATAAATTCATGGTCCATTCTACACTTAGGAAGACTGGTGAAAACCCATTATTGAGGCACACAACCTAATTATATTGCCTATGTATTATGAATTATAAATTATATTGTAAAAAAGTAGGTATAATAATATTATAATTTATAAATAACATCACGATAAATAAAATTAGTTCAATAATGAATTAGGCTATCTTAAAAATACGAAAACGAATGCACAGTAAGATATTTCACTTGCATGTTATTTGATTACCATAAAATGGTTTATCTCAATAAAGGAAATAGTAACAAGTAGCACCCAGTATAACTTAAAGACATTTTCAAACAAACATGGGTATTGATAGACGGAAGAACTAATAGTCAGATTGACCATATACGTATAGATAAAAGGAACAAATTTAGTTTAAGACATGTTAGAAATTATAGTGGATTTGATGGAGAAACTGACCATCACTACCTAGTTAAGCATCATTTTAAATCAAACTGGCTAATAGCTGTAGAAAAAAACAACTGAAAGGTAGAACGCGCCTAAAAATAAAAATAAAACTTCATCAATAAAGAATGAAAGTATACCGAGAAATGTTAAATGATGAACTTACGTATATATCTCAAAATTCAGAGCAAAACCTTAAAGAAAGATGGAACATAGTTAAAAACTCAATTAAATCAGCTAAATTATTAAAAAAAAGCACACACCCAACAGTGAGAACTCATGATGCAGGGAAGTAATCGGAAGACCCATCCCCTGATAATATAGAAAAATGTATTAAAAACAAAAAAACAATTGGCTATTTATTGAAACAGGAATAAAAAACAGTGGAAACAGAATATGTTTTTTTCCTGTCAACAATTTTTATACTAGAAATTTTGCCTCAATTTTCAAGTGTAGCATTTTTTCTGAAGGTAAATCTGACTTTGATGGTATTTTAAGGAGGACATTTTTTTAATTTTCTCAAGATTTTTCATAGTAAATAAAAAAACCGTAAGAAAAATGGGAAATTGTACAAAGTGTATTATTTTCAAATATATTAAAAAGTATATAGTAAAAATACTACGGTATTTTAAAACATGTTTAACCGAATTGAATTCCGCTCAGAATCGTTTTTCGTTTCCCAACTTCTTACCTACAACAGTGACTCATCTATTGAGCGAAGTATGTCCGTTTGTTTTTTGATTTGAAAAACATATTAAAAATTAATACTAGACTTTTAGCATTAAAATTAGTAATTAAAAATTACTTATTAATGAATAAGATAACAGTTCAAATTTTCAGTGTATCTAATTAACAAATATTTAATTTGTATAGAACTTCAAGAAGTTTATTTTTAATACTTTCGCTTATCATTTAATAGTTTATCAATATTGAAAACACGGTAGAGAAGATAATATTTTATAATTTATACCGTCATGAGAACATTATGTTTTGTTTCCCAAATGGTTAAAAACTGTAATTTCCGAAATAAAGAGAGAAAATAATTTGATTACTCACCAAGATTGTATAAAATATGCCACAACCTTTCAAATATTATACAATTGTACGTAAAAAAATGTATATAATTCCGGAATCTAGAACGCTTTGGAAAAAATGTTCGAGTCATAAATTTTTTACAGACAATCTGCAAAGGAACGTCTCTATTTCAGATTTCTACGACCAGTTTTGACATTCGCGTGTGAAACATGGTTGACTACTAAAGGCGACGAGGGAAAATATAGCTTTAGTACTTTTCGTATAATATTAATAGCAGATTGGAACCTGTCTTAAAATATGAAAATTTCAGGTTAATGTACAAATTTTTGGAAAAGAAAATTGCTTTTGAATGAAAACTCAATTAATTGGAACGTATAATTTAAACTCGAAAATCCATTGGCAAGTTTAACACGATTTATTTCTTTTGACATTTAAATGTGTGACAACTTTATTTATATAATCTAATATACTCATAATAAAAAAAAAGACGAACATATTTCGCATGATGGGTGGGCCACTGTTGTTGGTGAGAAGTTGTATAGGTAGGATATAAAAGGGAATTTAATTTATATCTATACGCAACAATAAGCCATTGCTAACGAAAAAAGATTCGGAGCGAAGTTTCTTTTACACGTGATGAATAAAATAAACATCATTGTAAAACCAATACATTCTTCGCCACAATCCGAATCTAAAACATATGAAACTTGTATAATTATCGTGGTTTCATATAGGAATGATTAGGTAGATAGGTACGTATATTAATTATTATTAGTTTTAGTTAGTAAAATATCAAATTATTATATCTACTCTACTTACATGGTAATTATACTATTTTGGGTATACGGCTCAGTGGTAATCTGAAATATTATTAACACATTAATTGTACAAATTCATTAAATTATAAATATGAAAATAAAAATAAAATAAAATAGTAGTAAAATATTTCATTATTATGGTAATGCAAATTGAAACCATTATTTAGAATGATAGGTACCTTTTAATTCATAAACAACTACAACATGAAAATTATGATGCGCGTGTAGTTTGTATGGTGTAACTGTACTAATGTTAATTTCAATTAATCTATTTTGTTAATATTTTACTATAGAAGTCTTATTTTTTTTTTACCTACATTCATAATTTAATTACAGTATTGTCAGTGTCATTTGATGCAGGCTGGGTTAGGGGATGTATCCACCCCATTTGCTAAAAAATACAAAAGAATATGAGTGGTCTAATATTGAAATGCACATATTTCAGCTAAGTTAAGAAATTTGATGTATTGATTAAAAATCGGCCTTTTTTTTAGTTTCCGACTTTTAAATTATCAATTCACATAGTTAATTTTGGCTAGAGAAGATGACTTTACAATTTATTCACGATTCTTATTTGATACATCCTCTCCCATTTAAAATTCCTGGGTACGCCACTGGGTATTGTACAGTGTGTTATTTTTTTAAATAATATACATTGCAGTACAATACCTATATCAAATGACAACTTTTACCATGGTACCTAATACATTAATTCATTTTATACGAATCATATAACTAATTAGGTTATACAATAATGTGAATAAAACATCTGATACAACTAATTTAATAATTTGATATTTAGTTATTAATTATTATTCATCTTATCATAAACGTATAAAGTTCATCTACAGCTGTTATAAATCGTATAGTTTAATTTAAAATATACCTATGTAAAAACGTAATCTATGAAGTTTAATAACATTCTTGTTTCCTGATTAGAGTACTAAGTAAGTAGTGATGAGAAACTTATTATTACCCACTTTGTTAGTTGAATAGTGATGTTTTGTGTTTTTATCTACAATTCTGTCTTCAAAATATCAAAATATATTATTAAAGGTACCTACTTCACCATTATACATTACTACATTAGTAAAACAAAATTGTACCGAACAGTGGCGAGGCGAACTCAAATATTTTTAGACGTTTTTTTTTTTTAATATTCACCTATCTATGAATGAATCTATCACGACCCGCCCATTGGCTAAAACATATGCAGATTTAAAATTAGGTTTTTATAAATTTCTTAAAGATTGTCATATATGTAAAATTATAGACCCCATAAAAAAAGTCAGAAACGGCCGCTTCTTGATTACACCTTTTGCCTCACTACTGTTACTAAGTACCCATTTAGATAACTGTTGTTCCAAAAGGATCTTTTTATTTTATCAAGAAATTATTTCTCACTTGAATTTACATGATAAATTGCATGATGAATAAATATAAAAAGACTTCTTAGGATAATGGTGACAGGTGCAGCCACTGTTTTAGATGATTTAATGTGTACTTGTAAGCAACGACAAACCATTGCTAACGAAAAAACGATTCTGAGTGGAGTTCAGTTGATAGTGATACATTGTCAACAATATTATGTCATTCTATAGTAAAATAATTAAATAAGCTTCATATATTTTCTTTAATACTTGTTTAATGTTGTACCGATTTACCCAGCTTTTCTACGTTTTCCTCATGTTTTATCCCAATTTTTCATATTTACTCGGAAAACTCTTGGGGAAATGGAAATCGACAAATGACCTCTTTCAAGTACCTCTCTAGTGAAATTTCCTTTTAGAAACATTGCTATCATTATAGGTTGAAGCAAAATTGCTGGTAGAAAAATTGTGCACAGAAAAAAAAAGTCCGTAATATATTTTAAATAATATCTATACATTTCTTATATTATTCCGTTTTTTTTTTTTTTGGTTTTTTAAATTTGATGAGAAAATTCTTGAGAAATCCAAAAATGACCTATATTACCTCCCTACATCGATTTCCTTTCAGAAAAGGTGCTACACTTAAAAATCTGAGCAAGTCTTCTAGTAGAAAAGTCGCGCACTGATAGAAAAAAAAAACATCTTTGTAAAATCGTAAGCTTTTCGCTCCACTCGGAATCTAAAATTATAAGCAATCTTCATGGAAAACAATAAATATTACTACTAATAGAATTTTAAACGTGTAGTTACTACTTATTAAAACTAAAAACATTTTATTTTTATGGTCAAATTCATTATTTTTGTTTTTTACTGATCCTTATAGATAAACAAATCTATATGCAATAAATTATAAACTCAATAATTACTTATTAATTTTATTATACTAGTGTGACGTATTATAGGTACTTATAGACATAATAATGTATATTTAATTATTATATTATTATTATTATTATTATATTGTTACGCATATCATTCACTTTAATAATTTAAAACCTAATAACAAAAATGTTATTTATTATAATAAGTGAATTTGAATGAAAAAAAAAACTTACTGTGTCACCTAACGGTATGTAAGGCTGCAATTTTCTATAAAACTTCGGTCTGTTTATTATATCGTAGTCCAAACTAAACGATCTGCAAATTATATTATATTATTACACCAGATTCTATATTCAAGTACTAATATTTACTATAAAAATATGTAGGTACTTTACAATGCATCTGAATTATGTCGAGCATACCTCAAGTAATACGGATATAATAATTCATTGGCCTTTGATTGAACGGGTATTTTGTTGTTCTCTAAATCACTGTTTTCTGAATCATATTTGAATATGAAACCGTTGTCTCTGGAAAAAAAATATCAGATACATGCCTATACGTTTTTAAATGATAAAAAAAATGATTATTTTTATTATTAATCAGGTATAGGTATACTCACGCTAAGCTCGTTTTGCTTAAATTTGAATTTAATAGTGGTTGTATTTCACAGTCCGTGATCATAGACTTGGCTCTGGGCCTGTTGGACTTTTTAACTAATTTCTTAGAAACTCGACCCATCGTTTTCGCGCTTTTAAGTGTTCATTATAAAAAAAAAAAAAAATTATATTTATTTATATTTAAAATAATAAAAACGTGTTCAACATGCAATGCACACCACGCGGTTTCGATTCTGACACGCTCATAAGACTCGCGTTTAAGTTATGTCTTTTATTTTTCCTTTTACACTATAGATCTATGGTTATCCGGCTTTTATCGATATCAATAATGACCCTTATACCCTATTCACCTTGTGCCCGTGGCCTACTTAAATATTTTATTATTATAGGAACACGGTTTGCGTTTTATAGATTTTTTTGTAAGCCGTCATATAATTTTCGGGCGAAAGGTGCTGCATTTTATTCGAAATCAGTTTGCAACCTACAAATGCCTGCAACACGAGAGGAAGGTGCGGTTTGAAAATAAACGATAATAATGGTTCAATATGCTTATGCGAAAATTATTATAATCGAAAACAAGATCAGAATAATTTTAATGTGCCTATTATAATATAATACGGTACTTACACTAATTAAAATTATGATATTATATTAATTTACGCGATTCAATATAAAAATATGCAGTTTGTATGTTTTTGTACCATTTCCAAGGTCACTGTACACAAATCGAATATTTCATAATATCGCACGGTATATTGTTACAATATTTAAACATTAATATAATAATACAAACATAAACATTATATAATATTTTCACTTCAACTTTTCAGACAATAATATTTCACATTAACTATGAACTATAAATTTTAATCAAAAATCGAACGTATAAAAATTGTATAGTTTTTACAATTATGAAATTTTGACGAAGCCGTATACTAATATTATTGTTTTTCACCAAATTGTTTGTTATTTGTGTTGCATTTAAGGAGGACAATAATAGAGGCAATCACCCCTTCATCGAGTTTTTCTTACAAAGTGAAATTAATAATAAAAGTAAATAAAAACAAAAAAAAAAAAAATAGGTTAATTTTTAACTACTTTTTAACCAGAAATCTTGATTTAATAGTCAACACTAAGAGTGATTTTTGGTTTACAATTTTGTTTAGTTGTTATATAAGATATCTTAATAATATGGAAACACCGAAAAAAAGTCAGGACCACAGTTTCTATTAAAATTAATTTTGTTCTTTTATTGTGATTTAGTGAAAAGTATTCCTGAAGATTTGAAATTTATTCCCGAGGCTTATATTAGTACTTCTTAGATATGATAAAATTTAAAAATGTTCTGGCGCTGTTTAAGTTATTAATAGCTATTTCCAATTTTCGAGTATTTTGATTGAATTCCGCTCTGAACCATCTGCAATAAATCGTCGTTGTATACAGTAATACATTTAATTTCCCTATTTATTATTTAAAATTACTAACTTTCCACCTTCAACCTAAAATTTGGATATTTGTTTTTAAAATTGAGAGATTTGGGGTTCTAGACTCCTGGTCTCTCAAGTATAACCCAAATATACACTTATATAATATATGTGTAACATGTGTATGTGTGTGTGTGTCTGAATTTTATCAACCTCCCCTCTCAATATGAACACTCAAATGCGCCATTGTTTGTTATTCGTTTATTATTATTTAATATCAGCGATAAGTCTGAGTGTCTGATCCATGGGAAAACATGTAAGAAAACAATACAAATCTAAAAGAAATTACTAATAATTATTGTCTGCTTAGAATATATGATAAATTGTTATGAACGTATTTTCATATTTAAAAAAAAATGTAGGTTCATTATCTATACTACAGGTTGGCCAGTCATAGAGTTGATCAGTCACCAAAAACTATCAAAAACAAAAAGTATAAACATTATTATTATTAGTGTGCGCACTGTAATTTTCTTGTAAAAGCAACTAAATAACTGTACTGTGACTGCCCTGTAATGTCACATTGTAATAATGTTTATACAAAATACAATATTCTGCATTTATATCACATGACTATTTGAATAGCAAGCGTAAGTGGGAGATAGAATAGTTAAAATTTTATTGGTGGTTCAGAAAAATCGACGTAGTTAACAATAAAACCGATTTAAAAATTAATATTTTATATACAGTCTTCTGCAGTAGGTTTTTGTACTATATTGTGCAGCAATCAATGGCGTAGTTAGGATTTTGTATTAGAAGAGGGCTGAATAAATTTTTGTTTGAAACATGGTCGTAAGTAAGTTTTTTGGAATTTTCGGGAGGTTTAATATCACAAAAAAAATTTAAAAAAGTAATTTTCATCAATATACATTTTAATATGATCCTTTAAACAAAAAACTTAATAATGAAATGAGAATATAAAATATATATGTCTAAGCATATTTTGTAACTATACAGGGAGACTTATAACTATAAGCGTGCTGACTCATTTTTTTGGTTAAATTTTGTATATATTCAAATTCTGATATTTGGAATTTTTAAATGTAGTTAAACCGGATATTTTCGAATAATTTGATTTTGGACAACTTTTCTACAAGTAATTTTGCTTTTTCTTAAAATAATTCTTATTGGGGAGGTACTTAAGAAAAGTTAATTTTTTGATTTCCCAAGAGTTTTTCTAATAAATGGGAAAACCAGAAAAAACTTAGGAAAAACGGGAAAATAGGTACAATATTAAACAAATTTTATTAAAGAAAATCTACAATGCATATGTAAATATTTTACAACAGACTTTATAAAAACTTTTACGCAAATCGAAAAACCGCTTAACTATCGCCAATTAGATGAGTATACATTATACATTGTAGTCTATGTCAACCCATTATAAAAATATTAATTTTGATTTTATAAAAATAGATAGATAGGTTATACGTTTTGTAATACTTACTTTTTCTAATGTTTTTACAAAACCAGTATAATCGCATGCCCGAGTATTAATATAATTGCTATAACTTCTCTTGGAAATCAATTGGAAATTCGTAATCGTAATTGAAGCAAACCGCTATGATGTAAGCTACATAATATTCTACACAGTGTTTCGTATCGTATACCTACATCATAATGTACTCGTACTTGAATTTTGATCATCATCGTATTGTTTTAGCAATGCTATTGTTAATTTATTTATTGTGACTAACTATGATGATTGTCGATTAGAATGTGAATAGTATAATTTGGTAATCGCGTTAACTATATTGCATACTGTTAGTTTAATATAATAATACATGATGATGATGATAATATTCCGTATTATGCTCAATAATGTTATCAGTATAAAAATAATAAATGTATTCAATTAAAATCAAAATTTAATAAGTGACAACGTATTTACAAACATAATTATTGTAAAACGATGACGGATATTTTAAAATCTGCAATTAGCTGGATGATAGGAGGGAGTTAAAACCTCCAAAAGCCTCATTCTTGATACGCCATGTACAAAATTTCATCCCTCAGTTTTATTTGACCGGGGAGGTCTGTAGTGGTGCTTAAAGCTAAAAAATACTCTCCATCCTAAACAGCTCACATGGTGAAGTACAAATTGAAATTCAATCCAATTTTTATCATTTTAATCCATCTGTAAAATAACTCTTATTCCCGAATTTGAGCTTAGTTGTTCTAGAGAGAGCCGTTAAAAGTTTACCTAAAAAAGTAATAGAAAAAAGATAGATATTTTTAATTTTAAAGATGCTAAAATCTAAAATTTTACTATTTTAGAGTGGAATTTAAAAAATTTAATGTGTTTTAGAACTATACCGATCAAAGGACAAAGATTTATTTTAGGTTATAAATAAACATTTTTTTTATTCATTTTCTGATAAGTAATAATTATCATGACAAGGATCATCAATATATTATATGTAAACATAATAATATTTCTATTATTATACATCACATTAGGATCGGTAAGCAAACGTACCTAAATATTTAATATAAGTATTGATCCATAGGACCTTCATTAAAGTAGAGTTTTATAAAAAAATATTTACACTTTATTTTTTTGATGATTGAATTTTGTTTTTATTTTGATTTAAGGAAAACCCTAGAAATCAGAACGATGTAACTACGAGATCATCTGGTGTTCTACTAAAATTGGGTTTCGTTTCTTCTGTTATTATAATATTATGTTAAATTCCATTGTTTGAATAATATGTTTCATGTTAAATTTGTTATCTGTACAATGATTTACACAAGGTTTTTGATATTAATACGACTTTGGACTAAAACATAATAATTTAGTATAAGTACATTTGATTAAATATGTATATAACAGTTACGTGCTGCGTACGTATTAACTTCTCATAGGAAAAATTGACTATGAAACATTTTTCTTGGTCAAATCGTTAGTATTGTTATATAGTAGAACAGAAATCATCGTTAGTAGGAATATAATTTTATTTTAAATTTAAAAAAGATGGGTATATTTTGCACAATAAATGCAGCCACTGTTGTTGGTGAGAAGTTTGGAATGTGGGATATAGAGAAAGAATTAATTTATATCTGTAAGCAATGATATACCATTGCTTACTTAAAACGATTCTGAGCGGAGTACAGATGATAGTGATGCTTTGTCAACAATATATATATATATCACATTATAGTTAAACGATTGAATAGACATTATATATTTTCTTTAATAATATTTGATGAATATTGTACAGATTTTCCAGTTTTTTCTAAGTTTTTCCCTTTTATTGGGAAAACTGTCGGAATATCATAAAATGACCTCCTTAATGCACCACCCCAAAAAAATTTCCATTCAAAAAAGAGTCTACATCCTATACATTAGAGTAAGCTTTCTAGTGGAAAAAGTGTTCACATAAAAAAAAAAAAAACTATACTTAGAATCTAAAATTCAGGGTCTGAAAAATGGCCAAAATCGATTGTTATACATTTGACTAACCGGATCGTTTCTACTACCTACTTAACCCAATACGATTGTATTGAAAACGGGTTTCACAGCGTTATCTTACATTACTATAATTAATTTGTTTTTATTAAATAAATAAATCTACAGTCTATACAATTATGTTATATACAATATGTTAATGTATAACTTCGATAAGTGACAAAGATCATAAATAACAATATATCTTATGATTAGGAAGATTACCTAGTGTTAACATTCATATTTTAATATTTTTATGTGCTTTGTAAGAAAAACTGACATGCCTATAATTCTTAGTTTTTAAATTTAAATCAATACGAGTTATTCAAGCACGGTATGATTGCTATGATGAAAACTACATAATCGTATACATCACCCAGTTTTCTTAATACTATTATATAGTTTTATCTTAATATTTAGCTATTCATTTTAAATTTACGATTTGGTTAAGGTTTTTTTAGATTCTGAGTGGAGCGAGAAGTGTATTGGTTTTACAATAATATTTATTTTTTTTTTTTTCTGTGGACAACTTTTCTACCAGCAATTTTGCTCCGAATTACAATAATAGCACTTTTTCTGAAAGAAAATCTGACTGGGGTGTTACTTTAGAGAGGTAATATTTTGACTATCCCAATAAATGGGAAAAACCATGAGATAACCGGGAAAAAGCGTAGGAAAAACAGGAAAGTGCATATGCAGACATATATATTGTTGACAATGCATCACTGTCAACTGAACTTCGCTCAGAATCGTGTTTTCGTTAGCAATGGCTAATCGTTACGTACATTAAATTTCCCTCTACTACCTTCTTAACTTCTCACTTACAAAAGTGGCCCACCCACGTGCGAAATAGGTATGTCCGTATATTTTTTTTTAAAGTGACTAGCATATTACGAAAAGTAATCAGCTACAGAAAAGTGTTGAATTTTCTGAATTTAATGAAGATTTACTATAATAATTATAATTAGCGGGAAAAAATGAAAAGATTTACCGCTCAAACAATTACTTCTAGATCCTAATAAGCCCGTCTAAACATAAAATAATTAGCTAATGAACTAGTTGTTCAAAGATGTACTATATTACCTATATAACTTAACATAATTTCATAAAAAACAAACGCTATTGGCTTTCTTGTAATAATGATACGCATTATTGAAAAAAAATATATTTCATAATAATTTAAATAGGCATAAGTACCTACCGTCCATTTTATTAAAGTTATCGGATTAGTAATTTTTAACGGTACTCTCTGTATACCTATACTTCTTTTAGCCTCGTGACACGTGACACGTGTATATATACACGTTTATCTGCAGACATTTTCGACGTAAAATAAATCTATATTTGTTTAAAAAAATTTAAAATAATTTTAATAACAATGCACAGCACGTGTGTCATACCTATGTGGATATAGGTAAATTAAATTATTTACATTGGTAAACATTTATATACCATTGCCTTAATGTTATAAGTGTATTAATTAATCCCAAGTGCATAACATAACTGTATAGCTTAATAAACAAATTACGTTGCTGAATTTCTCGTGAAAAACCTTGTACATCTATACCTACTTGTTTAGTTATTATAATAATACGCGTAATTAAATTTATACACGTGTTTGTAAATTTTGATCACATGTGTTTTAATTTTCAATAAACCTACAAATAATATTTCAAAACCCGAGACCTCTCCAGATAATAAATTATAATGAAAAGCACACGCTATAATAATGATTTGTAACGAACTTAAACTGACTAAAATCTATCGAAAATAAAATTTGAATCATGATGTGTGAATTTTTGATTTTAAAATTTAAATTTTTTATAAAATTAAAACTCACTAACGTAGACATATGCAATAATTATTCAAAAATAATCTTTCCGTTAAAAATCTATTCTATTGGAGCAGTCATAAAATGATGTTTAAAATATATACCATTTAAAACGTGATGGTTCGTTTGTCAATTGATTTATGTGCCTAAGTAATTAATTAGATCCCATATAATGTTCCATAATATAATATATAATTTATTATTATATTATAGAATAATCAGTTCCACCATTTGAAACTGTTGCAGCATTTGCAGCTGATTTGATTAATTTTTATGGTATAGTAGCTATATCATAACTATAACGCGACTTTATACGCGTATAGATATACGAAAACGGACTTTATACTAATATAACTTGGCAAAGTTGGATTAATCTAAACAATGGCGAAATACGATTGCACGTATGATAAAACAATTTCTATTTTTACTAACGATGTATAACATTAAAACATATTGTTGTTTACCTACGTCATACCTCATTCACCTCATTGACTTGAGTTTAATGACTTCACGGTTGTTTAGATAACGAAAATTTCATATCAGGGTCACAAACACTTCCATAAAATGGAAAATAGAAATTAAATGTCATGAAATAGGGTCGTCACGAAAACTTTATTCTGCAGGGCTGTAGTCAAAGATCTATTATCTAAACTTTAAATCCTTATGAGTTATAATTTCTAAGTTATAGTTTATAGGTAATTAACTGTTATTTAGTTCAAAATGTTCGTTAATTTATTTCGGTAGAACGTATACAAAACTATTTTCAGAAATATATTCTACTTGGTTCAGACTATATTTTAATCTGTAATTCAAATTATATAAACATAATACTATTATAATTATACCATTTGTTCATAATTTTTAATTACCTATGGACGGTAACTAGGTATTGCAAACTTTTCCGAAATATTCAAATATTAATTTGCATGAAGGATATAATATCATAATATTATCATACTTGGGAAATAATTAACAATATAATAAACGTAAAATAAATAAGTATAAATGAAATATCACTAATCTATATATTATATATTTCATATAATCTGTATATAATACAAATAAAATAAAAAATATAAAGAAAGAATTCAGCCTGGAGTAAAATAAAATATAAGTTGTAATTACTATACGACTGGTTTCGGAATTTTTAATTATTAGAAATTTAGACTGATAATAATATAGGTGTATGTATATGTTATAATTAATCTTCAATTTGTTGAAATAATGATTGTCTGGCATAAGAGTATAACTAATAAATAATGGTTACGTAATACGTACTATTAATATCTATTATTGATATTATTTACCTATTGAATTATAATGCAAATTAAATTAATTTTATGATAAAATGTATGTTAATTTAGTTGCCTATTTAGTAATATGTATAGGGATTATGTTATTACCAA